CAATTATAGTTATTATAACTATAGTTAGTTATTACAATTATAGTTATTATAATTATTATAATTATTATTATTTATTATATTACCTCCTTAATTCAAGGCTTTCTTTCTACTTATATTATCACATAAAATATTATTATTATTATTATTATTAGTATTATTATTACTAGTATTATTTAGTATTTTAAGAAATAAAAATTAATTTTCTAAAATAATAATATCTCTAGTCCAGAAAAAGGATCTTTTCTGAAAATCATATACTTTATATATATTATTTTTAGAGTTTAGAACAATAGCTTTTATAGCTTTATTATCTAATTTCTTTATCTTAAGGTCTTTATTTTTATAGTAGTATATAAAGCTAAAAGTAACTATATGATCTATATCTAGCTTTATATTATTTACTATTTTAAATGGTGTTTTATAGTTTAATGCCTTATATAGAGTTATATTATATAAGTCTACTACTATTAAAGCAGCTTCTCCCTATAGATATAAAAGTAAGTTAACTTGTAATAGTAAAGCCCTTATTTTATTAGTTATAGTTCTAATAACTCTTTCTATTATACCATTAAGTTTATACGTATAAGGAACTTTTATATTATAGTTTATGCCCTTTATTAGATATATATAATTTATAGTATTATTATTAAATTCTAGACTACCGTTTATATTAAATTCTCTTATTTTATTATTATTTATATTATTTTTATTTATATATTTTAATATAGTAGTATTTACTTCTTCTACTTCTTTAGTTTTTAAGAGTTTAATAGAGGTAAGTCTAGATTTCCTTTCTAAAAAAATAATAAACCATCTATATTTATTATATATAGAAGGTGTTATAGGTCCACAGAGATTAGAAGCAACTTTTTCTATATAGTTATACTCTTTATTATAGTTATCTAAGTTTTTATTAACCTTTATAGTAAAGTTTGCTTTTGTATAGGTATTACATATTAAGTTATCTCCTTTTATAGTTATATTATTACTTATATTAGTGTTATTCTGTAGTTCTTTTAGAACTTTAGGACTAACATAACCTAATCTATTATACTACTTTATATAGTTATTTCCTTCTTTATTATTAACCTTTTTAAACTTATAAGGTTTTTTTTTTATAAAGTTATTATCTTTTATAGTATTTATATATATGTTATTATTATTATTTTAATATAAATCCTTTTTATTTAAGACTTTAATATTTAGATAATATAGTTTATCTTTTAGTTCCCTTTTATAAAAGGTCTTTTTATTAACTGTATTTATTAAAGATACCTTTATGTCCTAAAAAAGAGAAGCTATATTAAGCTTTCTTATCTTATTCTAGCTTAGTAGGTTAATACCTAACTATAACATATAATAACAGTTTTTTAATATATATATATTATCGTTATCTAAAGGAAAAGAGATAATAATATTACCTATAAAAGTTACTTTTTGCTTTCTTGCTTCTTTTTAGTTAACTTATTTATTTATTATAATTGTCTTAATAAAAAGAGATTTATCCATTATAATATTTACTATAGCAGCAGTATCTATACAGAATATAATATAATTATTATTTATATTTATATATATAAATATAAAATTATTTATATTATAACCTAATATCTTATTATTATTATAACTTATAGAGGGTATAAGAGGACTTACGTCTTTAAAGTCTAGATTAATAAGATCTTCTTCCTCTTAGTTATCTATTATAATATTTATAGGTTCTATTTTTATTATAGTTATATTTATATCTTTAGATTCAGAATTATCTAAGAGCTCTTTTATAATAGCCTTTTTAGCTATTAAGGCTTTTTATACTTTATTAAGTTATCTTCTTTTAAGATTAGCTTTTCTTTTATATTTCTAATATATATTAGATTCTTTATCCTTATTTATCTAGCCTTTTAGGGCTTTATAAGGATAAAGAAAAGCATAGTCTTTAACTTTATAACCAGATTTTTTACAATTTCTACAATATATCTTTTTAGTCTTTTTCCAGGGTTTTTTATATCCCTTATTATATATTAAAGTATAAAGGACTATAAAAGATCCTTTTCTCTTTGCTTTATCTATAAAATTTACAAATAACGTACTCGTATAGCGAGTTGTGGATCATAGCGAGTCGCGCACAGGCTTATCATACCTTAAAGGGCACTTTTTTAACTATTTTTAAAAAATCTAAATCCTATTCAAAATAGATACAACTTTGTATAGAGGGTTTGATAAGGGTTAAAAGCTAGTAAAAGATCTATTAGAAATTTCTCTTTTACCCTAACCCTTAGTTCTACTTAACCTTCCTTATCAGAGCAAACGATAAGGTTTCTAAGGGTTATAGTATAATAATAATTTCTAGCAGATTTTTCACTAGTTTTTAACCCTTATCGAACCCTCTATACAAAGTTATATCTATTTTGAATAGGATTTAGATTTTTTAAAAATAGTTAAAAAAGTGCCCTTTAAGGTACGATAAGCCTGTGCATAACTCGCTATGATCTGCGACTTGCTATGTGAGTACGTTAAAGATTTAATAGTATATAAATCTGAATCTTTTCTTAGAGCTTATATTACATTAGTTATAAAACCTTTATAACTATTATCTAAGCTATTTAATACCTAAGTAATAATTACTTATTTTAGTAATACTATAGATTTTATAGTAAGATTATCTATAAGCTCTTTTACCTTATTAAGGTAATTTTCTATAGAATCAAAAGATTCTAAAGAGGTATTAAAGAACTTTTTATAAGTAAAATATTTGTTAATAAAACTAGTAGGTTTATATAAATCCTTTAGTTTTTTTTAGGCCTTATATCCTATTATAGAGTCTTTTATAACCCGTAAAGGTAAATCCTTATAAAATAGCTTTATATAAGCTAAGATTTTAGTATCTGTTACCTTTTAATTTACTATTATTAGTAGGTTTTTAAGACTAGAGTTAATATCTTTACTTATAAGTAAAGCTTTAAATTTAGTTACTTAAACTAAATAATTTAGACTACTAAAAAAGCGTAGAATATAGATTTTTTCTATTATAGGTTAATTTTAGCTGATTAAAGAGAGATATTAGTATTCTAATAGTATTGTTGAATTTGTCTTAAAAAATAGGCCTTAAAAGTAGTTAAGTTGTTATAATGTTATTGTTAACGGTATAGCGTTACGTAGTTGCCTTGGGTTGAAGATATATATAGGCCTTCAACTAAAGAAGCTTTCACCAGACAGCAGAGCAGTTGGTCTAGAGGTTTAGCTACCCTCTAGATTAACTAGTTAAATTAGTAACTTAATTAAAGTTCTTAGGTTTAATTCCAGCTTAAGGTATATAGTCTTTGTTAGATATAGACTAGAAATAACCTTTAACCGGTAAGGTGGGATTAAATTGTGATTTGCCTAGAGCTGTAGTGGCATAAAATATAGCGATAGGTGTAGTGCTTTAGAGCTATATTCCTTAAAATTCCCTTAGCTAATGTGGTTCGTCCCTTAGCAAAGTTGAATTTTTGTTATATTAAATAAAAGTATAAGTATAAGTCTTTTATAAGCTAGGCTTATAACTACTTAGAATATATTAGTAATATTCTTAGATAGTTATAGGGAAGTAAAGAGACTTAATAAAAGTAAAGGTAGAAAGATAAGGTTATTATATTTTTTTTATATTATTATATTATTATTTTTTTCTAAAAGGTGGGAATATTTTAGGCTTATATCTTTTTCTTAATATCTTATTAGTAATATGATTATCTAATAAAATAATCTTATCTGGAATCTAGGAGTTGGTTTTCTGGAATCTAGGGTTAACTAGATCTAAGGCTGGAATTCTAGGGTTAACTAGATCTAAGACTAGAATTCTAGGGTTAACCTGATTCTTATAAGCCTATCTTATATATAGACAAGTTATATATGGTTATAAAGCTCCTATTTTACTTAATCCAAATATAGATATAGTAAGTTTATATAGTTATTAGATATAAAGATATAATTAAATAAGATAAGAGTTCTTATAATAAATCTTATTCTTAGTCTATTTAATAGTATTAAGGTTAACTTGGCCTTTTTAAGACTTAGTAAGCTTTAAGTAGGTAACCTAGAAGTTATAGTAAGTAAACCTGATAATTGCCCTTTTTTCTTGCCTATTAAGTTTTGGCGGCTTGCCTTTTTGGGGCGTAAACTCAAAAGATTAGCTCTCTCGGTATCGTTGAAGTGTGTTAGTGACTGCCTTATAAGAGCAGTTGAAGACTGTAGCCGCGTTGCGGTAACTTTGGCTAGCTAGCACAAAGGCTACAATTGCGATCTGCTGATCTCTTAATAACTCATTGCTAGGCTTTCGATTTCCTGATAAATGAGAAGAAAAAGCTTGTAAATTGGCCTCTATTTCCTGAAGTTATGGGAGAAAAGAAAAAATCGATGCATAGAGGAAGACGCGTCAGGACGCGCTTTAAGGTGGGGTGATTCCACACTTCTTACCCCCCACTGTATTTCGCCTTGATCGTGGCCGTCTCCGCCTTTTTCTCTCTTCTCTCATCAATCTTCGGCAAATTTAGTCTACTGTGTTTGCGCGATCGTCTCTTCGGCGGCGATCAATCCTACCTGCTCAGGCTTGCGACTATTGTAGACTCCGGCGTGAGTTCTACTTTCTTTTTTACTTTGGGTTCCAAGGAGGCGATTGTGCATCGCAAAGTTCACTCGCCGGAGCTAGTCGACAGCCCAAACCTGTTGGGTAGGGCTTTTTTCACTCGCTTCGGCGTTTGTATTATCTTCTAGTGAAAGCAGTAGCTCTGTTTTGTTCAATTGTGGACCTGGTTGACAGGAGGAGGAGTACGGTGTTCGGTTTTCGGTAAGTCTTACTCTCACTCTCTTCTATGGAGTTGGTTCCACTTCCTGACCAACAATTCACAGGTGTTGTGTTTCTTATCTTCTTGTTTGACTATTCATCCCCGCAGTTGTTGAGTGTTTTACTTCGGTTCGCCGTTGTCTTCGTCATTCAGGATTACTCAAGCAAGCCTAAGTCGAGAATCATGTCTCAACCCCAGGCACCTACCGCCCCTGATACTGCCGCCAACGCCCTGTCCCGGGACACTTGGTCCAAGGACTGCGTCGTCTTCAACGGAGAAAACGGTCCGATCATCGCCAGTGGCAATTCTTTCGGCCCCGGCATCTCCAAGGTCAAGGCAAGATTGTGCAGTCTGAAGTTCGTCGACACTACGTTCTGTCATGCGCTGCGGATCGACATCCCCCTTGGTCTAGACAATGAGGATCGCGGCTTTGGTAAAGTCTACCAGTGTGAGTTATGCCTTTGGTTTTTCTGGAAACAAGTGACAGACTGACACTCCGTAAACAGATAGGGGATTAGGCCACATAGATCCTGTTGATTATCGGAGCATCACCCTCAGGTTTCCTGTGGGCGACAACAAGTGGGACTTCGAGCCAGCACCTCCTGAGTTGCTCTCACGGTTCCCGGATCGCGACGACAGGAAGTACTGCTTTGTAACCGTCCACTTGCGGGAGAACCCAACCGTCGTCGGCTATGGCTTGCCTTTCGCCAACGCGTCGGCGCCCGAGCTTGAGGATTGGTACTAGAAGGACCGCCCGACGGTTGGCGACGTGACCTTTCGCGACTTTGTCAAGCAGACTACCTTTCACGTCATTGTCGCCAGCCCTGATAAGCCAGCCGAAAAGGCCTTCGATTCTGCGTTGCTTGGACAACCATTCACCCATCCCTACGGCACGGAACTGGACTGGGATGTCGACCGCCTGGCGCAACTGTGGCACGAGACCTTGCGAACCAAGCCATATCATCCCAGATTCCAGTAAGTGTCATCTGCATCGATTCATTATGGCTCTAGCTGATCATACTTAGTTTCGATGACGATGAACCATGCTGGCTGTCAACATGCAGATCCCTGTCCATGACGATTTATGGGTTGAGATGGATGCCAGGAAGTTACGCGAGCGAGAAATGCGTGCCTACTTTATCCCCCACGCGACAGAGGACAATGTATACTTCGCCATCATGCCGCGCGGTACTGCTTTTGTCGACGAGTTTCAGACTTCTTGGGATCGTTTCCTCGAGAATCCACTCAAACTCCTATTCTGGGGGTTGAATCCTTCGCGTCCAGTCAACAAGAAGGAGTCTTCGCCGGCGGACGAAAAGACAGAGAAGCCCAAGTCGCCCTTTGACAAAGAGGAAGACAGGCAGCCTCTGGCAGCTTGGTGAGTCTGCTGGCAATGTTGTTAGAATACAAAGATGAGGACTGACATGTAACAGGACTGCTGAGATCGTGCCGTGGCCTGGCGTCATCAAATCCATAATGAGGTGTTTCTCATTCCGAGCATTTCGGTCGCATCTATCTCGTATGATTGGTCAATCAGCTGGATTGTGGTTTCAACGTCAAGACGGGCTCAGGACTTATCACTCTACCCTACCGGTAGTTTAAATATCCGTCATAGAGTGTTACCGGTTGGCATCTCCTTGCGGACTTGACAACCACACCCTTAGACGACTGAAATTAAAACAAAAGTATATTGTCGTGCTGTATTCTGCGTCTCTCGCAGAGTTATTCTACATCAGCTTTGGGCTTGACAGCGTACTCTGAGACGTCCTTTGCGTCGCGATCAACCTCTACAGCATTCAGTATCTCCACTGCATGATTACCGTCTTCGAAAATTATAGAGAGCTCCTCGAGACTGTAACCGCTGGTTTCCGGAAAGAAACACCATATGAGATACAGCCATACGCAGTTAAGACCGAGGAAGAATATGTAGTAGTGGTACTCAATCGCTGCCAGAGCGATCGGGTTTACCCACATGTTGATGATAAGCGCGATTTGACCGACAAAGTTCTTAACTGCGAGACCCTTGGAGCGCATGTAGAACGGCATAATCTCCGTGGCGTACGAGTACAGCAGCGGATTACACGCTACGTTGTACATGATATCGAAAAGAAACAGGCAGACGATGACGCCGTACCCCTCGTCTTGTCGCTTCTTTTGGCTGTACACAGCACTGAGGGCTATAAACGGAACAAAGATAAGGATCATGCCAGCGTAGGATGTCATCCAGAGCTTGCGTCTTCCTATTCGATCCACAATTGCTGCGCCAGCAAGGGATGAAATGAAGTTTACAATGTTGAGGCCGCCGTTGATGCCAGTCCTGACAGGTCAGTGGGACAAATCCTTATACAAATAAGACTGGGTTTTGTAGCTTACTGCTGTGTTGTATCAGTGACTCCGACACTTGTCAAAATGCTGGAAAAGTAAAAAGTAATGATGTTCTGGCCGCACCATAAAGTCATCAACGTCATCGTGATTACAATGAAGAGCCGATGATGGTTGGTCTTTCGAGTCAGCAATGCCCTCCATGTGACGCCTTCTCTGGCAACTTCCATGGCATGCTCAATTTCCGCCATTTGCGCAGTGACCAGAGGATCATCCATGTTGCCATTTCCGTGATATTTGGCAATGATGTTCTTCGCCTCTTCTCCCCGGCCAACTGAAGCCAGCCATCTTGGGCTTTCAGGCAGCCAGTAGATGGTGGGGAGGACAATGCAAGGGATTGCGGCCTGTAATAACGAGGGAATGCGCCAGTTCCACGAATTTGTCGCATCCATGTGAGAGGTGCCGAAGCATGTCCAAGCGACGATGATGCTTCCCAGGTACCTGTGACTGTTAGCTGACCCGAAGTGTGCAGATGGTCCAAGCGTAGTAACATACCAGAACGGGTTGAAGAACGATACGAGCGTTCCCCTGATACTCGGCATAGCAAGTTCGCTTAGAAGCGCCGGCCCAGCACAAGTGACAAAGGCGATGCCGGTACCGAGGATAGCTCGTGAACCCATGTACTGACCACGGTTCTGAGAGCCGGCTTGAAAAGCCGCGCCTACAATGGTGAGGAATTGGCCGACAGCCATGCCCCATTTGCGACCACTATCCGTGGTCAGCAAGAAGAACATCAAGGCAACATTATGGGCAAGCATACAATCGATCCGTAATCACCGAAGCTGGCATACTGCCTACAAGACATCCAACAAAGTAAATGGCTGTGATTGAGCCAAGCTCGGATGTGTTTGGTTTCCCCATGTCTAATTTCTGTTAGTATACTGGTTAAGAACAGCTAGGGGCTACATACCAGCCCTCCATTGCTTGAAGCTCTGAAGATTCGCCGTTAAGGTAGCGTCAAATCCTGTACAGACTTGGGTGAGGTAAACCAGAACGATTGGCAACAAGAGCTTGCGGAACCCAGAGTCTTTCCAAACTGGCCCATGGTCTTTGCTTGCAGCAATAACGGCCGATGGTGGCTGCTGAGCCTGTCGGCGAAGGGTGCGGCTTTTCCCGAACATTGCGGCCGCGGACTAGTTTCTAAGCATACAACTGAAAGTTGAGCAGCACTTCCAACCCAATCTTGGGAGCCAATGGCTATAATATAATCCCACATCGCTCCGGTCATGTCGCGATGTTGCATCTTGGTCAGGAGACGGTCCATGAATTGAAACGATAAGAGCTCAATTGATATGACCAGCCACTACGCCAAGGCTGGGGACCGTAGGATCACAGGTCTAACCACATCTGCATTTGACCCGATAGTGCGGCTTATCGCAAGCACTGGCCCGAGGACCATAGATAAGATTTACAACTATTTTTGGACTACCGAGTCAGTGGAACCAGTCTCCAGAGACGATGTTCCGTGTGCGACGGGATTCCTTACGACGGAACTGGGGCCCAAGACCGAATGCGACGGGATATGTACACCCTTGCAGAGTTACAGGGCTTTGAGACTGGCTAATGTCGAATCCTAAGCAGTGCCATTGGACTTGGTTGATTTCGTGCGCAGCAATGAGCGTCACGCTTATCAATGCAATGACACAATTCAGGCTCGGGTTGAAGTAGGGCATTTCGCCCCAATAATCCTTTCAGTCAATTCCTGCGATCAAATCTCGAAGCATTGTACAGTTTCCTTGAAGGCCGTAATTCGCGACGACCTCTGAGCTGGGAGCATTTCTCCGTTTACGACGGCAAACTCATCCAGTTTTGTTTGTGGAACCACAGATCTGGACGAATAACTATTTATCTATCTTGGTGATTTCGGCTTGATCTCCTGCAGTTGACCTAGCAACTTTCGACTGTTTCAACACCCAACTTCCAAGTCAACAGAAGGCCAAAGTCTGAGTCGAAATTTCAAAATGGCACCTTCAGCTACGTTGGTCGAAACGCCTACACTGGTCAAAAGCGCCCTCCCGAGCGTGGTAAAGTTAGTACATAACCCAGCACGCCAAATCAGTTCCTGCTAATAACTTAAAAGAACCAAGGACGACTGGCGTGCAGACCTTGAGAAAAATGGCTTCGCCGTAGTCAAGGGAGCGATACCCCGCGACCGCGCCATTAGTTACCAAGAAAAGGCTTATGCCTGGCTCAAGTCATTCGGAACAGACCTCGATTTCAATAACCCAGCCACATGGATTACGGCCAATCTTCCTGTACAGAGTAAGATTAACACATTCCACTCTTATGGAGTGGCCCATGAGAAATTCATGTGGGATGCCCGTCTAGAGTCCGGTGTCATCGAGGCTTTTGCCAAGATTTGGGGAACTGAGGAGCTGCTGGTCAGCTTTGACAGCCTTAACATCACCTTGCCAAACCGAAAAGATGTTCCTCGCAAAGGAGCCTGGGATCACATTGATCAGAGCCCGTTGAGGCGAGGACTTCACTGCGTTCAGGGCATTATCAATCTTTCGCCGGCAGGGCCCGAAGATGGTGGTCTTGTGGTGTACCCTGGAAGCCATAGGCTTAATGACGAGTTCTTTGATACCCAAACCGATAAGAGCACATGGACAAAGCTGGACCGATACATGTTCGATGCGGGGCAGCTAAGTTGGTTCAAGGCCAAGGGCATAGAACCACACAAAGTGTGCGCTAATGTCGGAGACCTGATTTTGTGGGATAGCAGGACGATTCACTACGGCTCGGAGCCTGAGGAGGAGAGCAACCAGATCCGAACGGTCATCTATGCTTCCTACACACCAGCAAAACTTGCAAGCTCCGAACAATTGGAGCTAAAGAAACAGGTTTTCAAGGCGTATGGCGGCACTACACACTGGCCTCACGACAATATCATCGCACGTGCCACTGAAACTTATCTGCCAGACGGCACACGGGACCCCCGCGATAGAGACCAGCCCCTCGAGCTCCCGGAGATGAGCGACCGCCTACTGCAGCTAGCGGGGATGAAGGCATACTAGAGACTGAAGGTGGCGATGACTCAGAACATGATTGCATGTGTATATAGAATGATAGCTCCATAAGAAAAGAGTTCAGAACAGAATTAACCCTGGTGCAACAAGACACATCAAGTCTTTCCAACGCCACTTCTCCCCTTTATTTGCTCTTCTCCAAACCTGGTCAAGAAGCCGGTGACCAGAGGCAATGTGGCCGAAGCCAATAGTTGTTTTCATCATGTTGAGACGGACATCTATGGTTAACCGGCTCGCCTTTGTGGTTGCAATTACGCCTGCCATCAACAACGGAAACAGCAGATGGGCCTCTGCCTGGGACCCCGATCGGATTAGTGAGAGTGCTGATAAGATGTAGTCGATCGGTCCTTGATTTCTGTTAATGCCATCACAGTGTTGAAACGGAGCTATTTCCCTCAGCCTGAGCATTGCAGCCCACTGGACTGCAAAGGCGGTCGCCTTGGCCTCGTCCCTATTGACCGAGAGATCTCCATCAGGTGGGGCCCAACTCTGAAGCGCGAGCTCTATGGCCCGAGCTTCTGCTTGGATGTCTTCGCAGGCTTCACCATTGACTGAAATTGAACTGGCTTCCAGTCTGATAGCCAGTTGGCTAATTCTGGCTAGGCAGTGATAAAGATCCGATCCGAATCCGAATAGCGGATGCATGCCCGAAGGCCCAACGTCCATGACCCCTATGCTCTGAGACAATGGTTGCGGCACACTTGGTTGGGTCACACTTCCCATGCAGCATAGATAATCATGTAAGTCGATAAAAAAATGGAGCGGCTTATCGGCGGTCAGCAAGTGCACGTCAGACAGGATGGCTCGGGCGCCCTGGAGATAGAGCAACCATCTTCGGGAAACCCCTTCGCATATCTGTAGGGTTTTGTAAGAACGAGATCAGGAAGAATTTACAGACAACGCACGAACCTCTAATAAACACAAGAGCAGTGTAGCTGCTAGGGCAGATAATGTTGCAGGGCCAGAGCCAAGCTCGCTCTTTAGGCGATCCAGCGCGTGGCTTCGATGTCGAAGGACATTTCTTTCAAACTCGGGATAGATCCTAGCCAGATGACAGGCGGATAGAGCGGTGAGTGCATGTCGAACGGCATCTTTTTCTAATGCCATGGGGACGATGATGCCAATGAACGGATTCTCGTCATCTTTGACCACAACGAGAGATCTTGACACAGACTGAAGAAAATGGTTCAAGAGGTGCCTCTCCCCAACGGTCCAGTCCTCAATTGAATGTGGAGATATTCCAGCAAGGTGTCCCAGTGCGGTAGATGGCAGCGAGATAGCTCCCTCGAGCGATATGTCGTCACTTGCCCGGTCCTCGGGCAACACCTCCAAAGCACTGCTATTTGCTAGATTTGAGCCTGCGCTGGACTCCCCACTGAGATATTCTTCGTCAATGAGGGCAATCCAGTCATGGTGATCTTGATTGGCAGCCTCTGAGCCTGGCTGGTTCGATGGCTCGGCCGGGCTTGACGACGATCCCTCAGCATTAGCCACCGGCGATAGCTGTAACTCTGCTTCATCCAGCTCGCCCTTATCTTCGGGACTTGAACTCGCTCTCCATCGTCGATTGACTTTTTGTCTACGCACACACACTAGACGTAAACGCGCGCAGTCACCACAGATAGGCCGCTGTTCGTCACATTTTTTTCGTCTCTTCCGACAATTGACGCAGCCCTAGATGAAAAAGAATTTAGCTCGCCGGTTTCAGACTGTCCGGTTGCGCCTTAAAGGAGTGTAGGAGACCTACAGTGCTTGTCCGTGGATGCCGTATCCTTGAACCCGGGCGCTTGCCGGAATCATGTGTTTGACTCTTATCAGAAACGGTAACTAGGCTGCACGGCAGCGATAGACGTGTGCATCGAATACATGGCCCAGAACTTCTGCAGCAAACAACTTTGATTGAAGCACATGTGTTACAGGCAGTCTTCTTTCGGCCCATATTTCCGGTGATGGAGGGTTGTTGGTGACGAGCAGATGAGTCCAATATATGCGACGGATTTCAAGGTTGCGGGAGAGTGAATCCCGTCGTATCTGTCGAAGCGTTATCTTATATACAACAACGGTCCATAGGACGTTGCCTATGAGTGGGTCTGAAGTCGCAGATAACCACGCGCACTAGCCAAATCGGACGGACCAAGGTATCGTTTGATAGCCCGGCCATCAGCCTAACATTTGGTATCCTTGATCGTCTCTGCGAAGCAAATCATGCACGGTCTTATACCACTAGCCACTGGCATCGACGAACATCACGCTCAATTGAAAACAACCATACGCCACCACTATGCGTGCATTGTTCCAAGCTCTTCTAGCTCATAAGGCTCCAATGAATTTCTTCACCTCGATTCCATAGCACATTCGTCTCGCCATCTTTACGACCTGAGCAACATATAGTGCCGGCAATGGATTTACAGGCGGAGCAACTCCCTGTCATCATAATCGGAGCCGGCATTGTTGGTTTGACTCTTGCCCAGTCTTTGAAAAAGGACGGCGTACCTTTTGTGATTTACGAAAGGGATGCGTCCTCTGGCGCAAGCGAAGGTGGATGGGGCATCACCGTCCACTGGGGTCTCTCTGCTTTCGAATCATGCTTGCCACCAAGCCTCTTCCACCGCCTCCTTGACATTCAAGTCGATCCAGAACAGGGACGAAAAGATACGGGTAAATTCCTCTTTCTCGACCTGGCAACAGCGGAACCACGCTTCAGCATTCCAGCAAGCAAGCGTTTGCGCATCAACAGACGCAAGCTGCGCAATCTTCTTACGACTGGCATGAACGTTCATTGGAACAAGACGGTCAAGTCCTTTGATACTTCAACCCCCGGCCAAGTTTCAGCGACTTTTGAGGATGGTACTATTGCTCTTGGCAGCGTCATCGTGGGCGCAGACGGGAGCAGTAGTCGGACGCGCCGCCTGCTTCTTGGGCTTGAAAAGGCGAAGCTCAGCCAGTTGCCTCTGCGCTTTGCTGGTGTTACGATGCGAATGACACCTGAAGAAGTGAAGCCACTGAGGGACATTGATCCGCTTTTGTTCCAAGGCTCGCATGCCGATACGCACACCTTCTTGTGGTACTCGACTTTATCAACTCCGGAAGTCAACGGCTCATCCGGAGCCGGAGAATACTTTGAAGGGCAACTGAACATGTCATGGCCAGTCAAATCAGAAGCCGACGAGGTGCCGCAAACTCATCGCGACCGAGTTACCAAAATGAAAGCCATGGCCGAACCCTTCGAGGCCAGACTGAAAGCAGCCGTTGAAAGCATACCGGACGACTCACAGGTGCTGGAGATCAAATTACAAGACTGGCCCACCCAAGCATGGGACAACTATCAGGGTCGAGTGACGTTGGTTGGCGATGCTGCTCATGCCATGACTATGTACAGAGGCGAGGCATTCAACCACGGCATTACAGATGCGGCAAGGCTAAGCGAACAGCTGATTGAAGCTCATCAAGCTCGTACGGGCTATGAAAGGGCGGTGGAGTCCTATGAATCGGAGATGCGGCCACGGACCCGGACAGCAGTCCTTCTCTCTCGGCAGGCTTGCCTTGACGCGCATGACCTCAATGCTCTGACTCCCGATAGCCCATTGGTGAGCAAACGGGCCATTATACTGGAGCCAGCTACCATAGAATAATTAGATAGTGTGGATGAAACCACCTCAATGATCAATAAATTTCGTCTATCATCTCTGTGTAAATACTCCTTTTCAGCAGAGCCAATAGGTCTTCAATTGCACAAGTATACAACATTCCTTTGAAAATTCCATGATTGGATTTCTGATATGTTACTTGAGACGATCACATGTATCTGTTTTCACAACTAATTGCTCCAAAGAAAGATTTAGGAGGCGCTTCGTTCATCAAGAAGAGATGGCCTAAAAAAAACGCAACTTCATGGGGTCCAGAGAAATTATCTATGTTGTTTATTGTTTGAGCTAGGCCTACTGTACTGATTTGACATGCTGGATTGTGTCTTCAATAAACTCACTCGCCTGTGGCAGAGCGGCATCCATGTGCTGAAATGGGTGTGGAACACCTGCAAACCTCTTGATGATAACATCGTTTCCCTTCGACTTGATCATGTTACCGTAAGCCTCGCCCTCATCTCGCAAAGGATCGCATTCTGCTGTCATAACGACCGTTAGATCGGCAAGATTTTCACAGTTTGGTGCTGTCATAAGGTCTCGGAACCATCCCGCGTCCTGCTCTTGCTCTGCCCGCAGAACATCGTTGTCCTGTGACAGCGACGCCCATTTCAACGTGTCGAACCACTTTAAACGCGCCCAATTGAGAAGAGGGGCAAACTCCATCTCCCCAAGCGAGGGGTAGACTTTGCCGGCATCAGCCGCGGTTGGGAACTGAGAGATGTCCGCAATGGTCGGCGTGCCAACGACGACGGCCTTGACCTTGTTCCCTGCATCGCGGCAGAGGTGGTTCACAGCCAGCGCAATGTTGCCGCCAGCCGACACACCGCCGAATGTGATAATTGCTGGGTTCACAGCGTAGCTCTTGTGTTCTGCGAGGACGCTCTTGACAACAGAGAAGCAGTCATACAGGCCAGTTGGGAAGGGAAACTCGGGAACGAGGCGGTAATCGACGTCGACGACAATGACAGATGCCTTCACGCAGATATGCCTACAGATGTGCGATTCTGTTTCGAGATCGCCAAGGCCCCAGCCTGCGACAAAGATGGGTGCCTGATTAGAATTGTTCTGACTTGTCGAAGAGCTATCAACTTACCACCACCGTGAAAATCGAAGTGGACAGGCCATCCCTCTGCTGGCTGCTCTCCATGTGGCACATAAACCCGAATCTTTATGTCACCCGGATATTTTTCCCATCCCGGTACCGTCGTTTCGTACTCTTTTGCGCAGTCTGGCGCGGGGGCGGTGCCATAGCCGTAGAGCCTTGAGTACACCTTGCGAAGGACATCCAAGTCAATGGGCTTGTTCGGAGTATTGGCCACGTGAGTATTGTAGAGCTCGATAAACTTTGGCTCGAGTCTGGGAAGTAATGCAGGATTGATCGGGTTGAGGGCCTCATGCCCGACGCCGGATGACATGGTGGTTGCGTGATGCTGGTTGAACTCTTTCTGGATATGTTGCACGGGATTGATGTATCAAGGATGAACTAAAAGCACCATTGTGGCTGACCAAGTGGGTGTGGTCAACTCGTTATTTCATTGATCGAGGTTCGCATGTGAGACTGAATGCCGTCGCAACGCGACTTGTCGCGTAGAGCTTGGCTTATCTTGATATCCCGTCGTATACGCACTAGTCTGGCCGGTGTTCTTATCACAAGGTTGCTCAGGGTCCAACCTCGCATAGGATTACGGAGTCACAATCGAATCGAGCCAAGCTTGTCAATTGATGACTACTAGAAGGTGGGATGTCGAACGCGCAAGGCGCGAAGTTGGGTTTCTTGCCTCCATGAGACCTAGTTAACAAATGCCAACACGCGAATCAACACCGACCAGCTTTTGTCCCTCGATTGTCGACTTTCCGCGCACCCCATTCAAAAAAGATACCAAAACCCAAACCTCTTATATTAGCTTCGAATAGGTAGACGAATCCTCAAAAATCTGATGACATCCCCTCTCAAAAGAATAGGACAGCATTATGATGGGCTGCTCAGGGAAAATTTGTGTCACAGGCGCAAACAGCTTCATCGGTGCCTACTGCGTCGCCGAGCTTCTCAAGAACGGCTACCAGGTTGTGGGCACGGTAAGGTCAAGCGAAAAGGCTTCGCTGCTTGAGGGAGTTCATGGCCACAATCCTAACCTTAGCGTTGCCATCGTCCCGGACATCACTGCCACAGGCGCATTCGACGAGGCTCTCAAAGGCTGCACTGGAGTCCTCCACCTAGCATCACCGTTTGGATTCTCTTACAACGATTTCGAGACCGAGTTGTTGCGTCCGAGCATTCGAGGCACAGAGACGATCTGTGAAAGCGCGACTGCAACTCCAACAGTCAAGCGAGTGGTGGTGACAAGCAGTTTCGCTGCGGTTTACGATGCGTCTAAGGGCCTTTGTCCTGGGAAGGTTTACACCGAAGAAGACTGGTCTCCACTGACCTACGAGGACGGCAAGAACGCGCCAATGGCGGCCGTGGCGTACAGAGCCAGCAAGAAGCTGGCTGAAGAAGCGGCATGGAAATACGTCCGCAAGGAGAAGCGCACATGGGAGCTCGTGACCTTGTGTCCCGGCATGGTATTCGGCTCTCTCTTTCCTGGCACGCTTCAGTCTGTGAAGGGTTTGAATGCCAGCAATCAGATCATCTGGAGTCTCATGGATGTCAATCAAGTGCCTGAGACAAGAGCGCCTTGTGAGTTTTCAATAATCCGGCGCTTTAGTCTTAGCCAAGCTGATATTTTTACTAGTGTGGACGTCCGTCAAGGCCCTCGCCAGAGCACATGTAGCGGCCTTGGAAGCACCAGGTGCGGCCGGTGAGAGGTTCCTTGTCATCAATGGGAACTTTGACAACCAGCAGCTCGCGAATGCCATACACAGCTCAAGCCACATAACCGATGCGGTGAAATCTCGCGTGCCCATCGGAAGCCCGGGAGAGACACTCGATGGCAAGGTATACACATCTGATAGCAGTAAGGCAGGAAATATTCTCGGTTTTAAGCCGTGTGTTCCTGGTGAGGAGTTGGCGGACCTCGTAGCCGACCTAGTGCTTCAAGTTGTAGGCGTTGAGAAGGAAACGGTATGAGATGGGCGAACAGAATGTATATTCCAGTATTGCAATTATTCTTCAATTATACGAGTGTCAGTTTATTGATCAAAGGATCTCTGCTGCCGATGCCGGTGGCTGATGGCATATATGAGTGATGAGCCACTTATCCGCTGTACAATTACCAGCTGCAGACAAACCATAGATGCACGTCAATTAAGTTTTGAAGTAACCATTCGAGAACCTCTTGCATGCCAAACGTGCCGTTTTCTCGATTCGAGCCTTCTCGGAGATTTGGTAGTCAACAAAGTCTAAGTCCGTTGCCAGATCCTACGGGTTTCTTAGTCTCCACTTCCTCCCAAGCGACGGGACTGTGACCGTTGTTTATTGGCGCGCCCCGCCAAATATCCCGTCGCTTGTTGTTATCGGAGGAGTGTAAGAAAGCCGGTCGATAACACCAATTGGGTTTCCCTGCACTGATACGAATCGATGAGGGCCCATTGGAGTGTGCCGAGAGTAAATCGGCGGAATGGCGATTGCCTTTCGCCTTTGTCACAATAGGCTACGTGTCGAATCCAACATAAAAATACTTGGTAAAGTTTCCAGGGACAACTGCATTGTAAGTTTTTCAGTGAGATGTTCATCTTTATCTGAATCCTTGTCGTTATTTTGAGACCCAAGTTGATACGTTACTACCAGCACAGATTTTCATCATGGGCTCCCTTGAAGATATCACACGGTCTTTCAAGCTACTGGATGTAGCCATCATCGGTGCTGGGCTTGGTGGACTCACCGCCGCGTTGGCGCTCCGACGCGCCGGGCATCAAGTCACCCTCTATGAACGCTACGACTTCGCTGGCGAGGTGGGCGCGTCGCTCTCGGTAGCATCTAACGGTTCGCGATGGCTTCAAAAATGGGACCTTGATATGGAGGGCGTGAAACCCGTGGTGCTGCGGAACCTCATCATGCGAGAATGGGAGACAGGCAAGATAGTCAAGCAATACGGGCTCGGCGACTACAAGGCCAAGTTCGGATCGGTAAGTCGAATGTGTGGCTTGTTGCGTGATAACAGTGAACTTAAACCATTCCCTAGGAGTACTACAATTTCCACAGGATCGACATGCATCAAGCCTTACAAATGGCCGTCCAACAAAAAAGCGGACCGGGTCCATCATGCAAGATTGTAAAGAACCACAAGGCGCTCAACGTGGACGCGCAAACCGGCACGGTTGAGTTCGAGAACGGGGGGACGGTCAATGCCGACCTGATCATCGCAGCCGACGGCATCAGATCCCTGACCCGGACCGTCATCGGCGTTCAGCCTGAGTTCGGGCTCTCCACGTCATGCTGCTACCGGTGTATCATCAGCGCAGCCGAACTGCGGAAGCTTGGCATGACAGAATTCATCACCAACGACGCCATTGAGTTCTGGGGCGGTTTTGGCATGGACAAAATCGTGCTTTCGGCCTGCCATGGTAACGAGGTTATCAGCTGCTACTGCTTCTTCCCTGCCGAACGCAACGGCCTCGACCGCGACGGATGGAATATCAGCGCCACGCCGGAGGAGCTCTGTGCAACATTCCCTAACCTCGACCCAAAGATCAAAACGCTGTTCATGCATGCTGAAGACATCAAGATGTGGCGTCTTTATGTGCATCAGGAATACCCGTACTGGGTCAAGGGCCGGGTTGGGCTCCTTGGTGACGCGGCCCATCCGATGTTGCCAGACCAGAGCCAAGGATACTGCCAGGCCATCGAGGACGCAGCAGCTTTGGGCGTGCTTTTTGGCCCAGACTGCTTTGATGGCAACGTTGAGAAAACGCTAAAGATGTACCAGACAGTTAGGAAAGAGAGAGCTACGCGTGTCCAGACTGCCAGCGCAAAGGCTAGGACCGACCTGAATGAAAGGATCGGCTGGAGCACTGGACTGGAGAAACCAGGAAAGCTTACCATCGAGGAGGTGTGCTCATACGACCTGGAAGCCCATGCCAAGGAAGTAGTACGGCAGTCAAGATTATAAGAAATCGACCCGTAAGGGCGAATAATACATTTGTTTTTTCATTGCTCAGATTCCTGAATAGCTGAGACTGCTTCGGGTTTTGGACTTCGCGTCTATGAAACACTCGCACTCGAGACATGACGATAGAATACTAGCTGCTGTTTACCGACGACCACTTCCCGCAACACCAATGACGGGCTTGCGATTTTCGGCGCAAGGACTATTCTGAGTTCTTGATGGAAACTAATGCCTCACCGTATAATGGAATCGAAATGTCTGCACTGCCAAGCATTCGATAGTGGACATTTCATCTTGTCAGGAGTGACGTCCATCTCCACATCCCGTCGAATACCTACTCGGTGATTCTTGAGATAAGGTCGCACTGCCTTCGGCTTGAAGACGGAAATGTCGGAACCCCGTCGCCTACTGGCCTCAGCTCCGATTCTTCTCAACAAGTTGCTCCAGCGCATCCACTGCCTCCTCGGGCGCATTGTGCTTCCCGAAATCGTCGCGGATCCTCTCGGCGGCTCTCCGGAACTTCTCGTCTGAAATGACTCGCTCGACCGCGCCCCTCAACGCCTTCTCGCTTGGCGTGTCCGTTGCTAGATCGATCCCGGCACCGCTCCACGCGACCCGCGAGCTGACGTCGGCCTTGTCCTCGCTCCGGCCCGCGCACACCATCGGGACGCCGCAGCTCAGCGCCACAAGGACGCCATTGTAGCCCGCGTTGGTGACCATTACGCCGACGTGGGGGAGGAGCTTGGCGTGCGGGATGAAGGAGGCCACCCGCGCGTTAGAGGGGAGGGTTTCGGGCGGGAGAACCGTTTCGGCGTCCGGGGTTGTCACCATCACGAGCAGGTCCTCATGGTCCCCGAGAGCCGCCAGCGTGGGTGCGATGAGATTTGCCGAATTCGTCGCATACGTCCCCTGTGTTACGTGGATGACCTTCTCCCGCGGGTGCGTGAGCATCTCGCCCCACCACGTGGGAAGAGAAAACTCCTCGTCGTTGAACAGCGGCAGGAGCGGCCCGACAAATTTAACCCCCGGGTGCAGATTCTTCCTCGGAAACTCAAAAGCCGGGGTCGTGGGCATGATGTGCAGCGTGTCCGACCTTGCCGAATCAAAGAACCCTGTTGCCGGCAAAGGGGGCAACCCCATCTCCTGGCGGCGGTTGTTCAGCGCCGCCGTGAGCTTCGGATAGAGCAGACGGCCGGCTGCCGCGTGCGCCAATCCATTGACCCACCGCCCGAAGAACGTCCTGGGAGGTAACCACCCGGTACCCCAGGGAGGGACCTCGGCGTCGAGGGTGACGAGCGGGTTGATGCCCAGGGTCGCGTATGGCAGGCCTGTGAGGTCGCGCAGGCAGTGTGCACCGTAGGCGGTGAGGTCTACCAGCAGGATATCGGCGTCGAAGGTCTCCAAGACAGAGCGGTAGGCTGCGACTTGGTCCGGCACGCGGTCTAAGAATAGTTTGCGGAGGGTGGAGACGATGGCGGTGAGCCCCGAGGTTCCCGGGTCCGGGCTGAGCGGGGTCTCGTCGTGATGCGCGAGGGTTGAAGGGGAGGGGATGAAGTTTGCGCCGGTTGGGGTTGTGAGGTGTTCGTGGGATGCGGAAGTGAGCCATGCGACGGTGTGGCCGCGGCGGACAAGGGCGCGTGCGATGGGCTGGGTTGGATTGATGTGCCCTGCAAAGGGCATTGTTGCGATGAGGACCTTCATCGTGAAGTGGCTCGCCGAGAGTTGATTACGGATCCTGCGGTGGAAACACTCGAGGGCAATTCTCAGTATGAGTGAGATACGTAAGGCTGTGTCGTGTCGAGATGTGACGAAGTGAGGTCGACATTTGGGGCGACCCAGTGTGACATTTCCTAATTGCGCCGGATGTATCGGTCGTTGCAAGGGAGGCTACTTAAGGTTAAATGAGCAATCATTGACCCGAGCCGCTCGGAGCATAGTCGCAAAACTCAACCTTTAACGTACAAACATTTCAACCGAACCAAACCTCGACAATGTTGGCTTGTTGATCCTTAGCTTGAGCCGGATTTGTCGAGATGTACTGCTGATGAAATGGGTGATGTCTCACAAGATGCCCCCGTCGCTCACCGATCATCCCCAGTAGGCTGCACCCATGGCCTGTCTCGCACGGACAGCGCTCAACTTGCTCAGTTGTATGCGCGACATGATCAACAACCGTGTCTTCATGTTCACTATACAGTGCCAAGAACAGACATGGGGAACAATTTTGACTGAGAATGGTGACCTCGATGGCTGCCTAAAGATGAAAGGCGGAGATCTCATTCGAAGGATTCGGGCCAGGTGTCCGACCGCTGTTTAGCGCAGAAAACGAAATCGTGGCCATTTCACAATGAACATGTGAATTGTTGCGACTGCCACTGGCTTGTGGCCGGTCAACTCCTTCTTAACCAACAAGAATATCGGGATACTAACAACACTTGACACCGCAATCATGCGCCCATTCCTTCATAACTTCTTCGTCTTTTCCTTCTTCATCCTTACCGTTTCGGCCTCGAGTCCGTCGTTCTACTGCCCGACCTACATCGACACCGTTGTGCCATCGGGCCAAGATAGACACTATGGAAAACGCGAACTAGGTGACCCCTTCCTCGCAACCATGCATGACGTGCACAGCACCCTATCCAAATGCTCCGGGATCAAGAGCCTGAAACTCCGCGTCACGGGACTGGGGTGCTCGGAGTGGCCCGATAGATGGAGCTTCCCTTTTGATCTTTCTTCTCGGTCGCACTATCCGTCGAAGCTGGAAGTGCTGGACCTGGAGGGCTACCAATTTGACGATTCAGCCTGGGAGGAGGCGTCACAGCCCCCCTACCGCACCAACTCGAGGTTTTGGGACAATATCGAGTGGCTCGGGTCAGGCAGGGCGTGGAATTGGCTAAAATGGTTTCCGCTGTCGCCAGAGCAAAAAGCAAAGACAAATCTCGATCTCTGGATCAAGGCCATGGACTTCTCGCACATCAAGGAGCTTGCTCTGAGACCGACACTGAACCGCTCTCCAGACTTGCGACATCTTATTCCAGAACTAAAATCACTTCGATCGCTAACCGTCACTGGTCAATGGGCCAAGGACTTCATCCTGGGGTTGCCAGAGAACTCGCTGACGTCCCTATCATGGCTCTTCAGCAATGAGACGAGTGCCTCTGTACTCCCCGTGCTTCGCCATCACGCGCAGTCCTTGAAAAGGCTCGAATGGCGCGAGGCGGAGAGTGAATATCGGCAGCGAAAGACCATGACACCGAGGCAAATTGCTGAATTAGGCCGCATGGCTCCAAACTTGGAGAAGATAACATTCGACATCAACCGAAACGGAACATGGCCAATGGAGCATTTGGAGGCGCTGGCGACGAATTTTCCCAAAGTTCTCAACGTTACCATCTTCTTTGAGATTGCAAGCGAGTGCCGGCGACAACTGCAGAGTTCCTGGGAACAGGGCAGTTATCATGAAAAATGGATGTCGGATGAATCGTTGTCGTGCAACGGCATTGATTCCATGGCGCAGCCTCTGCTCGACCACGCCAACGCCGCCAAGCTCTTCAATTTCCTCCGAGAGAAGAAGGTGGGTGACGAGATGACCAAAGCCGTGTTCTATGCCGGAGATTGGGAGCGGCCGTGGGACGGGCCCATGCTGGTCAGTGATTCATGGCTCGAGGGGAGGCGAGCTTTTATGGCCTGTGAGAATATCGGCAACGGCGAGATGGGGGGCGGCCCGGAGGGCAAGGGTTTCCTGTGTCAGGGAATAGACACTAAAGTTGCTTCGGAACATTCGACTTCGGGGGTTGACGATTACTACGGCCCTAACAGAGATCCTGCGTGGGAAGGTGACTTGGCCGGGCGCGCCTGGCGGATGGAGTTGTAAGGACTTGACACATCCTACCAGCGAGTGTTGTCGACATGAACATCATTAAGTCGGTATTTCGATGGAATAAGAGGATGCTTCCCATGCGTGTGCGTCTGTCTTTCTGAGCTCCGCGATCCAGCTTCCGATGCCGACGGAGACACTAATGTTGTTCCACCTGGGACCGTCCCCAAAACAGACAAAGTTCCGCGCGAGCCAGGAGACCATTGCCCTCATCATGTCCTCATCAGCGCGTGTGCCCTTACCCTCGGTAACGGCCTGAAACCGCGCAGCTTGCTCCGGCGTCATTTGACTCAACACGTTGTCGGCGACCTCTTCAGGTGTTTTCCAGTACTTGCTCGGCAGCCCCATATTCTCGTAGTCGTCCTTGATAAGCTTGTACAGATCCCCCATGGCGTTTCGCTCGAACTGCTCCGACAGCTTACGGAACATATATCCTTTCTGCTTGTAGTCCATTCTCGCCTGCGCAAGCGACATCAGGTACTTGCGGTCAGCCAGATGCCTCGAGTGGTTGAACACGCGGTCCATGAGTCTATTAGCTAGCGGATCGGAGCGGGAGTTCCAGAGGTCAATAGTGTAGTTCATGGTAGACCAAAAGATGCAGCCCGCGATAGTGCACATGCCCGCGCCGAGATACGGCACGATGTCTATCGGCGGGTCGAGGACACGGACTAAACGGTCTGCATCAAACCACAGGCCGTAGTCGAGGCGGGGTGTAAGTCGTCCACCCGGCGTCTGATCATCCGGTGGGGAACTCAATTCGGGTGAGGACTGGAGTGCTGACGATTGTGGGAGAATCTGAGAGGAATTTGCAGGCGGTGAGCAAGTAGGTTGTTCAGCATCTTTGTCCCCTACGTCGTCGTCAACTGCGGTAATAGTGTCGTTGATGCCAGCGAGGTCACGGGCATTGGAGAGAACAGCCTTCAGGTCGTCAGGAAGAGCGTGACTCCTCCGCGAGGCTCTGCAGATCTTCGCGATGACATCTTTGAGCTTTCGGTTCTCATCCTGCAGCTTTTGGACCTTGGATGCGTGGCGCTTGCGGTACTCGCGCTGGGCAATGACACCGCGCTCGCGTCGTCGAGCCTGTCCTAATCAGTAACGTCTTTCAACCCTCTCATTCCCCTGGTGAACTCACTTCAGCATCGGCGGGACTCATCTCCGCTCCTAAGAGCAGCTCGTTATGATGGTGGGAGAAGTGCAAAGATCCTCTGTGTTAACGTTATCGTGGATGACAGACGCCCGGGGATGACGCTCTTCATCTTATTGTTGAGGAGTGATTAATCAGCTTGAGACTAGGATGGTGCTTACACAGCTTTGACACTGTACCTTTCACAGTGTTTTAAGTAAGCAGAAGAGGGCGGACAGCTACGGTTACCCCACCCATAACGTTATCCGGGGACACGGCGCAGTGGTCCGGGGCTCGGCAGTAAGCAATGGGACCTCGTCAACTTATCCGAACGCCGCCTCCCAACGTTGTTAGATGCTGACATTAGCCCATTTTCTGGTTCTTCTTCACCCGGTGCCGGGAGACAACCTGACTTTCCACTATGCTGACGGACGGATCAGCCTGACAGTTGAACAGCTCCACATGACGATGCAGTGAACGCGCACAACAGCGTTGGCCCTCTGAACGCGGCCTGCGCGAGAGGCATGAAGAATAAGAATCAGATAAAGATGTGATGCTTTACCAATTTCTTTTCACAACCATCCACTCCATCATTCTCACATCAAATTCTGTAAAAGAAAAAAGGCCGCTCTTAAACTAGCCATGTCGTTTCCTTCCCCGACCAAGACCTACCGTACAAAGACGTATGACGCCATCTCCCCGTCTCGTGCTGAGTTATCGACTAAAGGGAGGCATGCCTTCATCTCAGGCGGCGGTGCAGGCATCGGGGCCTCCATCGCGCAGTCCCTTGCGAAGTCAGGCATCTCGAGCCTGGGACTTCTCGGGCGGTCGGTCAAGTCTCTCGAAGGCACCAAGGCCGTTATCCAGGCCCTGAACGGAGAGACCAAAGTGTACCTGTACGCGGCCGACGTCACGGATGTCAATGCAACTTCTGAGGCTCTGACCTCGTTCTCGGAATCCATCGGTGCCAAGATCGACATTCTCATAGCCAACGCCGGCTACATGGCCGACCTCAAATCCATCCCCGATTCCGACCCCTCTGACTGGTGGCGTGCCTTTGAGATCAGTGTCCGCGGCAACTTCAACCTCCTCCGCGCGTTCCACCCCCACGCATCCTCCTCCGCCTCGGTGATCCACATCTCCACTGCCGCGATCCACCTGCCTTACATGTTTGGCTACTCGGCCTACCGTGCCTCCAAGAGCGCCGCGACGAAGATGTTTGAATACTTGCACGAGGAGAACCCCGACTTCTTTGTGCTTCAAGTGCACCCGGGCCTCATCGGAGGCACGGCCATGTCGGAGAAATTTGCCTCAACGGTCGAGGAGCTTGGACTGGTGTACGATGATATTGCGCTACCAGGGGATTTTGTCGTGTGGGCGTTGAGCGGACAGGCTGGGTTCTTGAATGGACGGTTCGTGCATGCAAACTGGGATGTAGATGAGCTCAAGGGGCTTCGGGATGAGCTGGAAAAGGACCAGAGTCGCTTTACCATCGGGTTGCAGGGCTGGTTCTAGATTCTGCAGAGATTAAGCATGAACGAGTTGTTCACTAACGTGTTGATTACCAACAGTTGAGCCAACTTATTGAAACAGAACATCGACTTCGATGATGCAGCCTAAGTTTTGAGATAACCACCTCAAGGATATCCATTTTCCAAAGGACCAGGTTCCTGCAAAATATGATTTTGAGCAACAAGCACCGCTCAAATGGAAAAGTTCATGCGAGAGATAAATCGAGGGTTGTTGAGTCATTGCAGGTGTCGATGCCAGAGCCAGAAGCGTGTTTTTTATCAGAATCTCTTTCTCTATTGGATTTAATGATGCTCTACTAATAGCACATGTCTTACAAGCAGAGTTGGGCAACGAAAGTCCAGGAGATGGCCTGACACATTTTTCAGTTGCTCGGCTGGCCTCGCTGCAAAGCTTGCGGCGTATGAGTCTAGGTAAACTCCTCTAGAATCGGGCACTAACTATGCTGAGATACCCCAGTCGCCATTGGTCTTTAAGTCTTGGAAGAAGACACCAGACGCCTCCTTCTCCAGCTCTTTTTCCATTGTCCACGGCTCCCACTTATGTCCTGGCGGAAGGTTAGAGTTGTCAAAACTCGTTCCAGCCTCGATTGCTGCTCGAGCTGCTTCGTAGTTATCCTTGGCATACAGCTCAGGATTGTGCGTCCAAACCCACTTTCCTTGAAGCATTGGCTTGCCCCCATCGTTGAGAATGTCTTTCATGTCTTGGTGCAATTCGCGTCGGTTGACAAAGCCTGTTTTTTGAACCAATGATACCCGCTGATATCTAGTGGACAGTCAGATGCGTCACTCGCATTTTTCTTGTACGTCTCCAGCATAATCACTTACCGTAACTTTTCATGAACTTTTGCGGCCATAGGCACGTTAGCTTTGCCTCCGATCTTGAGGCATTCTGCCAGTGACAAGGCGTCTTCACCAGCCATCGTTCCACCGTTGGCGGACGAAGGTAAAAAGCTGTGGGCACTGTCGCCCAATTGGATAATTCGTGACCCTTTAGAAGTCCATTTAGGCTGAGGATCACGCCAGCATAGTTTCCAAGATACAATGCAGCCGTCTGGGGCGTTTTCGAAACAGTCAACTACTTCTTGGGCCCATTTTCCCGAGGAAGATAGCATAGCAGCGATTTCAGGGCCGCTTACAGTCTTCGACCAAGACTCCTCAGCTCCTCCATTATCCTAAAATCTTTATGTAAGAATTGAGTCTAGATACGTGTGCTTGGGGACTTACCTCGAGTGTGAGAGCAACGTAGACCCTCTCATGGGACAGAGTGAGAATGAAATGTGTTTTGGTTCTGTAAATACAGTGTCAGCGACGTCCTGCATCAGAAGATGGTCACTAACGCAGTATAAACCAATATTTTAGGTCGTTCATCAGCTTTGGGGAGCAGTGCTTGAACTGATGGGACGTTTTCGACAGCTTTGGTGGGAAACGATCCTCTCAAACAAACATATCCACTGGGGAGTACGCCGACTGGCTGTCCAAGAATGACCCCATGTGATTTGGTGCCCAAGCCGTCGGCAGCAACAACAAGATCACCGGTGAACTCTCGGCCGTCAAAAGCCCGAGCAGTCGCAGTCCCGCGACTGGCGTCTTCCGAGAACTCAACAACGTTGGTTCCAAACTCAACTTGGATGCCAAGTCTTTGCACCTGACTGAAAAGCATTGCGACAATGTCTTGCCGTGCTGTAATGCCAGCGATTCTTGTTGGATAGCTGGCGTGCCTCGCCACCCCAGGCAAATTCCATTCAACCTCTTGAGGACCACGAAGTAGCTCACTCTGTTGGCTCAGAAAGTTGTACGTCACGTCATGCTTAATCTTGTCGTAATCCTTTGCCATATTGGGGTAGTTTTGGAGCGTGGCCCAAGCAGACGGCCCAATGACAAGGACATCACCTGTTCAAAGTTAGGATATTAACGTGAGTACCAGCGGAGCAACCGCAACATAGGTGAAGTATCAGACATACCAATAACGGATATCTTCTCGGCTCTCTCAAGAACGATCACATCAATACCTTTTCTCCAACATTCGAGCGCCGTGAAAAGGCCACCGACACCAGCCCCCACTACGACAACCCGTATACCGGTGTGGCTATTCCGGGCCACACCATCCACAGTTGCACTTCCAGACTGAGCAGTCATGTTGTTTTTTTTATCAATAACAGATGGTAACTTTGGTTAGTATTCTTACTTTTCAGCATGTCGTAAGAATCTGTTCGCCAGACTGATCTGACTTTTATAACCAATAGTGCAATCCGAAGATGCTGCTATGCCGATTAATAAGCGGCGACTACGGGGAGAATTCTTGCCGTAGTCAAAGCAGCATATTGTGAGGTCGTCGTATTGAGAACAAGTTACATTCTATGTGGGTAAGCGACAATCTCCAGATGCATTTTGAGCCAGGGCCGGTACAGCAAGCAGGCAATCTCGTATTTAGTGTAAAAGAAGGTTGTCTCAGATGTGTAAGCGGCTATTCGGTAGAAAGCTCAAGCCGGGGCGAGGATATAGATCCGCGTATCGCTTACCACTGGACTACGGCATGAAGCGGTCTGGTGGGTTTTATCACAGTCTGGTGGGTTTCCCTCGCCTCTCACCACACATCACCTACCTGGACCCCACTACCGTTTCATCAGAGTCACTAATAAAATCTACTGTTGGAATAACAGTACCAGCTGGTTGTACGACACGCACGACTCAAGGACACACACCATGGCAGAGGGCACAGACTGGATATTCGGCCCTCGGTTATCCATTGAGGGGATCAAAGTATATTCATGCCGAACTGACTCAGGGACGTACGAGATCATATATCTCGTGTACGAAAGCCAAGTCTTGTAGTTAGGAAGATAATCACGGCAAATACATCTTTGGTTCACCCCTAACTTTAACCCGAGTATGATTGTACAAACGGGTTCTCTCAGTAAGAGAGAATCCATTCAACATCTACCATTGCCGTCCATACCAGATCACCGTGGTGGTATCGAGCAAGCCAGGTGAATCTATCTACGATACTGTTGTCGCTGCTGGTTGTGCCCGGGACTTTGCTGACGGAAATTGTGGTCATAATAAACAACCCAGCTGATAAAGGATCCTCGTGGCTTAATAACTTTTGTGAAAAAATCCTGAGAAATTGCGATCAGAGAGAATATCCCAAGCGTCAAGCACTCCAAGCGAAAGCTTTCTTTTGGGAGCGAGACCAGATAGATAGAACTAATTGGAAGTAAGTCTTCATTTGCAAACCAGTCAGAAGCATACTAACAAAAAAAATTAAATTCTTTTTTGGGTTTTAACTGGTCATTGGTGTATCTGTATGTCCTGTTGGCTTGGGTAAGTACGTTGTGCGATGTGCGCTTTACTACTTTTTGTTCGTTAGACCAAGTGCCTTTCGTTGGTTCTGGATCCAGTCCGAACTTTTTCCAGGTAAGGTATTGGGACGGGGCAGAGTTTCCTGCTCCCATTGAGGTGGTCTTTGCGTCTGGTTTCTTTGATCTCTTAGCTAAGCAGGGTCTGATCAGGGGCGTAGAAACTTCCATGACATTGAGGGACACAGATCAGGACAACTGATACGCGACTGTCTGAAGGTATCTTGCGTAGCTAGGGGGAGGTTGTGGTTGTTCACCGCACCGCACCGCTCTCTATAGACCTGTCACCCTGCACGCTTCCAGTATAGTTGCCAAGGCGGATCTAAAACCCGCAGAAGATCTACAGTCAAAAACGGAGCTGCACAATCTCCTCTATCAACTACAGGCACTCTTCCATGGAAAGACAAATCGCTAAACTAGGAATTGTATCACAGTTCATCCAAATGTCTTAGAAATGATATTAAAAAAATACACCAACGATTTCAATTGTAGGCGCTACAACTGCTCCTTGTTCTGATCATCACTTGGATTTGCGAGGTGAGCCATTGATGGAGTAAATTTGGAGGTGGCGCAAATTTCACCGAAAATGAGAACCAACTTGCAGATCCCTATGGTCGAAATATGGTAAGGCTCGTATAGACCAACTTGGGTGACAGTGAGGCCACAATTGCTGTAAAACATCAAAATCGCCTTGAAGAGGCTGTGACCAATGATTCGTCAAGGCTCTTAGAGGCACGCCAATCAATTGCGTCAAGTGATGTTCAACCCAATCGTCTTCAACAATATTTGCCACAAGGTTTATGAGCACCTCGGAAAATTACGAACGGTGTTTAAATCGAGAGACAGGTGCTAATTTGCCTTGGTTGGAGAAAGAAAGTTGAAGGCCCTGGCCAAAACAGTCAATCTTTGAGACTGTCTCGCAAGTAGGACCGTTAAAATGACTCAAGCGAGCCCGAGACATTCATCAGCCTCCACAAGTAGCCCGCCGCGGTTGCAGCCATGCCAAGGATGCTCTGCCCAGCAGTTATGCACAATGATCGAGGTGGCCACAATACAGACCTAAGGTGGGTAGTTGATGGCTTCGATGCTGCGAGGATAGGGGCTTACTTAGCGCACATAGGACCCTTGCTTGTTTTCGACATCCGACCTGCCGGGACATTGGCATCAACGCCACTTTCCTTAACCACTTAAACTGTCAGATTGTTACTGGAGTAGAATTATTGGTATAAGTTGAATCTTTTTCCCTATGTAAGTCGGAGAAGGTGTCCATCTTCTCTTCGCAGCTCAGGCCCCATAATCTTCTCACCACATTCGCAAAATCCAGTATCCTTACAATGAAGCACACCACGTACCTCTTGGCTCTTTTCGCTACCGTTGCGGTTGCCGCACCCGCAGGTGTGAAGCGTAGCGATGAGCTGGACACCTGCGAGTTAACCTCTGATGGGAGCACCGGTGGTGTTGACAACGAGACCGTCGAGGATGTGTCCATCCTTGATGCCATATGCTCGCTGGGCACCCCGCTTTGCTGTGATGGCAAATCTCTGAAGTGCATCGCTCGTAAGTTGTCAATATTATGACTTTAAAGAGTAAGAGGTAAGGATTTTGGCTAACCGGTAACTCCAGCTTCCACTGAATCTGTCACTGTTGCTGGGTTTGAAGCCTCCTGCTTGGTCACCGGTAAAAAGCACCCGAGATGCTGCCTTCTTGATGTCGTAAGTCATTGCTGCAAAGGAGAAGTCTGTGATATGTGTGCTGATTGGGATATTCCTAGCTTGGGCATGCTGTTTCTTGCGAGGAAACCCTCGCCTAGGGTTTTATCAGTTACTGTTGAGCAATACGGAAAGGCTTCCTTATTTTCCTATGTCGAGATCCTGACGCTCTAGCCAATCTTAGTTTTCCTTTGTTTGCGCCCTCAAGTCCTGTTTTCATACTCTCTACACCTTTGTACGGCGAGCAAGCATTGTAATCGAATAATTACTCAAAGATGTTACAATGCTGTCCTAATCTCTGGAAAACTCATGCCTATATAACATTCTCATGAACCTGAGACTGCATTTGCCTGTCAAAAAGTCTCTGATGGAACACATTGGCACTTGCAATGGATGACGGCAAAAGCTCTCGCCGTACGTTAGAAGCCACAGAATCGGCGTTGTCAAGGCGTTTGTCTCACTGATTCATCCCATAAGCTAGCAAGCAGTTTTCGATTCCTGTTCCAAAGTCAGCTTGTGGCTCTTTGTTTCCATCTTCCAAGATTACTTGCCCTGTCCAAGGCTCCCTGCCGTGTTGCACGGCATGATTCTAGCCACAAGTCAGCAATATACTTGGGGGCGCCAAATCATAGTAACTCACATCCAAAAGCAACACATCTCCTTCTTTCCACGAAACTAAAGCTCTTGTTTCCCTCCATTTGATATTAGAAGAATGCGACTGAGCAGGCAGTAAAATCAAACCTACTTGATAATCTCAGCAGCTGAGTCAAGAAACTCTCTAGGGATTTCAGAGTCATCGCCGAACTATAGAAGTCAGCCAGTCCCAGACTACCATTGTCATTGGAAAGCCATAGCTTACGAAGGCTGGCGGCTGGTACTTTCCCTCCTTGGTGATATGAGGGGGCCGCAACGTATCGGCATCAATTGCGTTCAAAAAACGAGAGACTACATTGTTGAAAAATACAGTATCTCCTGTCCGTGGATGGTCTCTCACGGCTTGAGTTAAGTACATTAGCAAAATTCGCTTTCACCCTGCTGAACGGTGTTGCTTACCAGGTAGATGTTGCCAAACTCTCAGATCTCCCAGCGGGTTGCTGTCAGATTGGTTTTCCCAGACCCACTGCGCCGTCGGCAAGCGCTTCACCTCCGTTTCGATCTTTGCTCGGGCAGTCTCCGTATCATCACTATCCAAGACTGTTCGACCATAGGCCTGTAGAAGCGTGGTTCCTGCAGAGGACGTCTGGTCACGAGGTCCGTTCGGATAAAATAGTTGATATTTGACGCCCTTCGAGAGAAGTATCAGAGGGGATCCGTGACAATATGCGGATGATCCGAACCTTGTTCTCAATTTCTTTAATGAAATCAGGATGTTTCTCTTTGAGTCGGTGGTAGAGCACAACCGAACTGTTTATGGGAGTTTCACCACCTACAATATTAGGCCTCAGCTACTATTCCAAGGCGAGCATGGTACATACCCGTCTCTGGTGCCGACGCGCAGAAAAAAAAGACGTATGACGGAAAGTGTGGACTTAATCCAAATTCATTATGAGGGTAGACTGGCTGTGTGTTGGGACCTTCATTGGCTGTTGCCACGTTCTTAGCGTAAATGGTGCGCCGTACAGGATTGCCAATATCTTCGTGAGCGGTCCAGCCAAACGCGTGCGCAAACTGAGAAAATTCATTTGCACTTTTCAGGCCCAGATTCTGGAAGTAGACTGCTCCGTGCTTGTCCAATTGAGTTTGTAGCTTCCCGCTGTACGAAAGCTCTTCAATCTCAGCGACAAGATGCGCTATGTGGGTATTTGGCAGGGATGCCGCCAATGACAAGGGGAACACCGTTTTCTCCGGGTACGGAGCCGGTAAATGAACAGCGGGGCCGTACGGAATCGGTCTAAGTGCCTCGGCGTTGGATTCAACTTGGGCCATTTCTTGTGAACTTTGAAGCAACTTATTCGAGAAAATGCTGATTTATGCTTCTTTACGGGCTTACCCGTCGTCAAGGTTCTCTTGGGTGCTTTTATTCGACTATTGGAACGCGTTTATGCCGGAATTATGTTGCGTTCTCAACCCAGCGAATGGCGAGCTGTGGAGATCGCCATTCTCTCGCAGATGTCGCCATCGAACCCTTGCAAGCACGACGTGATGACGGACAAAAGCCGACCCATCACGCCCTTTCCAAGGATCTAGCCCACGCTTTACTACTACATTTCCGCAGGAGCGCCAGCCGCCTCCATCAGGGATGTGCCCCCAAGAATTTGGGTTCCAATCCACGCCGACACAGCTGGCTGGGATTGTTTCATGACGATTTTCAATAACGCCACGCGAGCCAAGCTCGTTAAAGTTATCTCCTCAACCAATCTGGCGACAACCCGGTATCTGGCGGAATGCGGAGTCTGCGACCTCTGACGAAGAGGGAAAGAAAGCCAAATGGATGTAGAACGGCGGACGTTGGCCGCTTGCGATTTGCTAGCGTGGCAATGGATCTGCTGCCAGAAAATTTAGGCTGAGGGGCACCACCATTGTAGAGTCTGGGAGTTCCCTTAAAGAGCTCAAGTCCGAAGAGTCCCCATCGCCTCTTCACTTGCATGAACTGAACCGTTGTGTCGGGACGCAAGCAACCTGTCAGCAATGTCGTCTGCCGATCATGCGAAACAGACCGAAGAGGTTGATCAGGAAGTCCAAGATGTTCAGCCTTCGAAGCCCGTATCACGCTTTACACGCTGGTTTCGCAGTCCTCTTTTCAACGTCATCGTCGTGGGCTTGATCTCTTTCACTCAACCCGGAATTTGGAATGCTCTCAACAGTATGTTTGGCTGTTACAGAGGCGAACTTAGACAGTACTGACAAAGTCTTTCCAAAGGCACCGGCGCGGGCGGTCAACAAGAGCCCTACCTCGTCAATGGATCCAACTCTCTGACATTCGGTATCATGGTTTTTGGCTGCAGTTTCTTTGCCATCATGGCCAACAAGATCGGCCTCAAGACGGTTCTGATCATCGGCACTCTTGGCTACGCACCGTACTCGGCTTCAATGTACGTAAACAACCGCTATGGCGTCGAATGGTTCGTTCTATTCGGCGGCGCAACTTGCGGTATTGCTGCATCTGCCTTGTGGGCGGCCGAAGGCGCCATCGCCCTTGGGTATGCCGACATCAAGGATAGAGGCAAGTTCACTGGTATCTGGCTCGGCCTCCGTGAACTGGGACAACTCCTTGGTGCCTCTATTCAGCTTTCCCTGAATGTCAACAACGGCCAGAGAGGAAAGGTGGGATATTCAACCTACCTTGTATTGATCGCCCTCCAGTGCCTTGGTCTTCCCTTGGCCCTGCTTGTATCGCCTCCGCAAAAAGTCATCCACAGCGACGGTAGGAAGGTTGCCGACCCAACCAAGAACAAGGCCGTCATGGGCGAGTTTCGCAAGTGGTTGAAGCTGCTTAAGAATAAGCAATTCTACCTCTTGATTCCCATCCTTATCGGCTTCAACTGGAATAGCACCTACCAGGGCATTTACCTGACGAAATACTTTTCCGTACGAGCCAGAACTTTGGGTGGCTTGACTTCAGGAATAGCAGCATCGGCTGCTAACATGTTCTGGGGATGGTTTTATGATCTAAAGCGCTTCAGCCGCCCGCAGCTTGCAAAGATTACCTGGGCCTTTTTCTCAATCATTATGTTGGGATTGTTTGCCTGGCAAGTTGCCAACGAGAAATTGTATGAGGACACAGTTCCAAAGATTACCCTTGACTGGACTTCCCCAGGATTTGGTCGGGGCTTCGCTGTCAACGTGCTCTTCCGGTGAGTTTTAGTCGTCAGCAGTAATGAGACACGGAAGAAGCTGACATCGAAGCAGGTTCATGAATGAATCGCACTACATGTTTGTTTACTGGCTTATGGGCACGTTTTTCGACGACATTGAGACCCTGACCTTAGGCGTCGGTCTTGTGCGATCCTTCGAGTCCATTGGCTCATGCTTGGCCTTCGGTATTGGTGCAGTCAAGATATCACCCATGTATAACCTAGTCGTTGCGTTCGTTATGTTCGTCATATGTATTCCTGCGACTTCATGGGCAGTTCTGCTCGTCCCTGAGCGACCTGTGGACAACACAGAGACAGGCTCGAATAACACTGTGGAAGACAACAAAGTCGGGGATCCAGTCATCGTGTCCACGGCTGCCGCTGCAGCAGATGGACCACGGAGCATATAAAACATCAATAGTCTGCTTTACACAGTTGATCGTGTGGAGTCCAGCTAGTTCAGTTATAGACGCAATTTTACATCGGCAAAATTTAGCCATGTAATAGGTTGTCAATTCAGCCCTTGGTACTGGTCGCTCAACTTTGCAAATCCAAGCTATAAGAGGTTAAGTGGTAGAAGTCTTGACTAATTGGAAATTTTCCGCGCCCCAATTTCAAGACTAAACACGATTAGTCAACAATCATGAAGGAAATCAGGAGTAGGCCTCTCCCGAACCAGCCCAGGAGCACAAATGCCGACTAAACTAAAACAAGAGTAAGTTACCCAGCTATATTGAAGCCTCGTCAAGATTCTTCAAAAAATTCTCATCCTTAAATGGGACGTTGGCCTGCCCAAAGCTTGTGCTATTGAGAGCATTCTGAACAGTCGGACTCATAGCATCCCAGTCGAGAACCGGGTATGTACGACCCACCGTGGCTGTGAACTGCAGCTCATGGTTGAATAGCACTTGCGTAAAGTACTCCACCTTCAAGCTATCGCCCTGGCGCTCCGGCTTTGTTGTAGGCTTGAATTCACCGTGCCCTGAAGCTGCTCCACCGAGGATTGTTGTGTTCCCGACAGAGGGGTTGTTAAGCCAGACCACAATGCTTTCCCAATCATGTCTGTGCGCGCCAGTAGACACTTCATCGTTTGGCTGGTCTTTGGGGAAGTACCATGCGTACATAATTGCATATTTGTCGTTATGCCACGTTCCTCTGGCGTAAGTCTGGCCCTTGCTAGTATCAGTGCAGTCTCCATCTGAGCTGCCGGTTGGCTTCAGTCCACCACTGCAGCTGATGTCAGACGTGGAAGCTCTGCTAAGTCGGCGGGTACTTGATGACATACCTCGTATTGCCGGCATCGTCCACGGCGGTATACGGCTGGCACCCGTGCGCAATATGAAGAAGCGGATTGAAGTTTGCGATTGCGATACCAACGGCATTCTGTTGGACAGTCTGTGGCATAGGGCTCAGAGAGTCGTGGCTAACTTCTTCACGGTCCTCCAAGATGTTGTCAACAGGTGCACCGCAAGTAGTACTCAACAAGCCAAGTATGGGGAATAGTATGGTGACGAGCATTGCTGAGTGAGGGAACCGGCGCCTGCAGGTCGTTAATGAAGGGTGCAGAAGCCTGAAAACTCTGTCCGACTTTTGGCTCCAGGAAAGTCTTCCTAAAGCGAGTGTGTGCGCGAAATGGAATTCTACTGGGAAAACCTGCTACTCTTGACTTAGTGCGGTTAATTGCAATGTATGAATGATTGAGAAACTAGAATGTACTAGTTGATGTGAAAGATCTCTAAATAGTAAGAAGACTTGGGGGGAAGTTTCGAACGCATGCAGATATGGCTAAAGCTGTCTTGTCCGTACAGCGGGGCATCAAGTGGCAAGTACACGGCTTTCGGACATCTATTTAGTCCCGATATCTAATGAAGTCAGGGGCAGGAAACGAGGGACACATTATCAGAGGTTCGATTATTGTTGAGGTCTGACGTCGTTAATACAAGGTCGTGGTAGTCTTGGAGTTCAGCCATTGGCTGGAAACCCCTTAGGCTGGAATCGCCCCTTTGCTGAACACTTCCGTTCTCTCTCATATCTCGATTGGGGATTTGTGATTCGCTGCACCAAAGTAACCTGATTTAGAAGCGGAGAAGCTTACATAGCCGAACCGGCAGCCTTCATTTAGTTGCGGTTATGGTGTGGACCTTTCAACGTCACTGAGTCAGGTCAGGGTCACATTCAGCGCATAACCAGCGCCGAGAGCCTAGCTTTCAACCCCGTTGTCGATAATTTTGGCTGGCAGCTATCAACCTGTGACAGAGCAAGAACTCAGCCCTGCGAATTTTCTTGATTGAGGTGCACAGAGAGATCCGAGTTGTCCGTCCAAAGGGGGATCCCTCTGCTCCACCATCGTGCTTCTCGCGTGGTTCTCCATGAAGTTAACATGAATTGACCCATGTTTAGCACTGCGCATTCGTTTACCTATAAATTTCCTTTGTGGTTTTCAGAATTTCATTATAGTCCATCTTGCACATATCAACATGAGGGAAACCAGTGAGGCCAGAAGCATAACTGCAAAGGCCAATGTTGTTTGGATTGCTCAATGTGATGCCAGAAAAAACATAAAACCATATCGCTTTCCATTTTGTCCGAAATACGGATAGAAATTTACCAGCTGAGCCACTTGCAACAACATTAAAAGTGCATGTATATATTATTCAGCTAAGATATACCAGGTGTGATTTTGCTTTAAAACTTAATACCCAAGTTCACTCTCGTATGCTATTGCTTTCTTCCCCACGGGTTGAATCAATGTGTAGCTGCCCGACTTGTTGAACTCTTGGACCCCATTAAGTAGATACAGAGGAGTCATCCGTCCGTCATCGCTGAAGTACAACTTTGGTCTTTCCCGGCGATAGTAGTCCAACTTAGACCCGTCTGTAAACTCAACAGTGGTGTTGTAGGCCAGTGTGTTGTTGTTGTACGTCCAAGGGCCTTCCCAGTTCCGAGCGAAAGCATGCGCACCAACTCGTGGCCCCTTTCTGCCCTCTGCGATGTCAACCATGTGGTGAACGAGAATGTGCCAATGTCCACGTTTGTCCCTCCAGAGGAAAGGATCTTCGCTGCGTTCGGTGTTGCGTGGCTCGACAACTAGATCATGCGGAGCAGAATAGTTGTCCGCATGATATATGTTGTTTTTCTCGACCGCGAGCAGGACTTCGTGCGTTGGTTTTTCGGGCGACCACAATGGCCAAGGCGCGGGATTCGTAACATTAATGACTTGTGCTATGGGAGCTGTCCACTCTCTTAGGTCTGTGGAGGCTGAAACCGAGATCGTATTGTTCCACTTCTGAGACCGACAAACATCGCCCACCTCCACGTCTTTTCCGATGAAGTATATGAGAAACTTCTTATCTGCAGGACTCCAAATCGTCGTCGGGTTGTGATGGAAGGTGCTGAACAGCGTTTGGGCGTAGTTGTAAGGGCCTCTGGGTCCTGTTCGAGACTCTGCTCTGATTATGGTACTGAATGGCCGCCAGCCAGCCAGACCGCAGCCATGGGACATTTGCGATGTGATGAGGTGGAAGAGTCCCTTGTCTGAACGGTCCTTTATTATGTGGCCTCCCCAAGATGAATTACCAGCACCTTCTTTGTAGAAGTCTGTGCCAGTCGCGTTTGTATGGTTATATCCAGTCCATCGTTCAACGGGCTGAAGGTCGAGCTCGCTGCAATCGGCGGAACGCCATCCTGGGTCGCAAATACAAGATTTATCCTTGGAGCAGACCCCGTTGAGACTACACTCTTCGTCTGTCCCACAAGCCTGCACGGCGGCCAGAATGAGTCCAAAGACGAAGGCGGCTAGAAAAAACCGCATGGTATATTGACAAGGGAATGACGATTAGTTTGAAACCCGACCCTGAGACTCCTCTCATGGTTCTCGACTTTATCGATTGCTGGGCGGGCTCCTTATCATCTGGGCGACTCTTTGCTGACCGCAGCTTGGCATTCTTAAGGATCGACATTCTCACCATTCGGCCCGCCGTAACGTCGTCCGATTTACGCAGATTTTGAAGCGTCATTTGTCCAGCGGGGAAATTCTAATCCTCGAATCTGCTTCAATCTCTCCGCAGTTCCCCGCAGGATTAACAAAATGCGCCCTGCTTAGCCGGTTGTTGACCCCGCAGCATCGTGTTTAGCTAGAGTCCACATGGGAGGATTCCAGCTGTACAAGCTATATTCACAAACTATGAACGATTGGCATGAACTTTTGTTAGATGAATTGAGAATTTGAGTCCCCATCAGTCCCGAAAGTTGTTCGACTTTTAGAACTCAGCTTCAATTGACCTCATACGTCCTATCCGGTTGTGTCACACTTGTTCGCGTGGGCTTTTGCTTTGTCAGTTGGACCCGAGCCTGAAGACCTGTGCAGCCAGTGGCCGTGTGACGTGACTCAGTAACTTTTTCGTGACGAAAATCCTGCAAATTGAATACCGTGCAGCTTATCATATGAGAGATAATGATTGTACTCATCAGAAGGTGCCTTTTCTTTTCCTTAGGGTCAAATAATCCGTTTGTGGTGGCAAACTAACGAAAGACATTTTTGACTAAAGTCTGATGAATTACTAATCTTCCCCCACATGCAACTAAAAGTATTCGGTATATAAATAATCTTCAGTGATGTGATTGCTGACTTCTTATCTAGAAATGGTCACAACATTTCATCGTCGAGCCACATAGCTAAGCTTCAATCGGTATACGGACATGGACTATGCAGCGCCACTTCTCGGTAATAACGATGAAGTTCAATTGGAACCAAAAAACTGTCTTTCGTCAGCGAGTGGCAGGGCCACCGAACGGCACCCAGAGAAGACCATTGGTAGTAAACGATTGAAGACCTTCACGGGCTGCTGGACGTGTCGCCAGCGGCATGTCAAGTGCGACGAGCAGCGACCTAGATGCAAGCGCTGCACGACGGGAAGTTTCGAATGCCAAGGGTACGGCAAACGACTGACCTGGCTCGCGCCAATGGGTCAAGAGGAGCTGACGAGCGGTGGTCAGAGTCGGATACGCGCTAAGGCTGTCTCTTCATCCAACAAGAACAGGCTACCTTTTAGTGGAGGGATATCTCCAGATATCGATATTCCGGTGCGCAGCTCGTCCTTGACATTCCGAGCTTTCGAACCACGAACCACGCCAAGGAGACGGAGGTTTACCGAGACACGCGGCAAGGCTACCACAGCGATGAAGCAGGCGTCCAAGGACGTTCGACAAGCAGACACTCTGGGCATGGAACTCACTCAACACAATCCAGTAAACACATTGATAAACGAGGGAGATCAGTTTAGGGAGCTGGCGGGCCACACGTCACTTTGGTTGAACCGCCATGATGCGGCTCACTCGGTTCAAAATATTTTGGAATTTGGCGTGTGGACAGTGGACGACAGCTCAAGCTGGCCACTGAAAGGAGACCGACTTCCTCCGAATTGGGACACACTTTTGCAGCACAAGCCGGAGAGTAGAAAGGCATTCTCCGGCTCCTCAAATGATATTTCTGTCCCTCACATGGGTAGCCCTATGAGACCCTTAGAAGTGTTATCAGCTTCTGCTCGAGAACGGGAATTCATCAACCACTGGGCGACAAACCTGGCACACAAACTGATCCCAATACGTAGCCCGGTTAATCCTTTTCTGACCATCGTTTCGCCAATGACACTCGAAGGGAGTCGGATAGCTCGCACGAAGTCCACTTGCACGGTCGCGTTGTTTCACGCAGTTTGCGCTATATCCGCAGCACATCAGACGAACCTCAGAGGTTACCCGCATGATGATGGGTTGATTCTTCACCACAAACAACTAAGCTTTCATCATCTCATGCTGAACTTGGACTGCAAGGAGCATGACGAGCAGATGGCGGCTCTGGCTACCCTTTGTCTGTGGATACTTATTCACTTCGTCACCGGAACGCCAGGGGCCTGGCGGGAGGTCATCAAGGTGACCAGTAACCTCCTCGAGAAGGTCGACATACATACCTGGAATCTGTCGACTACTGCTGCACTGACATATCAATCATTTTCATCTTCTTTTGCATTAGTCCAGACTCAGTACCTCGGACGACTGGAGTTTCCCGCCTCTTTAAAGACCAGTTTACCGGGTGTAGAAATGTCCAAGAGCCAGATTATGCCAGCACAATCTCTTGAGCTGGTTTCTTCCTTCAACACGAAACTCCTGCAAAAGCCTTGCCTGGCGCCAGATGAGCTTGATCAACTAGAGATCGAGTTCGCTCTTTCTACACCTGAGCCATCGACGGATTTCGATATTGGAAACCCAGACTCGGCCATGGTGCACCATCACCGCTCGCTGTTTTACTATGCTAGCTTGCTCTATTTCAGGTGCAACTCTGGTAGACGGGGCCCTGAGCAGGAGATTCAGGATTTGGTAGCTAGGTGCCTGGACCATATGGAGCAACTCCAGATGCTCCAAAAACATAGTAGTCCTAATACGTGGATATACGCAGCAGTTGCATTCGAGGCTGCAACGCCAGAGCTGCGGTACAGAATGAGGTGCTTGTTCTCGGAGAGAAAGTCGCTGGGTATTGCTACTTGGGACACATTGCTTCTCTTAGTTGAAGAGGTCTGGATGCGCCGTGACAATGCGCATCCCGAGGTTGCACCAGAGCCTTGGACTCGCATCGTAGCGGCTTTGCCGGAGCACGATGTAATACTATATTGATTGTGGCTAGTATCCTATTGAATCGTTCATTCGAGCACTCTAGACAATAACATGTGGGTCCCGTTCGACTTCAAGCAGTAAATCTCTCGCAGTCCTGAACTTGATTCCAGCAAAGTACTTTTCGCGGTGAGCAGCAACCTTTTCAGCAGGCAAGGATCCAGCGTGACTAGCAGAGAATATCGCGTACTCTGCAATGATTCGTGCCTCGCCGTCGGGGTCAGGATTGGCAACGATATCCTCAATCAGCTGGTTGAGGCTGCGATGCTTGATGCTCATTTGGGGATCTTTCTCTTGCATCAACGCTGCAATGTGATTCCAAGTAGATTTCTCTCCTGATAGGTATATGTGTCGCTCCCATCGAGGTGTCTGGAGCAGCTTGGCAACCGCGCGAGCCATATCTCTGGCAGAAGTTAAGTCCAGGGGCTCTTTGCCAGAGCCCGGTATCAGCATGCTGTTGGTCTCGAGGTTGACAGGAATTGCATCTCCCCCGTCCGGCAGCATTCGATTGCGTCTCGGCACGACATAGTCCATAAACCAACCAGTGGACAGCAACGTCCATTCCAACTCGTCCTGTTCGGCTAGCTCCTTGCGGATGACGCCTTGGAGGCGGGAGTAGAAACCTGGTTGGTCGGGAAAGTCCTCCAAATTACCGCCATACTCGGCAGGGATGAAGCGTTTGCAGGTGATGCTTCTCTTGGCAGCTTCGATCAGCCGTCGATGGACATCGACGAAGGCAGGCCCGTAGTTGAGGATGGCCGAGATGAGGGTGCTAGAGCCTTCGATGCCCTCGAGAAGAGACGAGACGGAGTAGTCCGTGATGAACTGCTGTACGCCAGGTATATTCTCGAACTCGGGCTTGGAAGACCGGGTCAGGATAATGACATCGATTCCCACCGCCGGAAGTTCTTCAGCAAAGTAGCGGGCAACGTTGCCGGAGCCAGCAATAGCCACACGCATATTTGATGTTGCGGAGTTTAAAAGTAGAGATAAGGAAGTACAGAAGATTATTGTCCTTAGTTCACTGGCTGAATGCCTGGAGGTTGTGGTTCAAAACTTTCTCTGATTTGAAGGTGGTGAAGCCGGCTGCCTTATATTCCCTCCTCCGTAGCTTTTCTAGCCAGCCACCTCGTGTTGACTTTCCGAATGAGGCATCTTCAGAAATCCGCATGACATCACAAATCACCAAGACTCATGGTACTCTTGGTAACATGTGCATGTTCTGCAAGATTAATAAGTTCTAGGTTTATAAGCGGGATGACTTCGAGCTGAAGCATTAGCATCAATTCGGACAATGAAGCCGACCTGGCAGTTACTCAATAGTGTAAGCGGGCCGATCATTTCCTGATTAGGCAGCTCACAGCGAGCTTGGTTACTAGTGCCTGATTAGGATATGGGTCTCACTGATTTTGGCACTGGACTTTCGATGCCAGAGCATTTCTAGGCAGGAGGTCTGTGTTTTACCTCTGTTCCTCTCCCTAAATCCATAAGCAGCATTGTCAAAGGGATTTATCATTCTGGCCTGGCTTTTCGAGCTGCATATCGAAATCACGTGACTCTTTGGGCACGTTAGCGCGTTACTAGCCATGCTCAAAGCTTTTTCTACTCCAATCAAAAGCTGCTTCTTGTAAAGGCAGGCCAAGAGGACGAATTTGCTCTACCGCCGCCTACCTGTGCCCTGCACCTTCTTCCCTCTGATCATTCAGATCCAGTCTTAGCATCTTAGTTCTCTATTTCACCAAGGCCCTGCCTCACATAACTCTCCACTATCCCGGCCTCAGTCCGGTTCCGAATTTCGTCAAGCGCAGGTTGTGCAGTAAGCCAACCAGCCACAAGCATACTCTTCATCTGCCAGTTCGAGCTGAACCTATCGGAAGTGTACCAATCAACGCCCTTGTGTCCCAGCTCTGGCTTCCAGGGGAAGTTGGCGATAAGATGGAGTCGCAAGATGGATGGGTGGTTGTCCAGTTGAAGCAGGGCTTCTTTTGTGGCTACGACATACCATCTAGTGCTGCCCAGCACGAACCCCATCGATGACCCGACAAGGAAAGGCAAAGCCGCTGTGCCCCAGATGCTGCTACCGATCATCGCGGCTGAGAGGCCGATGACAGCAGCTGTCGATGTGCCTGCCAACATACTGCGGAGCATCCTTGTGACGTTAGCAGTCAAAAAGCAATAAGCCAAGACTAAGGTAAGGTCCCTGACTCACAGAAGGCCCGGACCACTGTTAAAAATCAGTAAAAAGTTTTCAAGTAGTCAAGGGTGCATACTTGACATTTCCCCACCCGCCCAAAATCCTAAGCAGATTGAAATGAGGTTGAGTGTTGGAGCTGAGCTCGTTGACCTGTTGCGTTTCTTAGCGATCACCGCTGAAGGGCGCCAAGCAGATGCACGAACCGCATAATCTTGCATAGCCATTTTCGTTGGTAACGTATAACCTTTTGATGAACGGTTTGATGGCATATACGTGGCGATGCAGTTTTTGACAAATTCGTCTGATCTTCATCTTGAAAGGGCTACGATCGATCATTGGAATGGAGCACTTACCTGTTCCCAACTTAAATTAGGTCACGTGGTCATCATCCTGCCTCCATATGCGTTTAGCGAGTCGGACATTCGCCGCTCCGGCGTATCAGGCTTAACGTGGATTATTCGATAAGACAATCATTACACTATCCTATACAGACATTGCAGTCTCTTGCGTGTGATGCGAATGTTGAATACTGTTCAAGGAGCTTTATGAAAACAAAACTACAAGTCACAAATGTCTGAAACCTCCCCGATATATGACACCTTGAGCGGATCTCATCTACTCACTGGACAAAACACTACTTCATTCTTGAGCCTGTTTTCCGCAAGGCCGATACTCAAGATTGACTTTTAATAAGCCGTCTGATAAGTTACCCTATCACAAGTATGACTGCTGCCGTCTAAACTCATCTTGGTTGATATATGTGAGATTTTCCTGCGTATCGAAACTGGACAAGGGGACTTCATATGCTGTTGGCTTAGGGAATTGCGGCATTGACAGCAAACCGTGACTAAGGCTTTGCAAAAGTGCAATCTGGCTCATTGAATTCACCGAGGAAATTCCTAATGGCTTCGATATTCACTCAAGCGATCATCGAAATATGCTACTGGTACGTTGGGAACTGGTCAGGACCTTAGATAACTCACTTTTATCCAGGTTTCCGCTATTCTTTTTGCTCCCCCTTTCCTTTGTTTTCCTACTTTCCTATGAAATCGTAAAGTACAGCCCTCGCACTGGGAACTAGCATATTGCTATTTCGTCGCTTGCATCTGTTTTTGATGCTGTGTTAAAGTTGTTCAGCGCCGGCCCTGTGCCCTGGCAATGCAGTTGTCACATGGGACATTCTGTTGCCACGAATTCTTGAGGACTTTGACGCCAAAGCATTGGTGGTTTGGGTCGTTGCGAGAGAAATGGCAGTAAGACTTCTTCCTTACGACTGAATGGCCGCAGGTGAAGAGAAATTCCTCCCAGTCGCACATCGTGGAGTTTGAGTCGAGGTTTTTGAATCTCTGAGGTTGATATTCCAAGTATTAGTTCGGGTGTTGACGTCGATATATGTGGCTGCGTTCAATTGGGTTTGACTGTTTATGAACTGAGTGTGCTTGTCTTTATGTTCAGATCCTGGTGCTCGAATCAAGCTACAGAAGCAAAGCAGCCACCTTTTATATGAATTCATGAAACGAGGCAGTGAATGTTTTAGAACGTGGTGCGATAGTGAATCACGACCATTGTACTAACATATGGTGTCAGTGACTTTGATAATCAGATAACAGTTTGGTAATCAATAACTACGTTACCCAACCGTCTGGATGAATCAACACCATTTTCCAACTCTGTTAATCGTTTTCTGCAGAATATATTATATCCACGCAAGCTTTTCATAAACGGTTTAAAATTGTCAATATCACCGAAAGGCTGCGGTACGGTGCCTAACAGAACCGAGTCACACTCCTGCAATGTCGACAGACTTGTTACCAGGTGTCAGCACAACTAAGACAACGCAGACATAGGTCTATAGCATGCATCACCTTTATCGAAAGTTAGTAGCATATGAACAAGTTAACGAACCACACCCGTGAACGCCCTTTGATGCTCACTGTCATGAATAGCTAAGCCAATAGTAGGCAGAGGTGAGGTAAGAATAGTAAGAAATATGGTTGACTTGATATAAGCATAATGTCAAGGAGATGAGTTTGGGTCGATTTAAGAGCTATTTCGTTGCTGGTAGCATTTTTCCAATTGAGGGTGCTTTCCTCAGAGAATCGCATTGTAAACCAACAAATCACGACTTTTAAACCTCCATACACATGGACTCTGCCCCACCGCAGGCATCAACATAGGTTAAGAAGACGTATGACCCATCAGAGGATAGGTGTGCGGACAAATAGCAGGTAGGACGGAACGGTTCCCCCGAGAAGCATGAGGCAGCACCCACGGAATCGCTTCGATGGTTCGTTTCAGGCGTTTGCTGATCTCGTCCGGTCTATTTGTATTGAAGTTTATGTCCGTGAAGGCTGCCTCACGGCGTAACTCGCGAATACGGAGCCATATCACTCCACTTTGGCTACAATGTCCGCATGCTTGAAGATTTGTCAAACAAGACCGTTACCAATATTTTAAACCTGAAAAACCGGCGCTCCACGCCGGAAAAAAAAAGGGAACTTCCTAAGCGATTTCGGTCCGGCTCATTGTGGAAAGTGAACTCCCTTGGATTGTTTTCGTTCTTGTGGTCGGTGCTTACATGGCCCGACCGGTTCCGGACATTTTGGGGATGACCGAAATCATACCGGGTGTCGAAACCCCACCATCGCCTGATCTTTCAAACAGTCTTAGTCCCGCCCGAGCCCGGCAATGCAGGCCCCATGCGTCACGTCAACTTGGCTCAGGCTTTCTGCCTTTTAAACAACCGGTCGCCCTGCAGGACGACGGCTGTCAAACGTCAACCCAAGACCCGCATCCAAAATCAGTGCGCCGCCATAAGACCGACTCGATCTCATTGAATTATTCATCGCCGTCCTATCTTCAAACATGGCATCAACAGCAACAATTCGCCGCTTCCGACCAGCGACCGTCGCGGCAGCCGTCGCAGCGGGAGGCATTGGGTTGGGCTTGATGTCGAAGCTTCTCGTTGGAAATGCGTCCGCGGAATCGGGTGCGCCCCCAAAGGTCTTCGGTGCGGGGCCTGCATTCGTGTCATTGCCGCTGGAGAGTTCAGAAGAGGTGAACCACAACACGAAGCGCCTGCGGTTCAAGTTGCCGCAGAGGGAGGCTGTCAGCGGACTCTCGTTAACATGTGAGACTATTCGTCGATGAGTCAAAGTTAGTAGGTTAGGTGACTAACGACTGAGACAGCGGCTGTTCTCACAATGTCATGGCCTGAAGGTCGATGGCTCCCCGTCGCAAGACCGTACACGCCCATTCAGCCACTAGGTAAGACTACTTCCTTAGCTTCAACTCAAAGTATAGTATTGACAGACCACCAGACGACACCGGCTATCTAGAACTAATGGTTAAAAAGTACCCTGACGGCAAACAGAGCACCCACCTTCATTCACTCACACCAGGCCAAAAGCTGCTCTTCGCTCTGGCTATCAAGGGCCACCAGTGGAAGCCCAACAGCTACCCTCATGTCACCCTGATTGCAGGCGGCGCGGGCATCACGCCAATTTACCAGCTCGCTCAGGGCATCCTTCGCAACCCACAAGACAAGACAGCCGTCACACTTGTTTTCGGCGTCAACTCGGACCAGGACGTATTGCTCAAGAAGGAGTTCGAACAGTTGGAGAAGGAGTTTCCAGAGAGATTTAAGGCTGTTTACACCGTCAGCAATCCCCTGCCAAACTCACCTTTCAGGAAGGGCTATGTGACGAAAGAGCTGCTGCAGGAGGTCGGGGCAGTCCCGAAGAAGGGTAATGATACCAAGGTGTTTGTGTGCGGCCCGCCGGCGATGGAAGCGGCTCTGGTCGGAAAAAGAAGCGCGCCGGGTGTGTTGCAACAGCTTGGGTACCGTAAGGACCAGATTCATCAATTTTAAAAGAGACAAAGATCTGTATGATAGAATGTAATGGTAAGAATTGATTGGCGTTCGACTAGAAACCTTTCAGGTTCATACACAATCAATCAAGAAAGATGACGACGGATATCATTTATATAGCTTTTTGATAACCAATCATAGTAACAAGTTTGAGATGTTCGGTCAACAATCACATCAACCCGCCTTGCTAGCTCAATCGGTAGAGCGTGAGACTCTTAATCTCAAGGTTGCGGGTTCGACCCCCGCGTGAGGCTCAAATCCTCACCGCGATTGGCAAAGCCACTCTAACGGGTTACTTTTTTCAGGTTTTTGTCACGTAACCTGGAGTTTCCCCATTGTAAAAGTTTTGTGACACCCGCAAACGGCAATCCTGGGCCATCATCGTGATGCAGTGAGAAAGCTTGTGCAAATCTTTTTGCGTTGAGTGAACAATTAAGTGGAGCTACCTCTCCAACCTAAATCTGTCTAGAGTCTATGCTCATCATCAAGTTCTCAACTGACTCATTGACTGAAGTTGTTATTGTATGATTTCTTTTGGCTTTTTTTCTTCTCGCTGTCAGGAAGACTCGTTGGCTTTGCTTCGATGCTACTGATGATATGGTATGCAACCTAGGACCTCGTGGCTTCAAGCCTCGTAGATTGTAGCAAAAGTACGATATTGGATCATCCAAGATATCATCAGTCAACTGGAAATTCTGTTTGAATTTTGGAGACGCTATCTGCTAACAATTGGCAGATAAAAGCTGACAGCAAGAGTGTTTGCCACAGCTCATTCGTACCAAACTTGGTGAGACTGGGCTGTGTTACGCGTTTGAAGACGATGGCTGTGCGACTAGAGCCATCCACATTAATTGAAGTTACGATGATGATGGTAGCGCTAAAAGAAGTAGATAGCACAACTGTCGAGATAGCATCAAGATGGTGACGACAGGTAGGTTTCGACAATCCAATAACCTAATGCATTAATGGCTGCGAGATACTGGCTCAAGGTAATTCTATTATTAGCTAACACATTCGCCTTGTTCCTTCCCACAAGTGCTTCATATTTGCTAAGACTGCCTTTGAGAGCGCTGACAACCATAGCATCGTTTTATTTCTGTTTACAAGAGAATGGATGTCCTTCATGATCGGTCGCCCTCAATATTGCCTGAAACTTCCCAAGAAAGAGGTATGGTGTTCTTCCACTTGTTTAGATGAGACTGTTTATACGAAACCATTATCCGCATGTTTGCACAACCTTTCTGTCAGTTTCATAGTCTCGAGCGCATGCATGTGTCCATGTCAAGGAATTGCCCGGATCGTGGATTGGAGTGCTCAGATCTCCGACAAGAAGATGAAAACCCCCAATGTGGCTGGTGTCCAGGAGCGGTGCATCAAGGTAGGAGAGATTTTCGGCGAGAAATGGGGCTGATGAGATAAAGTTGGCTGAAGCCGGCCGGGGGAAAATCGTCTTCGGAAATCTTCTTTCTCCGCATTCCGCCCTGACTTTTGTCCCGAATCCAGCGAATCAGTGCCCCCCGTGGTGGAAGGGTGGGCCCCGGATTCTCGTTGCGGACCTCTTCAGCACCGAGTCGGGCCCCCTGGCCGTGGCGTCCATTGGGAGTGGAACGTGCTGCCTGGGTGAGGACAGTGCCTGGCCCACATCAGCTTCAACACCTTGCTGCTATCTGGCCAGGGGAATCGCGACCATCACAGCCTGTTCCTCATCACGACCTAATCGACTTCACCATTTAGCGAACGACACTTGCGATTTTTGCGACGACCTGCGACCGAGAACGAAGCTTTCGCATCCCGGCGACCTCGATCATTACCCAGCGAACCCCTCGTGGCCGACGTCCTACTTTGCTCGTCGACCCCGGCACCTCCGTGCTTCCAAACTCCCACCCGACCCTCGTTACTTCTCTTCTCCCTGCAATCCTGGCTTCCCCGGCCGGGTGAGCTGGTCGAGGACGTCCAGCGCCAGTCGAATGAATGCAACCCCTAAATCCATTCCTCGCTGCCTTCTTCCGAAGCTCCCTGCCATCCCAGTGTACGCCGGTACATCACCACATCCTCCTGGTCCCGACCACCGAGGTACTCCTCACATGTCGCGAGATCGAGAGTGGCTCGACCTTGCATGAGGTCCTCACTTCGGAGGAGTTCCTAGCTAGCCATGTTCTCCGCATACCGGCATCCAACACCGCTGCGGTGGCCGGAGGCAAGGAAGTGGCTCAAAACTTGCGGGAGCTGAGGGGCAAGGCAAAGCAGTATCAGACCATTAATGGTCGCACAGTTGTCATCAAAGACACTCATGTCTACAGTAATAAAGGTGCGCCCGCCGTATACGGGCTTTCTGCAGAAAGCCAACAGCTAACGCGCCCATTACAGGCTTCAAGTCGCTCGCGCAGGCACAGTTGCTCCACGATTCCACATGGTATCCCGACTTGCTCGAGCCCCGTCAATGGCTAATCTATTATATTTCGCGGCCCCTGGTGGGGGTATGGGAAGAAATAAAGATCGAGCCGGCGATTCTGATTGAAGGGATAGCGAGGAGACGAGCGCTCGAGCAGAGCCGATCATCCGCCGCCGAGAACAACGAGGGCGCCATGCTGCCGCGCAAAAAAGATATCAAGAGCTTCCACGACCTCCTCAACCACTTCCCCATCATTGCGCGACAGATGCAGCCCGGATTGGAGAAGCTGTTTCGAGAATTCTCAACTGTCTTTGAGCGACCGCTTCCACCGCCCCCTTCCGCCTTCCGAATACCTGACCCCGAGCCCGATGGACCGATCACCACGGCGATGCGAAAGGCTAGGTCCAACAGCATGTCTGCGGCCAGGCGACCGAACGGGGTACCCAACGGACTGCCTGTGACAGAAAATTTCTATGCCGAGGACGACGAAGATGTGATGAGGGCGTCGCTTGAGACTGCTGTAACTGCGGCGATCGATCTGTTCCAGGGCGTCGACAAGCAGCAACTTTCGATGCTTGGGGCCACGACGGACTTGACAGGCCCACTTGTCGAAAGGCTCATTGAGAGATATGTCTCGGAGAATGTCCATCACCTTCTTTTTCCGCGCCTCAGTGCGTCAAAACGACCATACGATCTTGAGCTGGAGGCCAAGATTCGACAGATGGAGTTTATCGACCTGTCTCAGCTGGGAATTGCTATTGAAGGCGGCTCCCGGGGAAGCATGAACTCACGATCCAGCTCGGTCTAGCCGTGGAGGAGTTCAAGAAGATGGCAAACGCCATGAGTCCGCAAGAGATGCTTGACTTGCTTCTGTCAACCATGAAGCTGGTAACGCACTTGACAAATTCTTCTCAGGCGCAAGCGACCTCTTCGTCGGAAAAGCCAACCCTTACGGTCAACGCCGATACACTTGTCTCGCTGCTGTTGTTCGTGGTCATCCGAGCTCAAGTGAGACACTTGCACGCCCGGCTCATTTACATCCGGCATTTCATCTTCATTGACGATGTTGACAACGGCGAGATGGGCTACGCCTTGAGCACGTTTGAAGCTGTACTGGCGTACCTCGTTTTGGATTCGGCAGGACTGCGGAGGGCTAGCCGGCGAAACAAAGCACTGTGGGATGCGGCCTGCAACGGAAGCCTGGATGACCTGAAAAAGATCATGGAGCCGGACTCCAATGCTATTATCGACGACGATCTCTACGACTCACCCGAGTCAAGTCGACGGCCGTCTCGTAGCTGGAGTTACACCAATGGCTCAACCTCAAGGAGATCGTCCACCGCCTTGACGTTCTCGGATCGCTTTTCCTCTGGCTCTGGTCTAAGCCATGTCTTCCCGTTCCAGGTCGAGGACAACGGCAGCGAGCTTGAATTTCCTCTGCCTCCTCCAACGAGGAAAGTCAAACGGGTTGCTATGGACACGAGAAGCATGTCCAGCGAGTCTGAGATCTCGTACCATTCAAGAGCGACAAGCAACGGGACTGTCGGCAGCGTGCTGGAGGGCGATGTTACGATTGATCGGTTATCGCAGACACACAACTTGTTCGGAGAGTCAATCTTGATGATGGCTGTGCAAAACGAAAGGCCCGATCTGTTACGGTACTTGCTGTCACTGAATGAGTATTACCCGCCTTCAGCGGTGCTGGACGACATCAACAACGAGGACACAACACTGTTTAGCGCCGCGGTTCAGCTGGGCCACGCAGAGCTAATTAACATTGTCCTCGACTTTGTCACGACCTCGGCGTCAAAAGAGCGGCTTGTTGAGTACTTTGCTCAGCAGGACATTTGGGGGCGCAGCTGCGCGCATTATCTGTTCCACGCGCCGTTTCTGATCTCTCGGATCGGGAAATTAGTCCCCTGGCGGCAAAAAGACAAGAACGGCCAAACGCCGCTTTTTGCGCTGTGCCGGTCTTATGACCATGTCCATTACCGCGAAATGGTGGATGCCGGCCTCGATGCGGCCACGGAAGCGCAGGGTGACGGGCTTCCGCTGCACATTGATGATCATGTGGACGCCAAGGGGAACACACTGCTTCACATTGTCAACGACCCGCAGCTCGCCATCAGAGTTCTCCAGCAGTGTGACGTCGACGTCAATGCTACCAACGAAAAAAAGTTTACGCCGCTGATGGTTGCCAGCAAATATGGCAGATTGGACATGGTCAGGACGCTGTTTGTGGATGCGCGCGTCGACGTCGCAGCCCGAGAGCTTCGAAGCCTCACGGCCGTCGAACTGGCCAAGGATGATGACATACGAAATAAGATTGACGACCTGGCACTCTTTAGCATGCCCCCCGGTGCGGATGCCCGTATTACCGGCGTCGTACGAGCCTTTTTTGTGGAAGACGCGACCATTCGCTTGGTCTTGAAATCAGCCGCCCCCGCCGACCACCTGAGCTACACTGTTACCACGAGCCGCCGGAACCTCTCCGATTTTGAACATCTCGGCAACCTGCTGGCGCTCGAGAACCCGGCATCGTGGATCCCGGCAGTCGCTGGTGTCCGGTCGCCATTCCAGATACCTTCAAAGCCGTCGAGAGCGGTGCTGAGGGATATCCAGACTCGGGTCGACTGGTTCCTCAAGATCATGCTCAATCACCCGACATTCGCGACGCATGAGATGCTCTGGGAGTTCTTCCTGGTGCCTGACATCCAGCTCGGCATGATGGAGCAGAGAAGCAACCTGAAAGCCGAGACTCGAGCCGAGAAGGTCCGGGAAGAGTACGAGCCTGTGAAGGATGTGCGTGAGGTCGAGCAATTCGTGGACCATGCGAGAGAGATGGTGCGGAGTGTCAACTACTCGACTAAGAGCGTGGCCAGAAGAGTCAACTCCATCGCCGTTGTCGCATCAGGTAAGTTATCATTTGTCTAGCATGTCAGCTCACCGAACGCGCTGACAAAGACAGACCTCCACGATGCATCAGCTCTTCTGCACCGCACAGTATCGACGCTGCCGTTCCTGCCACCAGTGTACATCACAGCACTCGAGTCGTACGTCCGTACCATCGCACCCATGCAGTCGAATCCCTACGGCAGCTTCCATTCGACATTCTTGGCCGCGCAATCGACGATCCAGGCTCTCCTCTCAGCCCTCGCACGACCACCTGCGCAGATTGCGCAAATATCAGCTGCGCGCAAGTCGGCGGAGAGGAACTACAACTCGCTTACGCGATCGACACGGTGGCCACTCGGCCTGCTGGACGATACGCGGCAGCGTCTCAACGAGGAGAGGGAGGAGAAGGCACGCCAGTCGCAGGAGCAGGTGGACGACCTCGGTCGAGAACTCCGGTACTCGCAGCAGGTGGTGGCTGGGGAGCTGGCCGGGTGGCAAGACCTGCACGAGAAGATGGGGCGGCGGGCGATCAAGGACTTCGCCAAGGGCATGGTGATCCAAGAGCGACTCCGGCTTGACGGGATGATGCGGGCGCTGCGCAGACTGCGAGAAGGCAAGGCGGAGCTCGAGAGGGCTTCGGCTGCTTTGGCAAGCGTTTCAGGGCGGTCGAGTATGAGTCAATCGACGAACGAGGGGATGGAGACGGATGCGGGCGAGGGAGCCAGCACCGCTGGCTCGAGAGTGGGCAACGAGGTGGCGAACGGGGCGGGATTTTAGACCCTGCACTACGTTGGCTCGCGTCGTCGACTGCCCGTCTGCCTGGACTAGGGGGGGGTTAGAGAGACTTCTCAACACCATGGACGAGACGCGTGGTATGGGAAATGCGACGCGTCTCGGCCAGCGGTGGTTGTGAGTGGACGGCGGGCGTGGTGGGACGGAGGATCAGTCCATGATAGCTCTACGTCGCAACGGACGAATGCAGGCAGAGAGAGCAATGTTGCGTGTGGGATGGGGAGCCACATCACCTGCATGAGGCACACAAGCACACACCTTTACTCTTGGTGTCTACATTTCTCAACTCTTTTTTCTCGATTGTCCTTTTTGTGTAGCAAGTTAGAGACCTCTTCACTTTTGACGGATACCCTTCTGGCGTCCTGGGCGTGTGGAATGTGTGCTAGACGGCCTATTGTTTCTGCTTTTTTGGGAGGGACGGGTTTTGCAACGGGTCCCCCGAGACGAGGACGATTACCCTTAGACAATGGATACATGAGGATTACCTAGACAATGTCTGATTTGCCCTTTTTCCTTCTTCTCCTTCATTGAAAGGTCGTCTGTGGGCTAAAGTAAGGGTCAAGGCCCAAAGGCCAGCCTTGTTGATGTCGTTCAGTCCATGTCGAGGTGTCGGTGATGCCATTCTGCATTCAGACCAGCCTCCCCGATTTTCCCGGGCAGGCTCCGGAGGGCTGTACCTCCCACATGCGATTGTCCCGCCCAAGAGGACACCGACCCGAACTGCCGGTGGGTAGCAGTTTGCATGTTGTTGGGGGAGGAAAAAGTGATCCCCCTACCCCGGTCCTCATTAGGACTTGGCTAAAGGTCCCACGGATTGATGGACAACGAGATGTGAGTCACCCTTCCTTGCGCGAGCTAAGGACAAAGAGTTCATCATGCATGGCAAGGCTAGGATATCCGGACTGGACGGGGGGGGACTGACTTGCCCAGGTGGACGAAAGGAGCCCACGAATCGAGAAACAAAAAGGCGGTCGTGAAACATCCCGGGAAGACGGCTGGGCCAATGAAGCGGTCGAGACACGGGCTTGGAGAAGCGTCGGGACCCGATTGGACGGATGGGTTCGTTGAACGATCTACGGCGCGTCGAGATTGGGTGGGATGTTGGCGCGTGGCGGACGGCCAATGAGGGACGGAGAACGGGGGAGGTTGAAAGAGGCAGGCTTGGATGACAAAGGGTGGGACCACACGGACCACGGGCTGGGAACACGGGCTTGTGGGGACGTGTGGCGCGCACGGGCCATGCGGGAGCGGGAAGGCACAGGCGAGCAGAGACGGAAAGACTGGACGAGGGAGGGAGGCACATATGGATGCTGACTGGTCTGGTGTGGCGCTTGAGAAGAGGAGGAGAAGGAAGAAGAGGGGGAAGGTGAGGACAGGTTAAGCGCTCTGGTGCGGCTGTGCAAGAGTCGCTCAATGCGCCTTGTGTCTCCCCATTTTCCTCCATCTTACGAGGACAAGAGTCGTACCACATCGGCCGAGAGTGGGAAGATGGCCGGGTGAAGCTCTGCCTCCGGGGAGGGGAGGGGGGATTGCGAATCACGGAGCAGAGTACAGCCGGCAACCCTTAGGCTTGCCGCCGCCTAGCGAGATAATAGCACGAATGGTCGGATGATATCCGCCTTAACACATTCGAGACATGCCGCTGTTAATCAACGTAGCAGACGGCGGCTGTGATGTGAGGCTTAGACTTTTGAGTTCTGTTGACACACCGAGACATGCGCGGCGAGAGAGGAGGCTCAGGTGCGTCGTGTAGGGACGTCAGCAGCCAGACGGGATCATCGGCTTCCATCGTCATTGTCAGCATCGAGGGGCCCGACTTCGGGGCCGTAGGGGGCTTAGGTCAGTCAGTCGTACGTACGCGTGTGAGGGTGAGAGGAGGGGTTGTTCGAGGGTGAGACTGGCAATCAAGCAGGCGGCTGCCTCTTCCGTTCTCGAGACCCTGCCCGCCCTAGAGTCTCCGTCCGACCTCACAGTGTCTGTTACGAGCGGGTGGAGCGAGGCGAGGGACTGTAAGCGCCGTCCGGGATCGGGAAGGGAGGAGGAGAGGAGAGAGCTGTGTAGCCCGTAGCCGCCCGGGCGGTTAAAGGAGCCGAGCGAGCGCCTGTTTCGGAGGGGACACAGGGTTGAGGCGGGGGGTCGGCTGTTTCTTTTCTTGTACAGTGCAATTTCGGCTGGCGGGAGTGGAAAGGGGTGGGAAGGGGGGTTTGACGCCGGATGGTGACACCCAGAGTGGGAGGCCCGATCTGAGGTGTCTTAGTGGGAGACGCAGCATGAAGCGACAGCCGCCGGTAATCTCAGTTGCCGCTCGGCTGGTTTTATTGCGAGAGTCTTCAGGGTGGACGAGGCTTGGGCGGTGCTCAACCTCCGGGGGGGGCAGGTGACGATGGGAGTGAGGCGAGCGTCTCACGAGAAAACCGAGACGGGACGTGATGGTTGACTGCGCTGCGAGGTGTGCTGGCAAACTCTCAGAGACGGAGATTTGTGTGGGAGACGAGTTGGGAATGCCCTCGCGGACGAGTCGCGATAGTCGTCTCGCCCGTCCGCCCGTCGACGCGACGCAGAGCGTGACCGAGGTTGGCGCACCGCATGGCATGGCATCGCATGTCACGACGACGCATGACATCGCGTCGAATGATCGTCGCACACGGACGCGGGGGGGGGGCACGAGGCGCGTCTGTCCAAGGACGAGGCGCATCTCTTGGATTTGTTGATGTTTGTGTTGTCGTTCGTCCCGCCAGCCGGTGTGGGGGGGAAAGGGAGAGGGAAGAGGATCCATGGAAGGGGAGCCAAGGAAGAAGCTAGGAAAGGCGAGAGCTAGGTAGTTTGCACTAGCTAGGGAAGCTGAGCTAATGCACGGCTCAACTGCCATGTGTCTAAAAATGAGTCATAAACGCCCAGCAGGGGGTGGTTTTTTTGGTGGGTTTTTTTTTGTGGTGGGATTTATGGAGAACCAGGTACATAGCAGACGGCGGTTGATGCAAGACAGCTGTTGTGGACGGTGAGTGGCCAGCGCCGTACCGTGACAATAGCACAGCAAAGACAGTCCGACACAGCGGGATCCGGCAGCCATCAGAACGGTGCGCAGAACAGCCTTAGGTAGCCAGTGACGTCCGCAGGCTCCGCCCCAGAGGGCCCACCCACCACTTTCCTCCCCGGCCGTGGTCCTATGGCCAGACTAGGAAAGCTCCAAAGCTCCAAAGTCCTCTTCCACGACGGCCCAAAGCAAGATTGACCCTGATACAGCGCCCACCCGCGGCCGGCCAAAGGAACAGCTTCAACTTCTTCTTCTGCATGCATACGCCGTGCATGTACTTCCAAGTGGGAACCCATCTACACACTTTTCCCCCGTGTTTCAGATTTTGGCCCTTCTCAGCGCCCCGGTGGACAGACTTGGACCTCCATTGCCAGAATGATGCATCCATCCATCTCCAAGTCTCTCTTCCTTCTGCAGTAGCTCCATTCCACCCTGTTTATCCCACTGTCGTTCGTGGCCGGCCGGGGGTCAGACGACACTTCTCCTTCTCTCTAGTCTCTGCGTGTCCAGCGATACGTATCATTCTCCCGTCAGTCAGTCAGTCGTGTCTTTGGCATGCCCGGCCCACGATCCGTCCAAGGGACCCCGGGAGCACCTCCATCCAAGCCGGATGCGCCCAGCTAACCCCACCGCTGCGCTGTACCCTCCAGTATCCATGGACGTGCAGATGCAAAGACCCAGACCTCGACCCGACAACGTTACGGTCAGTCCCAAGGCTAGCCTGGGGGGGGAGGCCGGGGCGACGGCCGCCCATACGCCCTCGCACCAGGCCGTCAGTCGCGCGCCGCATCACCACGACCGCATCCATTGGGCTGCGAGCTTCAAATCCGAGGATAAAGATGTCCTCCCCTCCCGCGTCTCCTGTCCCTTTTGTTGGCCCTCCTCTCTCCATCCTCATCTCGTCTCCTCGTCTCCTCGTCTCCCCTTTCCCACTCTCATCCTCGTCTTGTTGTCTCCCTGTTTGTCTGTCTGCTATTGCTTGCATATCTGGAAATCCAAAACAAAAAAGTTATACACCTAGATCTCGGAACACTGGTCTCGTTGAACGCGGCCATTCTGTCCCTGCTTCACAGCACCTCGTCTGCTCTTACACGTCACCCGCCATTCTCAAACGCCAAAGACTCTGGAGCTGGCCTCCTCTCTCACACCCACGAAACACCTCCCATAATCCCATAATCGTGTCTTCCTAGACACAACCCGCCTCACAGCCAATATGTCCACGTATGAGAACCCCCCTGCCCCTCATCTCACTTACACCCCTACTCACACAACACCACTCAGTCTGGCAGCGGACATGTCGTTCGATTTCATCTTCCCCTCGTGTGAGCCATCAACACCGCCAAGCTTCTCCTTCGACTCGTCCCTCCTCGACCTACCCTACCACCACAACCCGGGCCACAACCGTTCGCGCTCCAATGGCTCCGTCTACTCCTTCGTCTCCGCTGCCGAGTCCACCCCGGACTCGGTGAGCACCCGCATGACGACGCCCTCCCGCGCCTCGCCTCCGATCCGCCAACACGGCCCTCTCCTGCTCCCCAAGATCCGCTCCCAGGACCAAGCCATTGAATCGCCCACCAAGCGCATCAAGACTTCGCCAAAGACCCGCGCCCCGACTCCCCGACGGGCGACGCCCTCCGCCCCCGCCACCAACGCCGTCTTCCGCCCGGCTCACTCTCGCAGCTTCACCAACCCGGAGACCATTGCCTGGAACATGCCATCCTCGTTCTGCAGCCAGCCCGAGGAGCAGTCCACCTCCTCCCTGCTCTGCTCGCCTGTCATCTTCGCCGATGATATGCAGTCTCGCCGCGCATCCACCTGCAGTTTCGACGGCTCTGCTCTCGAGAAGTTTGGCTTCCCGACCTACCGTCAGATGCCCTCATACGTTCCCTCCGCTGCACCCCAGCCCACCACAGAGGCCTACATGTTCCCTTCTTACACCCCGCGTGCGCCCTCTCCCCTCAGCCTGTCTGCCACGGCCACCCCAGACCCGACGCCCAGCACTACGCTCCTGACCTACCTTACCGAGTCCAACCCGGCTCCCTCGCTGGTGCGCACAATCTCCTTCCCGCTGCGGGACCCCAACACCAAGCACTTCTGGTGGGACGTTCGTCAAATTCGCCCCTGGACCACCTTCAACGCCTCCTCCGTCCTCTCCCTCCCTGGCGCCGCTGCCCTCCTCAACTGCCCCGTCCCGGCGCCTCTCCTCCCCACCCCGGCCCAGACCGCCCGCCACCCGGAGACCGAGGCCGCCCTGCACAGCATCTACGCCTCGCACTACCTGCCCAAGCTCAACGCCGCCCTCGCCATCTCCTCCAACCGGCCCATGCAGCTCTCGGTCCCCGCCGCCTCCTCCGCCGGCGCCAAGAACCCCGACCTCCTCTTCACCGCCTCCCCCGCCGGCGAGCCCGCCTCGGCCGCCCAGATCTTTGGCGGCAAGCCCACCGCCCGCGTCGTCGGCCTCGTGCGCTCCTTTGACCGCTTCAACACGGGCATGCGCGTCGAGGGCAACATCAAGCGTGTCGAGTACCTCCGCGGCCTCGCCGCCCTGCACCACGCCATGCGCGAGCACTCGTGCCGCTACGGCTTCATCCTCACCGAGATCGAGCTCGTCGTCGTCCGCAACGGGCCCGAGGCCGTCCCCAACTTTGGCTTCCTCGAGGTCACCTCCGTGCCGCTCGGCGCCGTGGCCGACGACGCAGACTGCGAGGTCGGCGAGATCCCGCTGACGGCTTGCCTCGCCCTCTGGGGCCTCTGTATGATGGCCGGCGACGACGCACCGCAGGGGTCCCGCGTCGCGCACTGGAAGGCCGAGATCGGCGCGCCGGCCGAGGGGACGAGGCGCAAGGCCCTTCCGAGGGACGACTGGATGCCCAAGCCGCAGCTGGCCGAGAAGCGGGAGGCTAAGCGGGCGAGGGGGTGGATCATGCCCGAGGACCCCGTTGGCAGGAAGGAGCTGGGCAAGAGGGGTGTGCGCTACGGCGCTTGCTAGTGCTCTCTTGTTTTGCTTCCATGTATGTATGCTTCTTTTCGAATGGCACGGTGGGAGGGCGTCTGGGAAGGGGTGTTTGGCTGGTTCCAATGCCCCTCGGGTACACGAAAACAAAAGTAATTGGGAGTTCACGGATGGGAATGGATAATGACTGGATGGGGAACACGGTATTCAACGCGAGGACGAGTGGATGAGATGAGACGACAATCTTTTTACGAGTGATGATGAGTTGCATTCTTTCATCTTGTTTAACATGTGCAAGTCGCTTTAGGCACTTGTAATTACAAACTTTTCAAGGTTCACCAGATGTTCAGAATGACGTTCACTTGTGTGTGACTACAAGGCCCCGTTTCGTGAGCTGGTGGACGGTCAATGATGAGGTCCTGGGTAATGAAATGTTGCTCCACCAACAAGTGATTGGCGTGAGTTTCCGAACGAACAAAACTTTGGTAGAAGCTGTTTTGACTAGCGGCAAGAGTAAGGTTTGCCATTGTCAAATAAGCGCGCTGGACAAAGTAAACTTTCGTAGGCCAAGGGTCAGGCTGTGATACTATTAATCCAGACTGTTTCGAGACTATGGGACCTTATTCATTATGCAACTTGTGATAATATACCGTGTCCGGAATTCATCAGTCGCAGGAGCCATAAAGACTTAAATCCTTTCCCATCGTCGTCCACTCCATCTTCCTGCGGCCATGATGCCATCGTCAACCCGAGCTTCACCATAACGTCACAGTCAACGCAAAGGCGAAGGTCTACTACATGACGGTTTCCTATGCTTGAAGCAAGATTTGCGTTGAGATGGGCCATTTCACGCTTCTCCAACTCGTTGTCATTGGCGTAGCCATGGCCATACCGCGCGGTACGTCTTTGCTTCATGTAGATGAATGACATGCGTGCCCTTTCGACTTGCACCTTAATTATGAGCTGCAGTCATCGGCGATTTGGTAGAAGCGCACATTGTGGTTGTGCATTCAACATGATGCTGACGCAGGCGCTCGTTTAGAGTCGTTACAGTCCGAGCCCGATCTAGCCGAGGCAGAGGTTTGTCGGCTGTCCGAGCCGGCGCCTTCGGGCGACACCCAGTGCCCTGAAGGATGGAAAATGGTGTGTAAGAACGATAGGGGCCATGAGCGAGAGTGTGGTACGGAGGCGAGGGTATGTTGTTGCCTGAAGACCGACGGATGAGCATGGTGTTATTCGTGATCACTATTGGTCGGTTGGGCTAGCATGGCTAGACAATTGTGCGTAACAACGCGAGAGGAGGACAGGGTGGTAATGTGAGTATGTTAGTGTAATAACACAAGACTTGCCAGGCGTCTCATTGCTTTTCCAGGATATTATACAAGTACAGCGTGGGGACCCGCTCTTCACCTCAACGCCATCATCCTCTCTATCCACACACTGAGGTGTTACATTGGATCTGAAGAACCCCAAGGTCTTCCCAACCTTTCCTTTCGAACGTATTTGGACCCAAGATCTTGCGAGTGGCACCGGGTATGAGTAAGCACCGGAAGTGAAAAATCCTCTTACTTTCGAATGTTGCTAGTCCGCAGCCATGGCCCATGAACAAGCTCGTGGACTCACCGCCCCTTCTTACCCCGAACTACCGCCAGGATCGTGTGGGTGAACACCGTTAACCCTGACCACTCCATCACTGCTTCTTGCGGTCGAAAAACGTCCGGATTCCTGTGACCGTGATCCAGCCGACGACAACGATGGTCACGGCTAGCCGCACCTCTCTGATGACGTCCACGGCGGCAGGCCCGAGGTGGATGACGTGGATGTGGTTGATTGCGCCCGAGTGCGCTGCCGCGACGCCGAATTGCTCCATCTGAGGGACGTTAGCGGAAAGTTCACGCAAGGAAATTCACTGCGTTTGTTTGTACGGGGGTTCACAAACGTCTGAAGCTGGTTTGATGATGATGAGCGGTAGTGAGGAGAGATGAGTGGTGACGATGGGAGTTGGCTGAGTGATGGAGAACTTTTTTATGGGTCGGTCGGATTACGTTAACGAATCATGGCGCTGGTTTGGTTCAGTGTCTTTGTTGGGTTGGTCAGATGAACACAATGATAGAAATGAAAAGCTTCAACGCATTTTCAATTTTCTGATGCGGCGATGCAAGCCAGTTCTTATTCACTTTTTGCACCCCATACAATTCAAGGGCCGTGTGGAAATTATACCGATGATGGTGTCGCTCAGCGGTATGCACACAGCGACCAGCAACGATGGCCAAGTCGAGAGACGTGAGATGGGATCACTCTTAGCACGCGAGACGTCTGCGCAAAAAGCCGAATAACATTGTAAACGCATCAGAACGAACACCGAAACTTAGTAAATTTACTTTGTTGTTTTTGTATCGCAGAAAAAAGAGTCATCAAGTGCCTGCTTTCGTGAGAGAGCTCTGGGCATTCCATCTCATTACATGCACTGAATTGTGTGTATATAGCGGTAAGATTCCCTCCGTGAATGGGATTCTCCTCAACTGCGGGTACTGTGAAGAAGAGTTGCTCAACAATCGCCTATTGCGAGTAGAATAACCCCAGCACGCAATGCTGCAGGTAAGCGCAACATGCCAAAGCCGGAAGGTCAAACGGTGTCTTGGTGCAGCTAACCGCCTTGCGATGCAACGCTGCATGCCTTTTGTCCCCATAGTGCTGATGCTAATACGAGATTGAAATGACCGTCTTGACCATGGTAAAGAATCACTTCATCTGGGAGTGCAAGCCAGGGCATTTGTCGCTATATGCTCTCAAACCTGCATGGTCAAGACTAATGTCCGGGTATCTGTCTCGATTACCCCTGCTGTCCAATATCTGATCCGTGTGATCGGCCAGCGAATACGGCAGGTAACCCATGTCGGTCTCAATACCACGTTTCCTGCACGATTTAGGCAGTAAAAAACACTTGTAATAGGCTATCATTTGCAACGGGACCGGAAAATCGCGTAATGTTTCCGGCCTTGGGTCGTGATGCCTCGAATACGCGATGCCCCCGCGCAGCATCTGAAGAGGTCCGCTTCTAATCTCGGGTCTCTCCAGAACACCTTTGTTTGTCAGACACAAAATGCAGGCGTGGGGATTTACCGCTGCCTTCGCACTGGCGAGGGCGATTGCCGCCCAGCAAGAGGGCAGTCTTGACGGGACCGCAGTCCGTTTGGCGAAGAGCTACATTGTCGAATACGCAGCCGTACGAATCTTCAGTCGTAAGCTAGGTTCTTCTCATCTTGCTGATGATTGGGTGTAGGGCACAATTGGTAAACGCAGCTCTCTTGTTTCGAGGGACGGCGTCAAGGTAGTGAAGAGCTTCGACAGCGATGTCTTCAATGGCGCCAGCGTTGAGGTTACCGACTTGAACCTCGACAGCTTGCTTGGTCTGCCGGACATCATCAGTGTCTGGCCGAACAACCCTGCATATCTCGAGCCTTCTGCCCCGGCCGACGCCGACCTCCAATCAGTTCCGTCTGTTGCGCACGTCGTCACGGGCGTGAGCAAGCTGCATGAGCAGGGGATTGTCGGCAAGGGTGTCAAGGTGGGCGTTGTTGATACCGGCATCTGGTACAATCACTATGCTGTAAGTTGGTACTTCCCCGTAGAGTCCAGAGCTCAACCCAGTGACTGATAACTGAGCAGCTCGGTGGAGGCTTTGGAGGAAGCTTTAAGGTTGCTGGCGGATATGACTTCGTTGGCGATCAGTGTAATCAAGACACCATCAAATCTTCAAGTCTTCGCCCGGTATGACACTAATCACTGGCATAGACTGGCCTTCCATCGGGTACGATAAGGAGCCGGATACTGACCCTTTGGATCTGCTGGGTCACGGAACCCATGTCGCTGGTATCATTTCTGGAAAGACAGACAAGTCGGTTCCCATAATGCGTCTTGAGGGAGGAAACTTTGCCTGACAAGTCGTGTCCAGTTTCACCGGTGTAGCACCCGAGGCGACACTTTATGCCTACAAAGTTATTTCCAGACAGGTAAAACATATTACCATCGAGGGCTCCAGGTTCTTGGATTGCAAGCGCTGAATATCGCCTCTAGGGTTCGACGGATTCTGCAACTTTGATTGAGTCTTTCTTGAAGGCATATGACGACGGTGTGAGTACATTGCATCTTCATCTTTTTTGGCCAGTGACGCCTTCGATGAGGTTTTTGGTCATACATATCCCGAGTTCCTTTTCTGACATTAATCCAAGGTCGACATAATTACCTCCAGTATAGGGGGCTCAAGTGGATGGGCTGAGGAAGCCTGGGCTGTAGTTGCATCCCGACTTGTCGAACAAGGAGTCGTTGTGACAATTTCCGCCGCCAACTCTGGGTCACAGGGTGCTTTCTACTCGAGCAGCGGATCGTCCGGCAAAAATGTTCTCGCCATCGCTTCCGCCGACGCGCCATCTGTTAACACGACCCGAGCATCCGCCTTCACATCCTGGGGGCTCCTCAACGACCTTAGTGTCAAGCCAGACGTTACGGCTCCCGGCGGCTCAATTTACAGTACGTACCTCAACCACGGCTGGACGACCATGAGCGGCACTTCTATGTCTTGCCCATATGTTGCCGGAGTAGCAGCCCTGTACATCAGCGCGTTTGGAGGACGCCAGATCCACGGGAAGAGTTTTGCTTTGGCTCTCAACAAGCAGATCATCGCCAGTGCTCGCCCACTCAAGTACCACCTCTCTGAGTATTATGAGTTGCCGGCGCCTGTCCCACAAGTCGGTAACGGGCTGGTGGATGCATTCAAGCTGCTTCATTCAAACACGACTTTGGACTTTGTACCAATTGCTCTGAATGATACCCGCTACTTCAGCAGGTACCACGACATTACTGTCAAGAACGGAGGGCCCGAGGAGGTGACCTATCACCTCTCGGCACAAGATGCATATGGTGTCGAGACGTTGTTCTCAAACAGCGCCAGTCAAGACAAGCAGGTTAAGACTCTCAGCGACTTGATTCCTCGGAAGTTGGCAGCTGAGATCAGCCTCCCTGGTGACTTCACTCTGAAGCCCGGTGAAGGCAAGACAGTCTCGTGAGTTCACAATGTGTCTGCGTTACATTGTAATATTTATTAATCCCTGATTCAGGGTCAGCTTCAAGAACCCGGATACGCTTGGCTGGAATGCGGCAGTACTCCCGTTGTACAGCGGCAGAATCATTGTTTCAGGAGACAATGATGAAGAGCTCTCGGTTCCGTATGCAGGTAGGTGGCAATATTGACGGTCTGCGGTAGAATCTCCGTAACAACTAAATACTATAGGTGCCGCGGCCGATTTGAGAAAGGAACTGACGCCACTGTTCCGTAATGGCTTCCCTTATATTGAGAGCGGCGATCCTGCAATCAGAGGAAAGACCTCGTAAGTAAACCCACATTCACAAAGTGGCATGCGTTATACGCTAGTAAAGAGACTGACCTTATATTTCATACGCAGATTCACTTTCAACCTCACTCTCGGTGTCCAAGACTTTCCAAAGATCTTCCATAACATCATCTGGGGCACACGAGAGCTCAGATGGGATGTAAGATTCTTCGGTGGCCTAGAACACATAGTTTCAGACTGATATTTTAATAGATATTCGATCAAGGATGGACTGAGAGACAATGGGTATACCCACCGATCGTTGGCGAAAAAAGCTATATTGGGTCTGGTCCCTACTGGGTCGGCTCTGGACAAGCACCATTCTTTGACCCGAGCAGGTGGGATCCTGATGATACGCTGTCCTTTCCAAAGATCAACCAAGCAAGAAGCAATTTCAATTTTGAGAATTGGTGGTTCGGAAAGTTGGCGAATGGGAGTCAGATTGCAGTTGGCAACTACACGTGAGTCGTCCTGCACAGTGAAAAGACTAATGCTATATTGACACGAAATCGATGACTGACTACTTTCAACAGATTGAGATATGCCGCCTTGAAGCCTTTTGGCAACCCCTCGTACTCGGACAACTGGGTAGCATTCACCACGCCGATCGAGGTTCTGGGCCAGTATTGAATGTCTTCGATGCTATGAAGATTGTCTTACAACATGGGTAAACAGCTCAGGACAAAGGAGAAACGAGCTCAGAAAACTAACTAGAGGTTTAGATAGAAGTACGAAAACCGAGCCAGTTAAAATCTTACCCCAGTCATCCACAGAGATGAACCGCTTTGACATACTTGTAACGGAGATACCAACGTATGAAAGAATTTTGAGAGTGTGATTTTGAAACCAAATCCACCTGCGTGCTAGTACTCTTTCTGGGTTTGATCAATTATTACCTTCACACAGAGTAAACCGAAGGATTCTAAGAGATCTCCCAGAGTACTTCGAAAACAGCAAACATAACTGATTCAAAAGAAATATGATACTGAAAATCATCAATCAATCGTTCATGATAGCATAGGCTTGCAAAGGCCGGCCTTACTCTTCAGTCAAGAGATCAAAACATTTGCTGTAGCATTGGATGGCTTGAGACAACCCCTACCTAAGAACGATGAGAACACTGAATTAACCGAACGTATGGCAATGCAGCCATGCTTGGCATAAGAAGTCACCAACCTCAAGTCGTTTCTACACAGGAATAGCGCGATACGTGTGTCAGGTATTTCTCTCCTTCACAGCGCCTTGAAAATACGCGCGGAAGATGGTCCCAAAGCGATCATGCTTAGCCCAAGAAGGAGAGGAGAGGCTTTTAGTTCAGGGCTAAGCCGTTTCTAGTGGTCCTTCTTCCCTAGCTGATTGTCTAACATAAATGACATTTGACCAATGTAGTTCCCGTTCCAATCATCCACGTGAAGTTCGGAGAACGCATTTGGCTCCATGTTAGGCTCAAAGCAGGACCAGCTATCAATAGTCGGTTGTTGTAAAGGTAAATGAATCTCTGTATCCAGTGGTGTGTTTACACATGGATGGCACTTTTTGGCTATAATGTAGGCCTCAGCAATGCGGTAGAGCGCCCGGCATAAGTCGTGCTGACTTTTGCATGATTCCACTAGCCCACTGAGCCTTTCGATGATTTTAAGGGCGCTTCGAAGGAGATCTAGATCCTCAAGGTTTGAGTTGCCGATGCAGTGGAGGAATGTTATGATGTAGGGGGTGAAGGATGCGTAGAGATGTGTCCTGCGTGTCATCAGTATCACGCCTGGTAACGAAAGTGTGTGGACTTACCAAACAGCGTAAGAGAAAAGAGATGCATAACCACCAGAGGCAGACCGGGTATAGGCAGCCGCGTGTGCCATTAATCCTTTCCGGGCTGCATCGAAGCACTCTTCCGAAATACCACTAGCGGAATTGGACGAGCTTGCGCCACGGTGTGTTAAGGTCAAGATGGAGTAGTAAACGACATCAGAAGTATCGAAAGTAAACTCAAACAACTCTCGGCGAAATGCATTGGTGTAATCGACACCTCGCCATGAATTGTACCATTGCGACAACCGCTTAGAGAGGTGACCTGCAACTGCCCGTCTCTCCTCCTCACTGGAACTTGATGCAACTGGCGAATACAAATCCTCATAGATCTTCGACTGAATCCTGCCAAGTTCAATGAACGCACTGAACGTCGTATCCCAGGGTCTTCTTTCCGGTCTTTGGGAGATCTCGAAAGGCTCCACGTCAACATCCATGTCTTGGATGATTGTTGCCTTCCCCTGGGAAAGTGTCAGGCTGCGGTCAGCGAGGTAGACGTGCCAAAAAAGCCGCCGTGCCCTACAAGCCTCCTGTACCGTTAAAGCGGCTAGCTTTGCTTTTCGGTGATACCCTAGTGCTAGAATATGTCTGGCGGCGGCAGACATCAGACTCCACTGTAGCGGCAGGTTTCCGTCCTGTTGTGCTTTCAGCGCCTGTTTCATATCAGAAAAGCCTATCATACGGAAGTAGTAAGGGAAAACAATAAAGAACATAGAAGAAGACAACAACCAAATGGAAAAAGGGGAGAGAAGAAGGGCGAGAACTTGCCGCTATCGACAGTATGAGTGTATGCTCGAACGTTGGCACCGCCATCACGTCGTACGTCTCAACGCCTGATTTGAAATTGGAATCGCATAGGTCATAGTAGCGATCTGTTTCTTCGCGGCTGAACTCGGGATGTGCCGCGAAGTCGATATCCCTCAACAGGACCGAGAGATAACCATGGAGAAGAGTGGTTTCCCCAATCGTCACCGGCTCAGCAGAGAAATATATTCTTTGACATAGATCTTCCACTTGTTTGCGATTCTCTACTGCGTAAAATAGGAACAATACTGAATGGTCTGTTTGCAGCATCCTTTAGCATTCAGACAGGCATTTGAATCAAGCCGTTGAAACTCACCTGTCACTGTACGAAGAAGGCGGACTACGAAGTCCGATGGTGGCACCTGTGGTTGAGATCCTTTAGATGTGTGAGGCTGACGAACCTTCTTGTTGGAACTTGTGTCCGGCGGTGCCTCTTGCCTGTGGCAGATTCCCCGCAAAGTGGCCACCTCATCCACGACACCGGGGGGTTGAGCCTCTTCAATCCTGAGCTCTTCGATTTGGCTTGCAAATAAGGTTTGTTGCCTGAAGGATGAGTTTCCTTCATATGACACTTGGTAGTCTTCCCACAGGCAGTGATGAGATACCGGGTCATCAACTATCGTTGGGATGATATTCTGCGTCGAAGATGATCTCGTTCTGTTGGAATCTGGTTCAGTTCGGGTTTTAAGAGCTTCTTCGACAGCGTTTAGTCTCTCGTGCAATTGTCGAATAGTTGGGCATCCTTCATTGAAGCTACTGCACCAATGTCAGCTCTAGCTCTAGAGTTGCACCCTCTATTGATCGTCTCTTTACTTGTCTGTTCGGTCCACAGTTGGTTTTTGTGTTTGTGCGACCGATCTACCCGCTGGACGGCAGAGTATTTTCGAAGTGACACAATTAGAACAGGGAACCTCTCGATTACACCGTGTCTAACACTCTAACTGTTAGTTTAACGGATGTACTAAAATAAGTCTTAAGTGGACACGCAAGACCCCCGGACCGTACCCGAGCCCCGATGGGACCGAGATGTCCGCCAGAACAAGGGATTCAGATGTAGTTTCCTAAGTACCTTGCGGATCCGACAGTTATGACACTGCAGGAGGATCAGAGTGGTCAGCGTCATTAGATTCGCGGCGCCGGAGGCGGTTCCGGGACGGGACTTACCGCTCTCGGAATGATGCTTGTCTTTGGTGTGTGTGGCTCCAGGTCCATGATATTCCTTCCAGACCGAGCGAGGCTATTCTGGGACGAGTTATCAAGAGTGTTTGACTACACGAACTGCGAACAACATGCGGCTGTGGCTTCCCTTCTCCTTCCGGATCTTTCAAGTCTTTTGTTTTTACCAGCCGCGGAATCCGTGGGATTTCAGCACGCACGGGCTCAAATCGGAGACGGGGGCAGCTGTTTGGGCTCCGCTAGGTTTTATGCGGCCGAATAAACGGAGACATTGCTCACATAAGCGTACTGCCGTAGGGGCGAGAGCGAAACCGAACTGTGATTTGTCACTCTTCCCGCTATTTCGAGGGGCCCGTCGGATGTGCGCCCGAACAGGATGGGTACTTGGGCAGCATCGTGAATAAGGTTCATTAGTTTAAGGCAAAATCGTCACCCTAGGGAGCTCTTGCCAAAATTAAACTTTCATATAACTAGCTGTATTGATTTGACTATGATTCACATTCGAGAATCCCAAGGCTCTGCTATTGATACTATGTTCCTTTGGCGCAATCTTTGTCTGTGTCTTCTTCAGCTTATTGCACCAGATACCTAACCATTCTGTCATGTCATCAACAGTCTTGCTACGTCAACTTAAGTCAATAGTTACAATGTCTCTTGTCCACTACCGCCAAGACCTGGCTCTACAAATAATGATCCTGTCTGTGAATTTCTTTACTTATTGGTTGTAGAGAGAGTAACGCATGTACTGACCGTTCGCCATACAACTCTAGCGTTATCCTATCACTATGAGCGAGTGTCACTGTAGGGAAAGTCTATAGCTGACCCGGAATTTCTCCCACGAACGTCCAATTGCCATGCGTCGGTCCGAAATGAGTTCCGATTGTTAACTTCTGGTTGGCTCTACTTCACACTGCAGTGCCGATGTGCTCACGCAGCAGAAAATATACAGTTTATCGAGAACTTAGAGGCAAGTGCTAACGCGCAGGCTCTGTAAGCTGTATAAAGAAATAAAGTCGCCCTCACGAACTCGCTACTTCTGTTCGGTTCATTGCCGGCCGCGGCTTAAGTCAGCGCAACACCCAGGCAGACTCTGGAGCCTCCTCAAATGACTCAGAAAAGGTCTTGCCAAGAAAAATATACTTCTGAGCTCTACTAAACTCGAAAGCCTCGCTTGGATCATATTGGGATATCGGAGATGGATTGGCATGGAAATCAGTACTATTTTTAGTGATCGCGCGAAGCCTAGGGTTCACTTCAATGTGCCTGACTTAACAAGCCGAGCAATATCGGTGTGGAGTCATGGTTAAATGCTGAGCGAGTAAATCACCAAAAACAGGTCTAATGCCGACCAAGTGTATTCAATAATAATCTAGCTCGATACTGCATGAGCGGATAATTACCCATCTGAAAACGGAATCGACAAGGAAGGACTGCTAGTACATCGACGCTACCTTTTACAGGACTTGAACAGCACAAGCATCTTCCTGGGATTAAGAAAGCATACACAATATAACTAGACCAACCAACACAAGACCTGGCATCTTCACGGCCAATTGAGGACCCCGATTGGGAGTCTGAGAAGGCGAGCTACCAGTTTGCGTGGAGGATGTTGGATTCGACGAAGATGGACCGGTTGGAGACGTCGAAGCTGTCGCGGATGCAGCAGGAGCCGTTGCGCTTCCCGATGGACCCGCACTGGAGCCCGAGCCCTGGCCGTCGCCGTTGTCGTTGATGACAGAATCCCACGAAGGGAAAGTGGTGCCCGGGCACGCAGCGACGCACTCGTACGTGTTCTTGTAGGTACTGGGATCGTCGCTTGTCTTGTTTCTCTCGTCAAAGTACTTGTCGTTGCACTTGCGGGCGCACGCGTAAGCAGAGCATGGGATGCGATCCATGTCGCCCAGCGAAGAACCGTCAAGTTCAGTCTTGCCCCATTCCGCTGTTCCCCCGGAAAAGGTGAACTCGTTGCTATACTCGAATCCCGATGGGCCGTCCTTGCTTGGATCCGAGTTCCATTCCACCGTTGTGATCATGAGATCGGCAGAGTCAGGGACAGCGTCGGCGGGGATTGTAACCTTTAGGGAAGTAACGTCAATTTTGGTCCCGTTGGCCAAGAGGCATACGGGGCCGGTACCCCAGCCGGGCGGTGTCGTCGCCAGGTAGAGGTTGTAGTTGGTGAAGCCGGCATCGAAAGAGCTGGCTCCGTCGGAAATATCGTTGCTGATTGTGACTTCAACCTCAGTGTTAGCCTTGACGGCAGACTGAATGCTGATTTTCTCGAACGCCACGGCGCTTGATGCGCCAGCTAGCAAGACGCCCAATGGGCCTAGAAGTGTAGATGAGATCATGGTGAACTAGAAACCTAGAGGCCTCGAGACAGATCGTGGCTAATTGGGAATGACAGGGACAATGACAGATCAGGTCGAATACGATGAATAAAGAGAAGAAAGTTAAAGGATGACAAGAACATTAGCATGAGAACGACAGAATGAAGATGGGGAGCGAAAGACACCAGAGCCGGGCAATCAGCGATGTTCTTCTTCTTTCCTTTTCCCGAAAGAATTCGCTGTGCCCCTGAATTTCAGCACCAGTAGACAGCAACCATTGGGGAGCGAGATTGGCTTGCTGAGCTAGTACGAAAAGGGTGCTAGGCGACCGCAATAGCCTGGGACTTTGGCGAAAATCAAAACAACAATGACATATTGAACGCTGCTGCCTAAGACACGGAGAAAAACTAGCGTGGTTGATGACGAAGTTTTCTCCTATTAGTTGAAAAAGCAAACATTTGATCGCTCTCGAGCCCATATCAATTGAGGCAAGCTTTTGCCAAGACAAGCACACAGCGCCCAAAAGCTTACATGCCGCGACCAGCTTCTGCATGAAACCAACAGTTCGTTATTTTTGTGCAGTTAGTACTCGTTGATGAGTTCTTTGAGACGTTTCTCATCTAGAATCTCGGCTTCGACTAGGCGCCCTGTCTCTCTAACTTCACCATCCAGGCGCTGATACCGCACAATAGTTGGCACATTGTGCACGTTCCACTGGGTTCGAAAAACATTTGTAGGAATCTTCCACCTGTTCCACTAGATTAGCGAATGCCCACTTGGTGGTAGTGGGTTGGATTAGCCACTCACTCCGGCCTCTGGCCAACCTCGACGAAAGCCATCTCAGGTGCACTGTCCGCTGAGAAGGCAGCTTTGATATGCGGTAAAGCGGCTCTCACGTCAGGGCACCATGACTCCCCAGTGTCCGGGTGGTCGGAAGTGGTGAACGTGATAAAAAACGCCGCAGTGGGGGTCTCTGGCAAAATAAGCGCATTCGCCGCCTTCGGCAGCGTGAAGCGGGTGTTGATGGGCATGGTTGGAGGTTATTGTTAGTGGTCCACTGACAATTGAGAAAGGGAAAATCTGTGCCAACACGCCAAATAACCAGCTGTGATTGCAGCAGGACTATGCGGCACGTTGATATCTAATTCGACGTGATTTCTAGCAGAGTTCTAATGATGACTAAATGGCGCGATCCGATTCCATAATGGTGTTACCCGGCGCATGATCCTGAATGCCTCCGACACCGGTCTAGGATGGATCCATCGCGCCGGAGTATGTGAGGTGGAGATCCGGCGAACACCGGCATTCTCTTCTGTAATTGGCCGAGGAGGCGCCTAGTTAGTAATTGAAAGTTGATCAAAACAATTTTCGGCATTTCATACCAGAGATGATGTATCCAGTGGATGACAAGCGTATAAAGGCTAAGGGCGTTCTATTAATGGATAAGATGCTTACTTAACTATAGGAGCAACAACAATACGAAAGCCGTTTCCCCGCCAAAATCCAGATGGCTCGAGGCTGCCGCGATATGTACAATTGGCCTTGACCTTTGGACTTGAGAAGCACCCTCCGCGCAGCACTCGTCGAATTTGCTCAGGTGCATCCAGTGCCTCTCTGCCATCACCTTGCCATGGATACTGGAAGGATGGAGTGGCCATATCCTCGCCCCAAAGAGTCGAACACCACTCCCATATGTGTCCCGCCATGTCAAAGCAGCCATAGGGTGAGCGACCTTTGGGAAACAGACCAACCGCGCATGTCGCATTGAGGCCTGTTGTTTCGCTGTTTGCCGCTTGATCATCCCATGTCGTACCCCAAGGGTAAACGATTGCGTCACTCTCAGTGTTAATTTGATTACCCCTAGCTGCCCGCTCCCACTCTGGTTCTGTCGGAAGGCGCACTTGCTCGTGGTAGCCAATTTTGCCAATGTTTTGCCAACGGAGAGTCAACCAAGAACAATATGCTCTTGCATCGTGCCACGTCAGGTCCGTTGCTGGTGCATTTGATCTGTCGGAGTCTGCACCGTCCATGCTCACCCATTCACGACCCGTTTCTTGGATGAAGACAAGATAGTCCCTGACCACAACCGGGTATATACCGATGCGAAAGCTTTCCAGAGTCATATTTCCAAGAGGCTGTGAGTTCGGGTGACTTTGTGAACCCATGAGAAAGCTTCCAGCAGGGATTTCTGCAAGGGATGCCAAATCTCGTGGGTCACCAAGCCTCGAAAGTATACGGCCAGCTTTCTCTCGCTCACTAGCCGACAGTGTTCCTTTTGCGACGATATGTAGCATCGCACTGGCTATCTTGTCTTGAAACCTCTTCGCCTCTCCGACAAGATCTGCCACAAGTAGGGCGCCACGTTGGCTTTCGGTTGGTGAGCCGTCGAGAAGACCCTCGACAAGGCCATCTGGGCGACCTGAGGAACTCAAACGGAGCAGGCAGCTCTGTATGATAGGAGCATGAGCCAGAGTCTGTAGGCGAAATAATTCAACAGCGACATGTGGAGGTAGATCCGCCAAGTGTCGGGCAGCTAGTAAATGCTGGACAGCGTCACAGAACACCGCCGGATGATCAGTTGCCGCGGGTGAGACGCAGTTGGTTGGCGCCGGGGAAGTTTGATCGTAGCGTATGCGGTTATATGCATTTTCGGCGAAAGTTCGAGTGGCGCCTGGTTTTGAAAAGATGGCTTCCAGCCATGAATCAAGGAGTTCCTCGGCTTGGTCACCACGATGTTCAGCTTGAAGCGCAAGCGCAAATAAGGCTGGTTTCTTCGCAGCAGCGCCCGTTGCAATCAAAACTTCCGACGGCTTGGATCCCATATGTTTTGAAACTGCCTGCCGCCTGTGAGACTCCAACAATGGTAGCAAGTCGTGTCGGACTACCTCGGAAGGCAAGATCCAACGATTGCAGACATTTGGATCCCCGAGCAAGAGAAGTTTATGGTTTCCATGCTCTTGGAATAACGGGAGCAATTGCTTTAGAGGACGCAGCGCTGCATCACCATCCCTATCAACTGCATCAATTGCGATCAATAAGTCTATTCCCTTGGTTGAAGCTGTTTGGATCATGTCCGGAATTGTGATGCCAACCAGTGTCTCCAGAGAATGTGTGTTGTCCAGCGTAAAGTAGCAAGGCAGGGTCTGCCTGGAATTCCATGCCTCTTCCCTACTGTCGCCGAAGTCATTGCGGACCAGTAGCTGAGCAGAGTCGAAATCCTTACACGTCAGGCGAAAGCAGAGGTGTTTCGCAAATGTCGTCTTACCACTGCCACTCAGTCCTGTCAAGAGTAGAATTTGATGGTCGCGTACCAACTCAAGGGCGGAGTAGTAAATGGGAGGCTCCGGCTTTTCACCTGCTTTGCGCTTTCGTAAGCCTTTGGCAGCTTTGTCCTCAAAAGTAAACCGCGCAAGGAGTGGAATATAGCCAGTGGCCAGGTCGATGGTCGTTCCATTTGGCAGAGTCAACAAAACCTCGCTGCCAAATCGTTCACCAGCTGCTTGTTGGAGTTGAAAGGTTTGGGTCGTGTTTGTCTCCATGGTGAAAATCGGTTGAGTTTCGAAGGTGTATTGCGCGATCGGCCGGTCATATATACCGAACTGTCCGACTGGTGGATCCATGCTTTCGAGTCCAAGGCGGAGGTTCCGCATGCAAGGGGAGCCAAGGTACACCCGCCGAGAGTGGATGGTTGCTCTTTACGAAAGTGATGCTCGAAGATCCAAATCTTTCAAGCTGTGCACCAATTACATTTCCAGTTTCAGCTAATAGACTTAAGCCCAAAGGCATGAGTATACTCTAGATTGTTCTCAAAGCTACAGTAACAGATGTAACTGTTTTTGATGCTCGCTGGGAGACCATAGTGTCCCTCCTATTCGAGTGTAAGGATGCCAGAATGCCCGATTTGTAAACCAACTTCATGGTTCGTCGCCCACACAACTTCAGGATGCGCTATATACAGCCAAGGAGGGTTCTCCTGTAACCTCTTCAATGTTTTCGCATATACCGTTGCTCGATCATCGTACTCCACCATATTTCTCGCCTCATGGATCAATCGCTGGACCTCGTCGTCGTGATATCCGAGCCACCAAGTAGCATGAGAAGAGCTCGAAACTTTGTCATCTAGTACCCTGAATGTGCTGTTGGGTGTCGAATCAAATAGAGCCAGGCTGCCGATCTGCTTCTGAAGGCCGATTTGACGTGCATACTCGGGGCGGTTAGTTTCGACCTCAATTTCAACCTTTAATCCAATGGCCCTCAGCGAAGATGCCACGAAATCGGAGATCTTCTGCGCGTGTTCTGGCATATAGGTCGGTGTCCTCAACACCAACGACGTACTTGTGTCTAAGCCTTTGAGTAAATCCCGAGCTCTAGCGGGCTCATAGGGAATTGGCTCCAATTCCGACTTCGGGAAGCCAAGATGGAAGGGGCTGACGATGGTGGCAGATGGTGATGCAAACCCACGATAGACCTCCTTGACTAGTGCCTCGTTGTCGATAGCGAGATTGGCAGCAAGACGTGCATTCGGCGAGGTGAAGATGCCCTCAGTACAATTGAGATAATAAATGGCTGAGAGTGTGCTAGTAACCCTCCCCCATTTGACTGAATCATCAAAATTCAGTAGATCGAAGCTCTCCACTCGTTCAAGATTCAGGGCAGCATCCACCTCACCATCACGAAGCAGCTGGAGTCTTTTAGCTGCAGACGGCTCTGTCGAGGCTATGATGATGTGTGGAGTGTTCTGTCGATTTGGATTGAGCCGCTGCAACTTTGCTTTTCCGAGGCCATCTTGGCGCTCAAACTCAATCACACGAAAAGGACCGGTCCCGATGACTGGCTTGCCATCTTTGTCAAGACGTGATGGCCAGAACTCGCAGAACACACCCAAAATGTCTGCAAAAGGCTCCGAGCTGACAACCTTTATAGTCTGGTCGTCCTCGGCTGAGAATTTGGTTTGCGCAAAGTAGCGGCTGTAGCTCCAACGCATGCCAAAGTAATCCCGTGAGTCTAGAAGGCCAAGGATGTAGCTGACTATGTCGGTTGCTGTGCATGACTTTCCGTCGTGAAATACGGCATCGTTGCGGATATGGAAATGCCATATGCGGGCGTCGGCAGAATGTTCCCAGCGGTCAAAAAGACCGGGTTTGACATGGCCGTACGGTTGCCATCGGAGAAGAGGTTCGAAGACGAGACTCTTCAAGGCTGTGACGCTGTTGTCATCTGTCACTTGGGTTGGCAGGCGAAAGTCGACATTTTCCAAAGATAGGTTCAAGATTTCCGGCGTCATTGTGGCGATCATATGTTGCTTTGAGTGCTGAGGCTTTCGCTGTATCTCGGCACTGGAGTCTGGGATGCTGCTGATATCGGTTCTTGTTGATCAGATAGGCCTATGTGAGTACTTCCATCAGCGATTCCTAATGGAAGTCAATGGGCACTTGGGTCAGATAAGCCCCCACGCTCGTAGTGCTGGGTCCATACAAAACCGGTGCGATCGCGGAGATAAGTACTATACGCATCAAGCCTTGTGTATGGGACCCTTATTGTGGACATCTTTTGTGAGCTTCTACAACGGTATGCGGGACTTTACATCCCGGTTTTTATTATCAGTCTGTTACCACATCGATACTGAAAATGGTGGGGGCGAAAACCATGTTGGTTTGCTTCCATCGGAAAAGAGTAGGTAATGTTGATGAAACCGCGTGAAATGCTTTCCAATCAGTTGGTGTGATACCAACATCATTGTATTTTCCTTACTCTGGAACAATATGGAGTAGAGCCCTTCCCACCACTTGATGTCTTTGAAATACTTTCGGAAATTGTTTCGCTCACAGGAAACAAGATCTAGAAGCTCAAAAGCCATTAAATTTGCCGGGTGAAGGAGTCGGCATCGGCAGAGAACGCCGGCACCACGCAAGACGACAGAGCGGAGTGAGATAACGACATAGTGGGGCTCACAGTCACAACATGGCTTTCGTGACTCGAGCCGCAATACCTTCCGACAGCGGCACGACTCTGTCCCAGTTTGGTATTGACTGGCAGAGCAATCCCGTGGTTTACAATCCTATGGTTCATATGCCTGCATGTAAGTATGGAGTTCATGCATCCTCGATTTTGGGGTTTTATGGGGCACATGAACTTAAGAAGGCATTCACTGGTCTAGCTCACTAGTAGTACAATGACACCATTTTGTCCCAGCAAATCAGGACGATTGGAAAGTCTAGATTTTGTTGAACGGATCCCGGAATTGAGTGAATGCGGTTAGGATGTTCGGAAAAAATCGTTTCTCTTCAATGGTCCGGAGTATATAGCGATCTGACGCCGGCCAGCTGCAGCTGCATTCCAGACAGCTGGGAACCGTGTGTGCGAATTGCAACCCCGGACACATCTCTCTGGTGCTCCCCAATTCGCAGCCATGGCAGATACCAAAATCATTGCCCCCGTGGCACTCTCTGACACGAATAGTAACCTTGACAAGAGCGGCAAAGACGAGACTCCTGTCACCATAACGGAGACGACAGCGGGCGAGACTAAATCTTCTTGGTGGCGAAAAGCCGTGGGACTGGTCTGGGACTCCGTTGAGGGAGACCCAGAGTACCGTAAATATGTTCAAAGGCTGGATACCTTCTTCTTGTGAGACTTCCGCGTTTTATTCCCGGCCGTCATACATGCCCTTCAGTTCACAGATGATACTGACATCATTTGGTTAACCTCTAGCCCAACTGTCTGCTTTGGCTACTTCATCAAGTATTTAGATCAAACCAACTACAGTAAGTACTGGTTTACTTCAGTCTCCTGACTTTTGCTGAGACAACAATTAGGTAATGCATTCATCAGTGGCATGCAGGCAGACCTTGGTCTGTATGGCAACGAACGCAACTGGCTGAACACCTGGTTCAGTCTAGGTATCATGATCGGCAGTGTGCCTGCCCAAATGTCGCAACTGAGCTTCATCAGGCCATCGATACTCATCCCATCCTGTGAAGTCATCTGGTCTTTGTTGGTAGTTGGCATGGGCTTTGCCAAGAACATTGAAACTGTGAGACTTCATGTTCTTCAATATTTTGGTTGTCACTTATTGACTTCAATATCAGATGTACGCTCTACGTTTCTTCATCGGGCTGTTTGAGGCGTGTGCGTTTCCTGGCTACATCGCCATGCTGGGCGGCTGGTACGGCCCCAAGGAACTCACTAAGCGTTTGGCCATCCTTCTCCAGGTCGAGTCTATTGCAAGCATGTTCAGCGGGTACTTGCAGGCGGGTCTTTATTCTAGCATGAACGGCCGTCACGGCATTGCTGGCTGGAGGTGGTTGTTCATTATGGACGCGATTATCTCGCTTCCAATTGCGATTTGGGGCTTCTTTGGACTCCCGGACCTGCCTCACAACACGAAAGCATTCTACTGGACACCCGAGGTAAGCCCAACAAATACTGCTTAGTAACTTGCTTGCATAGCTAACGCAAAGGCTACAGCATGTCAAGTTCGGCATCGAAAGGATTGAACAGTTCGGCCAGAAGGCTCAGCAAAAGTTGACCTGGAAGGAAGCCAAGCGCATTTATCTTGGATGGGAGATATGGGTCTTTGTTGTCCCTTACACGTGAGTCAAAGTCGGCCAACAGCAGTCAAGTGAGGAGCTAACTTTCTCGCAAAGCATGGTCGCCGCATGTCATTCAGCGACAAGCTATTTCAACTTGTGGCTGAAAGCCGCTGGTTATAGTGTTGTAGATGCGAACATTTACCCCACTGGGGGAAGCGCCTTGAACATAGTTGCAACCGTGATTTGGGGCATCATTGCTGACCACACCGGGCAGAACTATCTCATGATCGTCATCGTCCAAGCTCTGATGATTCTATCCAATATCCTTCTTTCTGTCTGGTCTATTCCCAAGGGAGCCCTAATGTTCGCCTACTATCTGTCATACGCTGGATCGGCTGCTACACCTGTCCTCATTGTGAGTGTTCCAAACACACTAACGGGATGATGTTTTATAACTAACTACTACTCTCTAACTTAAGAGTTGGGCGAACAGACTCAATGCCGGCGATCCCAGCCTGCGACAGCTCTTGGTGGCCACAGCCAACGTTGTCTCTTATGCTTGGGTTCTCTGGGTGCCATGTAAGTTCAGATGTGTTGTCGACCAGTCACTTCGACTAACGGAGTGCTAGTGGTACTGTTTCCAACCTATGATGCGCCAAAATACAAATATGGATATCAGATCCTCATCCTTTTCGGAGGCCTTGCAATCATCAGCGTCACTTTGATGTGGTACATGTACAGAAGAAGAGAGTGAGTTTCGGCTACATCTTGTTTCGCATGCTCTATGAATTATCACTTACCAGACACCACTAGCCAAAAACGCGCCCGACAACAAAATCACGGTGCTGAAGGAGGCCCGGTCTCGTCGAACGAACATGAGAGCGGGCTATGAGGCGGGCAGGTTGACACATCATACGCTAAGAACCAACAAACATGCACGTGCAACATTAGAAGAAAAAGTTGATTTTTTCGTGCTAGCGTAAGAAATTCTCAACTCGTTTGTAGATGTTGAAGACAGAAAGTTCAAACGCGAACAATTCTCAACACTGGCTCTGGACAAACCAGCACAATGGTATCTGGACACAGAGACCACGAGCGGTCGGACATATATGCCTTTCTTAAGCAAGATATTTTCACAGAACTTTGTAGATTATGCGAATTACCCGCGACTCAGAAATAACTACCGACTGGAACCAGTGTGCGAAAAGCCACAGCAGCAGATCATTCCAGGGGTGCCTGAACTGGCAAGCTGGGTTTACGACCAGTCACCACGTAGCTATATTTTCGAGATTAGTCACGAATGGTACAATATAATCGAAACATTGGGAGACTTACACAGGCCACCAAATGTGAATCCTAGGGTCACGCATTTCTTTTCTTGCCTGCGAGCACAAGACAATGACCTCCTCCTTCGACCAACCTTTGATGGTCGTGAGCGTTCCGAGAGCAGCAGACTCGAGGAAGGAGTCGAGGTTGGCTAGGCCCCAGCCGCCGATATCCTTCATCGTTTTGTCTCGAGGCCACGTGTTGGTCGGCCACTTGTAGACTATCTCTCTGACATCCTCAAAGCCACGATCGATAAGAAGCTGCTTCCAGCGCGAAGCTAGCTTGAGCGAGCGGTTGATCTTCTCCATGGCGTCAACAACCTCTGTGGCCCATTGCACAAGCGAGCTGTTCTCTGGTATCGTGTCGTCATCGCTGTGGGCCTCCATCGATACGTCCTGGGCTTCGAACCAGCCGCCGGGCTCGAGTTGGCTAAACGAGATATGTTCATATGGGAAGTTTCTGGAGGAACCGCTAAGAAGGACTTACTTGTAGATGCTGTCGACTAATCTTACCGGATCTAGGATGCTACCATTTAATGTTCTGGAGAATATGAAGTCGAACTTCTTTGACCATGTCCAAGGCTTCTCAAGGTCGTCGATCTCGAAGGAGCAGTTAGGCGGCATACTGTATCATCGTCAGCGTGCTGTCTTGTTCTGCCAAGGCGAGTGTGATAAGCCCACAAGTCAGGTTGTACTGGGCTAATATCGACCCCAATAACCTGTTATATTGATCAGACTCAATTGAAGAATGACACAAATCTATCAGTACTGCTTCTTACCTCCGCCTCGGGATGTTCTTCCGCTATGGAAAAGATCATTGTAAGTAGGTACTACGACCAAAGCTATAGAGAAAGCGACTTTGAGGCGTACCATATTCCAATGCCCAAATGCCTGTACCTGTTCCGAGATCAAGTACTCTCTTGGCTCCATAGGACTTTGGGCATGTGCAAAGGCGGCCCCTAAAAGTCCTCACAAAGAGTTCATGCTGCAAATCCAAGCGATCTTGCTCAACCTAGGGATCATGCGTGAGCACAGAGTCAGAAATGGGACCGAAACTTGACATCGCACATTATCGTGGGGAAAGTAGTATTCTGTGGAAGACGTTATTATGACATACACTGGGTCTTTTTGAGTGGTTCAAGATACTCACTGCCGCGAGAGTGGGAATGATAAAGGCGCCCGTACTCATCTTCGAAATGCAGCACGGAAGAGCGAATGGAAGTCAGGGAATCGCGTATAGACTGGGCGTGAATATAGTGTCAGCAATGCTTCGCGTACTCCAGCGAACAGCGACATATAGTGGTCCTCCAGTATCCAGTATACAGCTGTGTTACGTACAACGTTGATAGCAGAGTCGGTTTCACCATCATCTGGGGCCTGTGGCAACCGCGCTGCAAGTCAGCAAACGGGGGACTGACTCCCATTTCCTATCCGCATGGCAGGTTAATCCATACAATGAGGCCGGTGGCTGGGTTCGTGCTGTCCTCTGGTTGCGCTACGGAAGCCGCGACTACGGCCTCTGGAGACGAGCGCGTTCCCTCTCCTTGTGTCGCCATTTCGAATGCTCTCAAGGAATGGAATTGGCGTCGTCAGGTAAGAGTTCTGCCTTGGGGATGGCGGGGTGGGCGAGCGGAGATTTTGACTGACGAGTGGTAACCTAGGTATTTAATCGGCCAAACTCAAACCCAACTTTCAAGGGCTACAGGGGACCCCCCCCCGCCCCCACCTGGCTCACCACAGAACTCCCGATTCCTCACCGCAAAACACCACACTGTACAAATATGCATGGTCGCATGAGTTGATGGTCAGTGCCTTGAAGAAAACGGCGAACTAATCCAGGATGGCCTTGGGGTTGTGGAGAATTATTGGCAGAATCCTCCAACCAGACTTGGAGTTTCGGGGTTCAACGGAACGTATTTCCACCGACTAGCGCGGCAATTGCCAAGGTCATAGACACCTGTCAGTGGCCAGCTGGACAATAGGAGTGGGCGGCAAGAAGGGGCCAAAAGCCGGAGGTGTCCGAATGGAGTGTTGCCGCGGACCGGGGACTGGCTATCCGAGCGAACTCCCCCGAGTTTGCCAAGTTGCGTCGGCGGTCCTAATGATGTTTTGGGGTGATTGTTTGGAAAACAAACGATGACGCACGACATTCTAGCTGGTTTTCATATCTTGTGCTCGCGACAAACTCGTGAGGTACTAACTACCCTGTAGCGGCGAATCGGCTTTCTTGATCTCATGGCGAAGGTCGTGCCAGTACAAACTGATGACCATTGCAGTAGTCCTCTGTCTAATTGTGTTCAATTTTTATCTTGACCAGATTCCAAAAAAAAAAAAAACCTCGATGCAAGGTGCCTTGATATTAATTTCGTATGAGTTATGACGTGCAGCACTCGTACTTGCAAGACGCGCGTACCTGCCTTGAGAAATCTTGCGGGGAACATCACGCACAGTGCAGTTTCAACTGTCGGTGTGCCCACATTAGGATCAGTTCGCGCTAATGAGGCTGATCAAGGGGCTTTTCACGTTTGCAGATGATATCCGTTAGCGCAAGCTTCCAGAAAATGGTATCAAGCGGTGGTAAACATCAGATACGACAATTTCAAAGGACAAGAGAATCTCGAGATAATCTTGCTAGAGAGGTAGGACCCGTGGGGACGCTATCGAGGTGAAGGCTATGCGCATCAGCCTGCTGGCCGAAGTGGATGCAGTCTGCAATAGGTGTTAACAGGCGCATCTCTGGGACGGATCGAGCCACCCAAATGGCGAATCTCGATATCGCGTGCATTTAACACCTCGAGGCACGATAACACTCTATAGATATCGGAATGCCAGAAATAATTTATAATGAGGATGTTTGTAATATCAACCATGGAAATTTAGTTAGAGTCATAATGTTATATCGCTTTCACTATTGACAACCCTTATGTGCTGGGCTAGGGTTGATAGTTTTGGAACTGACACCTCCAGGCCAAAACCTAAGATACATCTAAAACATGCCAACGCCTTATCCTTACTAGATTCAGTACTCATTACACTCATTTCGTTACGTCCATACTTTGGACGGAATATAAGTATCGAATGAAAAGATGAGAGTTCTTTCGCACGTTCAGTAGGTACACTACTATAACAAAGAAACAAGTCGGGATTTTATACATATTCTTCACTACAAACCCAAGCTTCTTTGGATGTGATGTAGCCCTGAAACGAAATGTAGGCTCTTTTCTATTTTTCTTTTTCTAAAAGGCTGTATACTCTAAGCATGTGATGGTTTCAAAGTGCAGAACGTGCCTTGGGCTCCTTGATTCTTGCATACATCTCGTCCTCGAATGCTTTGATATATGGTCGTAGTCTATCCTCCGCCGCCGGCAGCATTTGCGTTACAAATAAGCCACACAACCCAGATTGCCTATCGATCCACTGTGGTGAATTAGCAACTTGATTAGTATAGTTAGATACTCCGATAACTTACCCAAAAAATGTTAGAGGCACCACTCCACATCAACGTCCCGTTCTGCCTGTTCGAGTGACTATGCCCGTCGACAAGCAGCCCCCCAAGGCCCCAGTCGTATTCGTGGGTAACTGGAAAATGCCCAACCGCCCACTCAGGCTCCTCCATGGCTTTCAACAGGCTCTTCTTGGCCTCGAAAGACAGCTGAGGCTTGAACATCTCCGCACTCATCCTCGGGCTCAGCAGCTTGCCGTCGTCGACTAAGAGAGAGTGCAATACCCGCATGACGTCCGGCGCCGAACCATACGAACCCTGGCCTCCCAGACAATCTGTGACTCCCTGGTTCAAGTCTCTACCGCGGTAGAGAATGACCTCTCCCGTGTCGCCGTCGCGGGTATTCATTGCCCATAATTGTGGCCTGACGGCCTCGACGTCGAAGGTAAAGCTAGATGCACCGACCGGATCCCAGACTTTCTGGCGCAGGTATTGTTCCAGAGACTTCCCGGTGACAGTCTCGATGAGTTTACCTGTCCAGTCCAAGCTGGAGCTGTACGCCCAGTCTTTTCCTGGTTCATAGATTAATGGATAACCAAAACGTTCTTCAACGGTGGAACCGTGGGTAGGCTTTATGCCGTGGAATGATTGCCATTCTCGAATGGCGTCGCTGAGGAAGTCGTAACTGTTCCCGGCACTGTGTGTGAGAAGTTGGCGGAGGGTGATTGGATTCTTGCGTGGCACTTCGATTGGGGACCCAGACTCAGTGAAGCCGATCAAGACAGGCTTCTCCGCCAATGCTGGGAGTTTTCCGGATACATCATCGTCAAGAGAGAGGATCCCACTTTCCACAAGTTGCAGAGCGGCAATGGTTGTGAAAAGCTTCGTCACGGATGCAAGTGTGAGGATGTTGTCGGCGGCAAGGGGCTTCTGATTTGTCAAATTGTCACCAAGAATGTGCGAATATTGAAAATTGCCTTTCTGGTCAGCTGAGTCTGAAACACGTCGAACGATAGAGATGTGAACATATCATCGGGGCTCAACACACCAGAGTAGTCTTTGGCATAGAGCATGACACCTGGGATGTCGCGATTCCGCACAGCGGTGTCAATGTTTGCCTCAAAAGGGCCCATGATCGCATATGATTCGCTGCTGATAATAAGTTATTCGGCTTATCTGAAGAAGCGTATGAGATTCAGTCTGGGAGGGGTAAGTGTGTTAAGGTTTGTCCATTTGGAAAAAGTTGGATGCGACCAGATGACACCACCAGCATTTTCATTAGTCATCAGACGTCGGGTGATCTGTCAGGAAGTGGATGATGACATCCCAAGGCGACTGACTATATTAGAGAGCAGGACCCACTACAAGAGAGTTAGGTTCCGTCATAGAAAAAATTTGGTCAAGAAAGATTTTAATTGCAGTGCTAAATCTAAAGCATCACCAGGCGGTTGCATTTGCAGCGGGATCCATCATAGGGCAAGCCCAAACTGCCAATTTAATTGCATACCAGAAAGCTAATGATTCAAAGCTCTCGCATATCTTGACTTTCGCCACCCCATCAACGCTGTAGACCCGGTAACTATGTTATACGTTCATCGCACAAGGAACATATCAACGCGGGCCGACAAAGATAATCCAGCGTAATCAACAGATTCAGATTTGTTGGGCGATTTGCTTAGCAGCCAACGTAGATAGCTAAAGCATAGTTAGTAATCTTGACTCAAATGTTACTCAAAATATGACTAACCATTGGCGAAAAGAGCTAGAAAAGGTATAGAAGTCAATACGGGTTATCTGAAACCAGAGTATGTCAAGGAGTGAAACTAACCGTAAGTGTCGGCGTGGTTCAAGTTCTGAGCCGCAGACAAGCTCTGGACACAACTGTAACCGTAGCAAGAGCTCTGGTCCGTGGTTCCCTTGATCTGGGTGAGATGAGTGACCTCGTGCTGCAAAGTTTCCATAGTGGTTAGCCAGACATCAAATAATTTTACAAAGTTTGTAAAAACTGACAAGCGCAGTGGTGGCCCTGTCCTGAGCGTGGCATGTGCGAGAGAGAGCGGTCAAACTGTTGAAGAAGTAAGGGCAGTTGACCATGTAGCTCTGGCTAGGGAGGGTATAGGCAATGACGCCGGATGAGCAGGCAGGGTAGATGTCAGTGCAGTACTGGCGGGAGACTCCAGAGGTGGTGCTGCCACACTCGCTGGCAACACGGGCAAACACAGCGGCGACAGTAGAGCGAGTAGAGGTCGACGAGGATTTGAAATACTCGGTCATCTTAGCGGCCGGACCGGAGGCAGCAGCGGAGGAAGCGGCGGCGGCTAGAGCACGGCAGTTGGATAGAGCGGTCGTGGTGGCGGTGCGCTGGGTGCCGGTGCAGTCACTCTGGACGACGGTGCGCTTAATGTTGGCATGGAAGTCGCGGCGGACCTTGGCGGCGGCGGCGCCATTGACCTCAACGCTAAGGACGTTGGAGCTGAAGCTTGCGGTGCTGGCGATGTCGGTGCCATCAGCTTCAGCGATGGAGAAAGAGCCCTTGGCCGCGACATCGAACTTGCCGCCGGCGCTCAGGTCGTGGACCTCGGCGACATCCCACTCAACCTCAACAGTCTTTCCGGCTGGAATTACCTCGAAGGCGTCCTCGGCGATGCCAGAGGTGGCAAGGCGGAGACGAACACCGTCAAAGGCAACCTGCTCGGCTATAGACAGACGTTAGAGCGACGCGTGATTAGTGGCAAGTTTGTATAAGAGCAAACTCACATCCGGTGAAGACCTCGGCCTTCTCGACAGCGAGCTTATCGAGGATGGAACCAGCCTTCAGGACCTTGAGGTCCGAGGCACCAGTGTTAGTGATGCTGGCCTTGACACCAGAGTTGCCGACGGCTTCGATCTTGACATCGATGGGGCTGTCACGCTTGTTGAGGTCAAGAACGACGGCGCTCGCAAGAGCAGCGAAGCAAGAGAGACCGGTGAGGAACTTCATGGTGGAAGACTGGACAGTGAAGACAGGGGAAGTCAATCTGATTCTTCTGGTTGCCGATGCTGGGGATGATGAGGATCAGAAGTTGGTCATCAAGGTTCTCACGAGAATATATATACTCAGACGAAACTATACACAAGTCTAATGAATTTTGTAGATAAGACCTTAGGTCGAGATTCTGCTTCCACCTCATCGGCCAGCGCTCTTCGATGTCTGCCAAGTCGGGAACCAGGACAAAAACGGAATGTCCAAAGACTGACTGCCTACATCTTGCTTCTGTTGATGAGAGGGGTCGAGTAAGTCTAACGCAACGAGTGCCGGAGTATGGCGAGGATAGGAAGGAACGAAGGCGAGGTACATGTGCAGCAGAGAATAAGCGGAACCAAGAAGGCAACTCGATACCCCAAGCGCTGCTTCCCTGTTGATTCCAGTCAAGGACGAATAAGATCTAGAGTCATTTAGACAAATATCAGTCTGGGAAAGGACGTTGCGTTAAAGCTCTTGGCACGTCGCCGCATGCTGGAGTCTTCTCCACAAGTCATATCCGAATGGAACGTCGCCAGGGAGAAGACTCGAGCTTGAATAAAAAACCACAACTGCAACTAGGTTACACTATCCCCGGATGCCGGTTACAGGAATAAGAGAAGCGGCAGGCGCCGGTATGTGCCTACCCCAGCCCAAAGGTCAGACTAATGTGAGATAGGCATCTGACAGGCACATTGTTTGTCCATCAGTGCGTAACGGCACATGAGCGAGGCTGTTTCCAAGTCTGGAAGGAGGTGCAATTCAATCGTCTGATACGAGTTACTACCGTCTATTCCACTACGACATTTCCGCTGACGACCAACAGGGGGGTGGCAGTCTTTCCAGGAGAAGCGCAGGATAATCGTGAGAGCTTACGAATGGCAAGGGCACACAGCGTCCATCCAACTAGTCGACCAAATCGCAGCGATGCAATATCGTATTTCTCAAGCGAGCGTTGACGGAGATGCGCCTAGCTGGATAGAGAGATTGCATCAGGGGCTGAGACAAGCCTGGAGGCGAGAAGCTTATGTTGTCGATCGATTTCCCGCAAGGTAGCAGTCACTGCGGGGTAATTGAGCTCCAGGGCGGAGTTGAAGCGGTGTTTGAAAGCCCGGCGGACTCACTAATACTGAGATGCCTCTTTTGGCATCGCGGTGCTCGCCACTCTGCGAACTCTGATAGATGTTCCTCAATACTTCTCTCATCACCAACTCAACATTCTAGCTTCGTTTTCGGATTTGGGTACGTTGTCACAGACCAAAGTCTGGGCGAACTTCCCATGATTCGGCATACGGCACCTTTGGCGGCTGGGCATGGAGCGAAAAGGAGCGCCGCCGCCAAAATCAATCCGACACGCCGAAAGGGACCTTCCTATTCCGATCTCATGTGCCGAGTCTAGACGCAACCCTGCGGCAATTCGGGGGTTGCAACAAGAGTGACACCGCACTGAACATCGGGTGAGACAAGGAGCATCCCACCAGCGTATAGCCCTAATCCAGAGTACCCAACAATTACTCTCCATGCTCCCCATTTAATTATGATTACATTTCGTTGCCGGAGATCGGCGCAGAATACCTGGCAAACTGTGGTGTTGCCAGGCGAAAACAAAGTCAAAACTGGCTTGGCAGTATATTCGCTTGCTCAGTTGAACTAGACAGACATGTTAATCAATTACCTTGGTGATGCCACGATGGACGGAAGATCCGTGCTGTCATGTGTCGACGCGATCAAGGATAAGCGCGCCATATCTTTGCCAAGGCTTGATGGGCGAGCTTGAAGACGCCTTCCCGAGACGGATGAGTCTGATTAAAACCGGTTAGATGGAGACCCTGACGGATTGAGGTCATTCGTTAGTATTCCGCAAGACAAATATGGTCTGCAGTGGCTCCCAACAGGCTGTTGCATGTCGCTCCCGCGCTCTCTCTTAGCTCTCTGCTTCTTGAAAGCTACCTATCTTGAACGACCGCAAAGGAGCGCATGGGTATCGGATACGCATATCCACGATGACAACATGACCAAAACTAATTGCGCACGTCTGATGCCATGTCCTCAAATGTGCCGCATGAGAAGCAGTTGCTGATGTATGTACCAGAGCCTCTGGCTTGGCCTTTGCACATCTGTACGGTCAAGCATTCGCCAAGTTGCCAAGCCGAGTCGGCAACTGGTCATGTAGTACTTGGCCATCGCATAAACGCCAGTCCCTTACAGGAAGGCCAATTGTACATCATGCCTTTCTCAATGGCAGCCGTCAGACTATTGCCGTTACATGTTCGGGAGCTCATTTCCGATCTCGTTATGCTGAATGACATACCGCTGAGCCAGTCAGAACTCAGCAGAAGATGGAATAAGCCAAGCTGGCTGGACTCGCTACGAGTTAAACGACTTGCTGGCTACACATTCAAGTGTCTGCTTAGTGCATTTATTGAGCGAATTGCAACAATACATACCCAATCACACTACATAATTCTGAAAAGGGTCGTGACGCCCCGGGCACCCTATTAGGCCGCAGCTGTGCATCAGATTGTCCATGTCGAGTGTGAGCTGTGTATGACAGGGCGTGCCGTCCTCGTTCGGCGTCAACCTGAAATACGTCGCGAGAAGCTCTCGCTTCTCGATATCCCACTTGCCCGACATCCAAATCCATCTCGAATCGGGCGGGATGAACCCATTCTCGTCCATGCCCCGCTCCTCGAGCAAAACGACGCCTGACTTGCCAATTACCAAAGCCTGCCCATCAAAGGCGCTCTCCCTCCATGATAGGTTGTTTAATACATGAATAGCCTGCATTCTCAAGTCATGGTTCCGGCACTTCCCAATGATCATAGCCAGCGGAGACGTCAAGCCCTCTGAGAAGGTGAAGGACACTTTCGATATCGGGCCGGGATCTCGCAGATAACAAACGACCCGGTGCAGAAGCTCCCTAAACTCTTCTTCAAACATGTCGTACATCATCTCGCTGCGGTCAAGACTACAACTGATGACAATGTGAATTAAAAGTCGTTGGATTTGTATGCTGTCCAGAGTTCGTCTTGCATCCGCATCGATCGTTGGATCGTTGAGGTATGTTTCCAAAGCGCCATTCCACATGCCTATGTACTCCACGAAGCGCTCCTGTTCTTCCGCTGCCTTTGTCAAGTCCCTTGGGTTGTAGTTGAGCTGATCGTGCACTGTGCGCATAACATGTACAACAGCTCGCGTGAAGAACTGGCCCCATAGCGTCTGAAGTTTCGCCAAAACAGTGACACCTGGCTTGGGAAGTTGAAGTTTCGGGCTGCTGTTCATCAAGAGCACGCTGTTACGGTGCGACTGGAAGAAATGGGTGAAGCCGGCCATGAGGCACAGACACGGCAGCAGGTGCTCGATGTCGTCCATCTCATCATCGGGAACATTGCTTCGTAAATGAGACGATGTATACTCCACGCTGTTGTTAGATCCATGTTCTGACTGTAAGTCGTGTAACAATGTGATCTTGTTTTCTAAAAGACGCATGCCAGTGCCCATCAGAGAGTCAACGTTCTTCATGTTGCCTTGGATAAACTCAAACGCAATGAGCAGCAAGGTCATGATGATGATCGATCTGGGGGAGGTGTCGACTGATGATCCGTGGATACGCTCTCTATATATGGACACTGCTTTGACATAGTGTAGTAAAGCTGCCTTGTGATGTCGGTTAAGGAACCCGGTCGACGACGACTTTGGAGTTCCCCAAGGACGAAGCGCAGACGGAGGGACGCCGCCGAGCCGTTTTCTTGACTCTTCATCAAAGAAGATGGTTTGAGAAATTGCCCCAATGGCCAGAATCGATTCTCGAACACAATGATCTCTTGTGCTTTCGTTGAGGACAATGCGCGACCAGAAATCGGCTTGACATGAACCTCCAAGATCTCGAATAAGTTGGTATCGGAACAGATCATAATACGACACATCGCTTCGGTCAAATCGTAGAAAGGATGGATTGTTCAGAACCTGAGAGGGCACAATCGGAGTCGAACCCCGGTTTCCTGACACGCCCGGTCGTGGAAGCAAATGTCGGTTTGCTTGTTGCGCCGCCAGAACGATTTGTTGTCGTTCGGCAGTTCTCCTGTGGTTCGCGGCTTCCTTTACGTACCCATCGCACCCAACGTCCGCCTTCTCGCAGCGGCTACAGGTGGGCTTGCGCTCGTCGCACTTGACCCGTCGGATCTTACAGGTCAGGCACCCGGATCGGACTTTCGGCTTGCTGGCCCGCTTTCGTCTGGGGAGAATAGCGTTACTTGGACGTCTCGTTGCGAGTTCAGTGGCTTGATTGGTGGCGAGCGTGATGCCCGGGCGTGGAAGCAGCGGAATATTGTAGCTTTGGTGTCGCCCCGAGCCACTGGTCGACAATTGGCGTTCCTCCTGTGTATCTTGAATATACGACGTGCTGTCCATGATTGGCTGGCTGTCCAAGAGACTTGTTGATTTCGTGATGCTAACTCTCTTGAGTACTCTCCGAGCGAGGGCGATTATCGATTGTATTGCCTTCAGTAGCTGGTTTCAATCCCACAAAAGGCGCTCTTAGTTCAATATGTTTACTTGGCTTCCTGATCATGTGAGTTGACAAGAGTATGATCGGTTATGGGCTACGGAACTCTCTGGGTTTAACATTTGCCAATGGCCACGATAATGTCTACCAAGTCCGCCGGGAGGGGACGGAGGCCCCCAGCGACACCAAGCACAATCACTTCTTGGCCCTGCACGTCGGCTCCAGGGGGTTCAGCTCGAATTTATCGTCAGCATAACTTCTATTGGTTAGCTCAAAATACAACCAATCACGAAATGCACCTCGTATACTTTCGGTTGCAATCTAATTGGCTCTCGTGGGTATTCAGTGGTTGGCAAAGCAAGGGATGGAAATTTGGTCCATAGCCTGCCCCAACCACCTGCAGATGGTTGATGGGATTGCCTCCTGCGTCTCAATTCTCATCGACTTTGAGGCAATAGCGTATACCCGATACGCTGGCACGCCAAAAGTTCCACGGCGGAGCGGCTTAGGCTGATTATTTAACGGGCATTGCCGAGCAAACATTGCTGAAGCTTTGCTTACTTGGAGGGGTAGCAAGGGCAGGATCTCTTGAGGATGACTCGATGTTGCACGATGATGCAATATGGCCAACGCAGTCCCTGGTTTTCCAACACGATAAACTCCTGTAGAAAAAAATTGTAAAAATCGTCACAGGAATACTCATGCAACGACCCTGGGGATCTTGTGTTGGCGTCTCAACCATAACTCAACCACCCTGCTTCCCACGCAACCCCGCATACCACGCAGCCCAACAACGCGTCACCATAAAACCTACTCCTCTTTTCTAACTATCACAACATCTTCTATTCTACCCCAAACAACGCCATTTTTTGAGGATATCTTTTTTACTATAAGATGAAGCAGTATAGTGAACATGAGCTGCAGCGGGCACTTTGGGATATTGCTGACGGGCTTAGTATCCGCGGGGCAGGTCGCAAATGGGGCATCCCAGAGGCGACTGTACGACAACGTCTCCATGGTACCCAGTCTAGAAATACTGCCTTTGGTAGACTGCAGCGGTTATCTCAGAACCAGGAAGGTCTACTTGCTGAGTGGATATCTAAGCAGGCTGCCCTAGGCTCTGCGTTTTGCCATCAGCAAGTCAAAGGGCTGGCTGAGCGTATGCTGGGCGATGGGCAGCGACCACTTGGGAGGAAGTGGATGCAGCGATTTCTTCGCAGAAACCCATCTATCAGAACCCAGCGATGCAGGGCAATTGACGCTAGGCGAATTAATGGGGCAACTGCTGACATTATCCAGGAATGGTTTCATCGCCTTGATCTGCCAGTAATCCTGCCTATTAAGCCAGCTAATAGATGGAACATGGATGAGACTGGTATCCTCGAGGGCAAAGGAAGCAATGGGCTAGTACTAGGATCGTCAGAGACCAAGTATATCCAGAAAAAACAGCCTGGATCGCGGGTATGGGTATCTCTGATCGAGTGCGTCTCTGCCAGAGGACGCGCACTTCCGCCTCTTGTTATGTATAAGGGTAAGTCAGTCTAGCAACAGTAGTTTCCTCTAGATCTTTAACCTTATGCTAGCTGGAAATTCATAGCAACAGAGAACAGCTAGACAACTGATCAGAATGCCCTAGAATGGCTAGAAAAGGTCTTTATCCCTTAGACTGTCCCAGAGGACCCTTCAGATACTAGACTACTAGTTCTAGACGCCTATCACAGCCATATAACAACAGACTTTCTGTGGCAATGCTTCCAGAACCATATACACCTCCTGTTTCTGCCACTGCACACATTACACGTCCTCTAGCCTCTAGATCAGTCAGTATTCTGACCTCTTAAGGCAGCCTATAAGAAGTATCTAAGGTACCTAGATATATAAAGCAATTTAACTGTAATAGGTAAGAGGAACTTTATAGACTATTATAGAAGGGCACGTCTAGACGCCTTGATTATCTAGGTTATTAAAAGTGGCTGGAAACACACTGGGTTATGGCTAGTTGATGTAGCGCAACCTTTATCTAGCCCTTTCGTGTCTAAGGCATCAGCCAGCTAGCCAGCCAGATAGCTAGACGGCCAGACAGCTGGGCAGTCAGGAAGTCAGCAGTGGGATGAAGCTGTATCTATAGTCCCATGGTTAACCCCGCGTAAGTCTACTGATCTTCAGCGTCAGCTGCACCTATTCAACCAGCTTACACAAGATACCCAAGAAATCTATACTCAACGCCACCTATTTAGAAAGGTCCAAAAAGGCTGGGACCAACAGGCCTATAGACTGACAGTCCTAGAGCGTCAGGCCCAGGCATTCCAGGCCCAGACGGATAGTCAGCAACAAGGCAGGAGAAAAAGGGTCCAGACGGACCCTAACACGACGTTCGCTAATATCGAGGATATCCGACGGGCGCAAATTGCTGCTGGCGAAGCAGAGAGTAGCACAAGTGAATCCAGTGGATCTGAATTATCTAGTGAAGCAGAAAGTTGCATCTGGGTAGGTGGTAGGGATGAGGAATAATGGATGTTGTTGATGGGTATGGTGATATTGATGGGGGTTTGGGGCTGCGTGGTATGCGGGGTTGCGTGGGAAGCAGGGTGGTTGAGTTATGCAAACCGGTATTCGTAAGCTATGAATCTACGTCATAATAAATTCCTAGTGTTCAAATAGAAAAACCTAGCTGGGACAAGAACTTCCCGCACACATTCAACGTAGGAAAGGTAGCTTGAATTGTTGCAGTTTTATGGAAGAACGCAAAATTTGACACAGTGCGACCAGTGGTCTATGCTAGTTCCTGAAGTTGTTTACTGTCTTGACTGAAAGTGACTATTCATATATTACATACAGTGCCAAAATTAACAGAAAGCCGCAGGCCAATGTATCAAAGTCCTATGTGCAAAGTAACTTTTTTTATGCATTTAATCCCCGCTGAACCTCGCCGGTCCCTGCATTTTGCCCATCCTAAAGTATGGTGGATACAGAACGATTATGAGGTCGATCGCTATCTTCAAAGATTCACGTCTGCTCTTAAATATCGTGACCGCATCCAAGATGTCTCTCACCAAGAGCCTCGAGCGCTTCAATTTGTATGATTTCAGGTTCCAGGCTTCTCGACTGCAGCTGGGTAAGCATAGTGGCGTTAACGGAAGTTTTCGGGATGAGCTCTGTTCCGTTCAGTGATAGAACAGTCAGGATATGAGCAGCAGCCTGCGCAGTTTGTCAGCTGTATTTCCCACTATTATATTGAATCGAGCGGCTTGACAGATTACTTACTCTAGCGTTAACAGTGATCGTGTTAGGGTTGGGGTTTTCAATGGTGTCGCAAGCCTGGTGGTAACAGGGATCTTGGGCAACCGCAGTACCAGTATGCAGAAACCCGAAAGGCTTGTGGAGTATTTGCCAAAATGATGCGTAATCGCTACCATTAGTAAGGACAGCTGGAGTAACTTCGAGACCCTGGCTTTCGAAGTAGGCCTCGTAGATATGCTCAACAACGTCCGATCCTGCGGGCCCGGCACTTCCGTGAGTGCTTCCATCAGTGTCGGCAACCCCAAAGAAACCCTTGGCAACCATATCGAAATTGAGGTAGACAAGTAGATCATCGACATCGGATGCGGGCAGGTTGGAGCAATAGTACTTGGAGCCAAGCAAGCCGTTCTCCTCGGCACCCCACCAGGCAAAGCGCACCTTGTTCTTGGTTCGGTACTTTGTTAGGGCGAGGAAGAGCTCAAGAAGTAAGCTGGTGCCAGATCCTGAAGCATATCAGTATGTCTTTCATCATATCTCGGCTACCACTTACCGTCGTCGTTGATACCAGGTCCAGCTTGGACACTGTCCAAATGGGCACCAAGCTGAAATCTGTAAGTGTTTTGCACTGGAAGGGGCAATCGCGTGGAAGCTCACCATAATGACATTGTGGGGATCGCCCTCTTCAGTTTCAACAAAGACGTTCTGGGTGATGCGTTCCTCAACGATTTGGGTCTGCTGGAAGTGAGCCTCCACGGTTTCGCCCGCATCGAGACGCTCCTTGATCTTTAGACCATCAGAAAGATTGATGAAACCGGCGGGAACAAAGCCCTCAGGGTCAGGTGCGCTTAACGAGCCAGCCGTGGCATTGGTCGTAATGTCATGGTAGACAATGACAGCGGCAGCGCCAGCATCGGCAGCAGGTCGAACCCTGCCGGCAAGGGTACCTCCAGTCGGGCATCTGAAGCGTTGGACGAGCACGATCTTATCCTGAACGTCCAAGCCCTCGTAGTTGACAGCATCGCAGCCGGCAGCTCCCTCTGGACCGAGGACAATTTCAGCAGTGATACCTTCTTCGCTGGTAGAAGGAGAGTAGGTCAAGCCGAAGACGTAGATCGACTCTCCGCCAATGCTGAGGTCAATCGAGACGACTTGACCAAATGTGGCGGGGAAATCTTGTTTCCAAGCCTTGGTAGCTGGGATCTTGGAGACACGATCCCAGACATAGTCGACTGACGCAGCGTAGCCAGGGAGACCGAAAGCTCTGTTCCCCCGTTGGCAAATGCGATAGCATTGAGGGCTTCCAGGTTAGCCATCAGGCTGTTTCACAGAACAAATCAGTCATCTGGACTCCGATCATTCTTGAGAAATCCCGGACCGCAGTGCCACCTTACTTTTCGGTCGTGAGGTCCGCCTGGAGCTTTTCCGAGTTAATCTTAGGCCTGCATGTTGTGTTCGTGGCGGCAGTGCCAGAGGCTAGCGACAGCAAAGCCGCGGCGGGCTTGTAGAACTTCATAGCTGCGTGTGGACTGGGGACGAGACAGCGGATGCTAACCAGCAAAAGTGCAGACAAGAGGCGGCAAGCCGTGAGCTGCTGCGGCCAGCAGCATTTTATGTACGCGGCATTTCAGTCCGAACCGACTGTCATTTTTTCCAACCCAGATGATTTAGCGTTATGGTCAACCGCGGCGAAAATAAAGTGCCACTGCCGACCATGAAAACATGATACTTTGCATGCGTTATCCCAGGCCGCCGAGACTCTGGCACCCAATCGGCCGCCATCAGTTAGGGTAGGCCCACGAACCGAAAATCGGATCAGGAAGGTCGACGGTTGAGGTGAGGGGAACTTCGGGTACGCCAAGGGCCAAGCTCTTTCAAAGTCGTAGCCATTGCCCGTCACCCCGTCATGTCGTCAACGCCGTTGCGTGGTTCGGTTTCTTTCTTCTTTCTCACCTGCGTTAGTCATGGCGAAACAGTCGCATGACCCCTGCTATTGAGAAGATAAGTACGCTTCTTGGGCGGGTGCGTGCTTGGAAAAACCGGAAACGTTGCCCAGCTCCACATAAAGTCGCCAAGCATGCGGTGAAGTCCTGTGGATACCTAATTTGATGTCACAATCATACTACTATCAAGAAAGACTAGATGGCTCAGAACACTCTGTAAACTATACAGAAGGTTATAAGTGGGAGGAACTAATTCATTTACTTGCCCTCCCGATGACGAGAACTATGTTTTGCATCAAAACTTCACTTTATCGCACACCACAACCTGCAGCCAACCATGTCTTGCAGATGAGAGGCGTAGACGCGACTGTTTCACGAGTACAATTACTCACTCTGCCTACTGATCCAACCTGCGTCTACTGTATGATGTTTGACCGCAGTGCGCTGCGTTTCTAGGGTTGTTACAGCTGCTCTTCCTATGCTCAAGCTCAACAAGTCTCATAAAACTATATCGATTCATTGGTCTTAACAACTTCCGTTACGGTCAATAGAGCTCATAGGCTTGTTCGAGCCCTCGTCGGGAGACGCAACGATGCCTGAAAATACACGACTCGTCAGCATCCCAATCCCAGAGCTGGATGTGCCAGAGGGTGTTCCATCTCCTAACAAAGATCAACTAATCTCGACCCATGGGGAATGCAAATGCAGCATCATGACGTCGGCTCCAGCCCCGGCGTCTATTCGAGTCGTGATCTTTACCGCATCGTGTAGCTCTGCTTCTCTCATGTCATCACCAAGGAATCCGCTGCCGACGAGGACGGCAACGGCCGGGGCCGCAAAGATGGGCAGAAGAAGCAGTTCTTTACCGGGACTACCAGAATGTGGCGCGTTTGCGCTGCCCCCCCTTTGACTTCCGGCTCCGCTAGTATCCCCCTCCGGGCTCCCGTATCAGCTGATCAATATTTTTCATAGTAACTTTAGGACAACCTAACCTTGAGATTAACTCTTAGGCCGTCTTGGGGCGTCTAGCGCCAATACAGACTTACAGTCTCATTTACGTCTTCTCGTCAACCTTTATAGACATTCCCTCAAAGATCAACATTACTTAGGTCTTTTTCCTTATCCCCTAGTCCCTCACCCAGCACTGACCACAAGAACAGACTATTGGATAAGACCTTCACTCTGACTCGGATGCAACGAGGCAATGTTCCTCGTAAAGGCGCGTCTATAGGCGGCAATATGGAAGCTCAGACTTTGACTAGCAAAATTAATGCGATGAGCGCCTCTCCATACCTTCATCAGATTCTTCACGTAATTTGAGGTGTTAGTCTGGTCATTACGTCTGGACCCAACCCTCGAAAATTAGATGATAGCTTCTGATAAATGTGGTGTGTCCTCCTTATGTCTTCCGTTACATTCGCCCTGTTCCAGCGCCTAATATTGAGAATGGTTTCTGCGCGAACGCCTCAGCAGATGGAACCTGACAGAGCTCTACCCGAAAAAATCGTAGAATCAACCGCTTAGTCTCACCAAAACTCCACCGGACTTATTCAATGTATTTCTATTGTAGAACTTGCGCCAACACCAAAATAGTACTACGAAGTCGATCGAGCCCTTTCATAGTCCAAGGGTCGGGAAGAGACTCAGGATTCCCAAATCAAGTCTCGCTAGTAACTAAGTATCTCTGCTGTGGCTCTGTGCACCATATGATCTAGCAAGTGTGAGTCTCGTGTATGCGTTATGGTGTTAGATGGTGAAAGCAAACCAGGGAATATGCCGACGCTTTGCGCGCTCTCACAGCAAACGTGTGATAATTTTGTCGGAGGAGTCCCGTCAACTGACTTTAGCGGAAACGAAAAAGAATCAAGCCTAACATCTCGTGGTTCACAGGCAGGGATAACAAACAACTTTTTAGAACAGATCTAGCTCACAGTTAGACAAATAATGAATGATGAGTCAGATGGGATGTCATAGCGAGGCGTATGTGATCCCGTTGCCAAGCCCGCGCCAGTGCATGCCATCGCCATCCTTAATCGAGAATCCTGAAAGAAGCCCAGCGCTTGGAATAATGCCACAAACAGCTAGACTATTGGCTAGTACCGCCACCTTCCAAAAGGGACGTAACTATGCCAGGTTGGCTTCTGTGCTCGGGTGTTTAAGATATTAGTTATTCCTACGGGTGGCATTCTGTGTTATTTTTTCTTGCAGCTAGATACTTAAAGGAGACTGCAGGTCCACAGGTTGTGCGAATACGCAATGTATCACGCATTTGTTCCTCGACATCGTCTCTTGTCCTCCCTGGTGGCTTCCTCCGGCAAATGGCAACGCCTGGCGACGCCAAGCATCGTATTCCGAGAATATCGAGCCATTAAGTGCCGCTAGCGCCATGGCATGCTCACATAAGCTCGGAGGCGATCGACTCCACGTTAAAATGAGGTTGACGAGACTGGTCATCGACGCACACATAGGGAGGGATGTTGCAACAACACAAGCAGTCAACGCAACCTTGAATTGCCGGCCTGGACTTCCAACGGAAGAATGCACGGCCCCGAAGAGCTGTAGTTCCGGGTATGGAGCAGTACCGCAGGTGCGTCAAACCGCCATCCACTAATCGTTGTCAGCACGGTGGTCTGCAAGCGACTCGAGCCTTACCAGCTAGCAGGAGGAGCATGGGGGAAACCGTTGACAAACGCCAAGTACGCACGGGGCCAGGGGCCCAATTGCTGCAGCAGTGGCTTCAATATTAGAGGTCACCGTTTTCTAGCGGCCCCGAAGGAAACGCAGAGTGACGCCCGCGTCGCCCGAATAAGGCCACCATGTCACTGCTCGGCGACGTCCTCTGCGCTAGAGTGGCATGGCATTTCAGCTGAGTGTTTTTGAACCGAACCACAGCACTTGGCAAGAGCCTGGCGCACAGCTTTAATCGGCATGTTCGTCGTGCTCTCGTTCACATAAAGGATGGAGACATTCCGCCGGTCGCCACTTTTGCATCGGTCGTCCCAACTGTTAGACAGGGGTTTGCCAAGGACCCCTCCCCCCAGTACTCCGCACCAACCTCGTCAGTTCGAACGTCAAGAGCAGAGCCTCGCAGACCATGGTGCACTTAAAGGCGCAGTTTCTGTTAGTAGCGGTCTACAGCGCTGTGGCTGCCGCTGCTGTGTGTAACTCCGACCTCCTTGTGGATGACTTGTCCAACTCATTCTCAACGAATCGAAACAACCTGGGCTCATGGACGTCAGGTAACTCCCCTACTACATCGTTTCCGGGCTATTCTTTTGGCCATCGATTGATTAGCTTCACCAGATGATGGCAGCATGGCAAATATCTCCGCTTCTGGTGGCATCCTCAGCTTCACACCTAAAAGCGGAGCCTACTACTATGAGACCTTCCCTTGCCAGTCGCTGCAGAGCGACTCGTACACGCACGTACAACTTGATATCAAGGCACCAGTATCGGGCGCGGCCTTTGCAGCTCAACTTAATTGGGCCTCGACCTGTTCGGCAACAGCCAACACGAAAACATCTTTCCAGGTCACCGGCCTTACCGGCGGCTGGCAGACACTCCGCATCCCTCTGAGTAGCTTTGCCGGGGCGAATCTCGACGCGGCCCTCTCTCTTGTCATCGGATCCTTTTCGTCTACCCAGCAATGGCAATTGGACAAGGTTCTGTTTGTCTGTGCCCAGAAGCCAACAACCTTTGCCAGTGAGTGCGAGTCGGCTGTCGCTTTCTCGGTCCTGACATGCCTGATACTGACCATGTTCCCTAGCCACAACGCCTACCCAGGCCACTTCTACCCCGGCGCCATCAACGACCCTGTCCACATCCCCGTCATGCTCGCCGCTCCTGGTGGATGACTGGGCGTCGCAGTCTCGCCTTGACTTCCTACAATACAACGCACTCCTACTGCCAACTGGTGATGACGGGACAATGCAATCCGTGGTTGTAAACAGCAACCACGTGACACTCACGCCAGGATCCACTTCTTCGTACTTCTACAGCCAGGTCGGATGCGTAGATGCCACAAAGTATGGTGGTATATCGCTTTTGATCAAGGCTCCTGCTGGGACTACGTTCAAGATTGAGTTATCTTCCAAAACGACGTGCGACGGCGCGGCGACGGCGTCATCATCCCAGACGACGAACCAACTAGGTTGGACGTTTGACGGAACCGAGAAACTATATAGTTTCCCTTGGTCAAAGTTCACTGGACTCAATCTAACCAAGCTGAGATCGATCGTCCTCTCGTCGCCCAGCGGCGCGGTTACCCTGGGTCCGATGGCACTCTACTGCGGGAATACTCCCAGTGGCTGGGTATTGCCCACGACTAGCAGCCCAGCAACACCAACAGCAACCGTCGAGGCGCCGACCGCTACGGCCTCGGGTTTTTTGGTCGACTCTTTCAACAATCCAAACACTAACTCGCTTGGATTCTGGCATGGCGGCGATGAGTTGAGCCTTACCTGGGGCTCTAACAGCGTCACCATTGTTGCCGATGGTCCCGACTACGCCTTCACCACACTAATCAGCGGCGGTTGTCGAGACTTACGCAGCCATGGCGGCTCGTACTTGCACATCGCCTACTCGGGACACACCAAATTCTCCGTTTCGTTGCAGCAGCACAATTCGCAGTGCAACGATGGTGTGGCACCGTATCCCGAGACGAGGGACAGCCTCGAGGCTGGCCGGTACGCGACAGGTAGCGACATTTACATCCCCGTTTCGCACTTCAATATCAACCTTCAGCGTGTTGCTAGTGTTGCCATTCGGGGCATATACAGCACCGAGGCCTTGATTCTGACAAAAATTGAGATCGTTCCTTCCATTCCCTCCGGTGTGAGCATACCGCAAAAGCTGCCCTCCGGCACCCTTGTTTTTGCCTGTACGCGGCCCAACTCGTTTGCTTTCGGCATCGATGATGGTAACCCAAGGTACGCCGCCAGGCTGGCTGAGATCGTCCGCGACGCTGGCATCAAGGTAACCTTTTTCGCCGTCGGCGCGGTGCTCGAAGACCCCTCCACAGGCATGGCCAGTCTCTACCAGCAATTGAAGAGCGAGGGTCACCAAATCGCGTTGCATTCTTACACGCATCCAAGGATGGAGGGCCTTCCTAGCACCGAAAGCATCGACTGGGAGTACAACGAGGATTATAGGGTGATGGCCAACATCTTTGGGGAGAGATCAAACTATTTCCGCCCACCTTTTGGGGTCGAAGGCGCACGTATGCGTCAGCGCTGGGCAGCTGCCTCAGGGTCAGAGAAGGCTTATCTCATCAATTGGAGCATTGATGTCCAGGATTGGCTATGGGCCGAGACGAGCACGCCAGAGAAGCAAGTTGAGGCCTTCAAGTCCGATGTTGCAAAGGGGGGCAACCTAGTCGTTATGCATTTTTCATACAACTCGACGGTCAACTACTTCCCAGAGTTTATCAGGCTGGCCAAAGCCACCGGTAAACAGATCATGCGAATTGATCAGTGCATGGAAGATCCGAACGCGCCGCCACTTTGATTGCGGAAGCGGTGCTCTAGGTCTGGAGAGAAGGAATTGGAGGAATTTGAGACCGCCACGAGCGAGGTCCTCCCATTTGTTCGCCTACCATATGACTGATCCTACTGACGGGTTTTTTTGTTCGTTGTCGATGATTATAATCAGTCAATGGCCAGCGGGTAATTACACTACCCTTTGCAAAGTACAATTCGCTCTGTGATATGGTATTTGTGACAGGTGTCTCAGGGTATTAGAAAGGGGTCATGGGAGGGCCTAAACGGCACCATCAGCGCCGACAAATGCGTTTTCTCTGTAGAATCCGACAATGGCAGAATCACTTGAAATTTCTACACGAGTCACTTGCAGTTGTGTTTTGCCATAGTTTCATTTATGATCAGTTATCCGGTGTTGGATAAAGTGAGAAGATAAAAGAGCTTACGTGAGTGAGTGTGATTCACACACACGCTAAATCCTTAGCCGCTTACCTGTCTCTCAAGCGCTGAACGATGATTTGTTGTCAATGTAAAACGACGCGATCAGCATTCTCCACGCCCAAACACTGATGCCTAAAAGTGTGTTGGTGTCTACAAAGGCATCAGATTACTACTTAATCCCGACAGTGCGACTAGAAATCTGAAAAACACAAACTCAAGGCCCAAAAGTACATTTGAAACCTGTCGCGATGCCCTCACGCGCATCGCGCAGCCTTGTGAGATTTGCGCTGGGCCTGGATTAACTATTAGTCCGGTCCCTTTATGCAGATCCACCACGCAGGATATGTATTTATTTGTTTTAGATAAGGTAATCCTATATATAGAAATCTAAGCTATTTTCTTTATATCTTTTTTATTTTAAGTAGTAATTCTATAATAGTTATAAGCTTAGCTTATATTATACCCTTAAACTATTATATTTAAAGTATATTATTAACTAAAAAATCTCTTTTAAATAAATTATTTTTGTTCTCTTAAACTAATATCTCTAATATATTTATTTTTATTAAAGCTATAAAAAAGCTTAAGACGTAAAGTAATTAGCTTTTATAATATATAACTTTTTAGTTTAAAGTAAAATTAAAGTATATTTAAGAATTTATTAACTTAAATAGATTTAAATAAATAAATAAAAATAAACTTAAATATTTTAATAAGATCTTAAATACTTTAAGGATTTTTACTTTTAATAAATTTATTATTAATATAAATTTTAAATAAACTAATAATAAACTTTTTTTAATAATAACTAATTTAAATATTAAAGTTATATATTAAATATATATTTTAAATACTAATATAAAAAAAGTTATTTAAAAATAATAATAAAAAGTATTTAATATAATTAATATATAAATAAAAATATTAATTATTAAATTACTTTTTAAATTAACTTAAATAAAAGCTTTAATATAAAATTAAATAATATTTTACTTAATATTTAAGATTTTTAAGTAATAATATATACTAAATAATTTATTTAACTAAACTATTATTTAAAAAAAATATTTAGCTTTATTAAATTAAATAGCTTTAAGTATTAACTTATTTATTTAATTAATAAAATAATAAAATTCTTATTTTTATATAAAAATTTTAAATTTATTAAAAGTTTAAGGTATTTTTACTTTAAGAACTTTTTTAAGAGTAGTATTATATAAAATTACTTTATTTTAAGTAACTTATAAACTTATAGAAATTATTTAAAATAAGATAATAAGCTTTTTAGTTAAAAACCTAAATAACTATATAATAATCTTAATTAGTGTTTTATAAAAAGACTTATTAGTAGTAAAGTATTATAAAAAAAAGCCTAGTATTTATATAACTTTAGTAAATTATTTTATTATATTAATTAAAAATAATATATATTACTTTTTATTAAAGAACTTAAATAAAGTATATATTTATAGCTACTTATACTATTAGCCTTTACTTAAATATACTTATATAAAGAAAGCCTTTACTAGCTATTTACTTAAACTAACCTTAATTACTAATAATAATATATAATAAATCTATAATTAAATTAATTACTTTTAAAATATAAACCTTTAAGTTAAATTTACTTAGAAAAGGTAACTTTAAGTAATCCTTTTATTTTAAAAAAGAGATCTTAGAAGATATAATAATAAAGTTAATAATAATAAAGATAATAATAATAAACTTAGTAATAATTTATTATTAAAGGTTATTATATATATTATTAACTTTATTCTGCTTTAATTAAACTTAAATAAAACTATTTAAAAAAAAAAAGTTTATAGTATTTTTACTACTTTATACTTTAGCTTATATATCCTTTTATATAGTATTATATTAGATAACTATAGAGCTATTTACTTAGTGAATAATATATTTCTTTTAGAGCTAGGTATAGTCTAAGTAGTTAAGGAGAGTAATTAATAGGTTAACTTAGATACTACTTTATACCTTATTTATATAAAAGGTAAATATATAATTAAAGGGATTCTTAGAAGTTAAAATAGAGTAAACTAAGACCTTATACTTAAGAATATAGTTGTTACCGGTCGGAGAGATGTATGAAGGATGATTGTATTAAGGTCTATCTTGACGTGCACACCGCTACTTATAGTTAGGCACGCACTACCCACGTGATGGCTGGCATCATGTGACGCTGGCAGTGGCCACCCTGCCAAGGGGGTAACAACTGCCCCCGACGCTTTAATAAGCAATAGTCCCTATTGCTTCACTGGGCTAGTCCGGTAACCTTCTTCTGCAACGGCAGAAGGCGTGTTGGTAGGCGTGTTAGTAGGCGTGTTGGTAAGCGTGTTGGTGGGTTTGTTGGTAAGCGCGTTGGTAAGTATGTCGGTAAGCGCGTCAGATAGATAGGGTTGAATTAAAGGTTGGCAGATAGGGGTGTCGTCTACTGCAGAGAGGTCGATCGCAACGTACAAGTGTAGGGCGTAGGTGTTGTTGCCTTTGTTTACCGAGGTTTGCTTCTCGGTCGTCTACCTTGACGGGAGACGAGATTCGTATGGCGAATTTGTTTCTCAACAAGAGCCAAGGAATGAAGTGGGAGGTTGTGCTACCACTTGTTACCGGTCGGAGAGATGTATGAAGGATGATTGTATTAAGGTCTATCTTGACGTGCACACCGCTACTTATTGTAACAGACGCTGACAGTGACGTCGGTCGCAAGGACCCTTTGACTCTATGGCCTAACCAATTGACCCAATTGACCCAAAAGATCCGTCAGTGCTTGCACGCGTGCAAGCCCTGCTGTCAACACTGCTTATATGCCCTTGTGACGTACAACCATCGGGCTAGGGGAGTTGTGCTGTTACAACTATACCCCCTCCTAGGCTGCCTTGTCCCCAAGGCACACATAGGCAATGCAGACCCCCAAGGTTAGAGTTAGCGATGAGACAAGTCCTACCCCGCCTTTCGCCAGCGCTCGCCTTGACAGCCAGGGACAACTACGGGAATCGAACTTGTGACGGCAATCAAGCCTTTCTTTGCCACATGCCAAGTCCAGCAGCTGTTAGTCTGACCGTACGCGTGCAAGCACAATTGTAACAGACGCTGACAGTGACGTCGGTCGCAAGGACCCTTTGACTCTACGGCCTAACCAATTGACCCAATTGACCCAAAAGATCCGTCAGTGCTTGCACGCGTGCAAGCCCTGCTGTCAACACTGCTTATATGCCCTTGTGACGTACAACCATCGGGCTAGGGGAGTTGTGCTGTTACACTTATAGTTAGGCACGCACTACCCACGTGATGGCTGGCATCATGTGACGCTGGCAGTGGCCACCCTGCCAAGGGGGTAACAATAGTATATATAAAGAACTTTTATATAAATATTATATTAAAAGCTTTACTTTATATAATAAGTATTTAGTACTTAGAGCTAGATTATACCTTTTAATATAAAGGGTATTTAAATAGCTTTATAGTTAAGTAACTTATATAGAAAATAAATATTACTTTTTTTAAATATAAGCCTTTTTTTAATTACTTTTTTTATATATAAATCTTAATAAGTAATATATTTATAGTTAATATTAATATAATAAAGCTACCTTACTATAATACTTCTATATAACCTTTATACTATAAAAAGAGTACTTACTTAGACCTTGTTTAGCTTTAGTACTTATAAAGTAACTACTTAAGACCCTAGGCGCTTAAGTAATTAGTCTTAAATGCTTAAGGGGTAAAGATTAAGGCTTATAAGAAATTAAAATACTTTTATTACTAAATAGCTTATATAAAGAAAGTAGTCTTAAAATAAAGATTAGAATAAAGGTTATTTTATTTATACTATAGAATTACTTAAGACCTCTTTAATTACTTTAAAAAGTATAATAAGAACTTATAGCTTATAGTAATTAAAAATAAATATATTAACTAATTTTTTAGATTTCTAAGAGTATTAAAAACTTATAAAAATATATTTAAAGTTCTATATATCTTTAAGTAGTAAGTAATAAAGTAATATAGCTTTACTTTATATAAGATAAAGTAAAATATAGACTACTTTATTATAGTAATTAATAGTAATATAGAGTTCTAATAATAGGTAGAAGAAAAGGGGATTAAGGTTAAGATTACCTTTTTATATATAAAGGAGCTAAATAGTAAAGCTAAGAGGGCTAGCTAAGAAGTAATAACTAGAGGTATTAAACTACTTTCTAGAGTAGGCTTTCTATATAAACTATAAGTTAAAGCAGTAATAACTAGTATATACCTCTATAATATTAGCCCTTTTTAGTATAATACTTAGCTTTATTTTAATTAAAAAAAAAATTAGTTTAAATAATATTTTTATTAGTAGTAACTTTAATACTAAGTAACTTTTAGTTAAGACTTATATTTATAATAAGAATAGTTTTATATATATAGTTACTAAGTATACTTTATTTAAAGGAACTAAAAGAGAAATATAAGAAGATAATACTTTAAAGTAAAACTAAGGGGCTATATTAAATACTTAATAAATTATATTTAAAATACTTATAACTTATATTAAATATAAATCTTTTTATTTTAATAGGTTATAATTATATAGAATATAATATTTAATAAAAGCTAATTTTATAAAAAAAATAATATAAAAGTTATAATTTTAGTTAAGAAAATATAAGTAATTATAAATAATATATAATACCTAAGTATAACTTATAACCTAGAATTCTATGTTCTAGGTATTATAAAGGAGACTAATATTACTTTAATTTTATAAAAAGAATACTTTTTATAATAACTCTTATTACTTATTTTTATACTAAGAATAGTGTTTTTAAATAAAAAGAAATAAAGTAATTATAAAATAAACTATATTTAGTAAAAAGAATAGCTATTAACCTTTAAACCTTTACTTAAACTAAGAAATATCTTAGATTAAAAGATTAAAATAATAATAACTATTAAGAACTAAGTTATAGTAAATAAAGACGTATTAGAATCTAAAAAAGTTAATTACTTAATTAAAGTAATTAAAGATAAGATTATTATTTATACTAATTTACTCTTAAATAAGGAGGGTAAAGTAAAGAAAAAATTAATAATATATTTAGGATTAGTATTTATAAGCTATATTAACTAAAGGCAAGAATTAAGTGTTAGTAATTAAGATAGCTTAAACTATAATACTTTAACCTAATAAAACTAATATTAATAAGGCTTATTACTAGAACTAGTAGTAATAAGCTAATTTAATAAAATAAAAAACACTAGTTACTTTTTTATATTCTTATATTTAAAATAAAGCTAAAATATATTCTTTAATATTTTTTTATTAAAAAGGTAAAAAGTATTAAATAAAAAGGCTATTAAATACTAAATAATTTATAGTTATATTTATATATTAATTATTTAAGTAAAGTATATTTAAAAGATATTAAAACTATATAATAAAAAAAAGATAAAAGAGCTATTACTTTTATTAAAGAATTAAAAAGAGCTTCTAAACTTTTTTTAGTTATATTAAGACCTTTTTTTATAAATAGTAATAACTAAGATTTAGAAGCTTAAGTAAATAAGTACTTAGAAGATAATAAATTAAAGTAAAGTTACTTAGAAACTAATTCTCTTAAAGTAAGTCTTTTTATATAAGATAAACTAAAATAGTTTTTTTAACTATTATAAAGTATAAATTTATATAAAAGGTAATATATAAAAAAAATATCTTTTTAAATAGATATATATAGTAATACTTATAGTATAAACCTTTTATATTATAATAGCTATTATAGCTAAATTTAACTTTAAGATATATTAATTTAATATAGTTAATATATTTTTAAACGCTAAGAGAAGACTAAATAAACTACTTATTATATACTTTCTTTTAGATAGCTTTAAGATACTAGATAAAATTATTAAATTATAGTATATACTTTATAGTCTTAGAGATATATCTCTTTTTTAGTATAAGGAACTCTTAAGTACTTTATATTATTTTAAAATAAAGGCTATAAGTAAAGACCTATATCTCTTTTAAACCTTAAATAAGAAGATATTTTTCTTTTTTTATATTAATAATATTTTTATATTTTATTATAAGTTTTATATAAAAGATATAAAAAAGATTATAAAAGAAATCTAAATAATATATAAGGTAAAAGACTAAGGCTTAGCTAAATAGTATTTAGGTATATAAATCTTATATAACTAGCTAAAGTAAAAGATCTATTTAGTTTATAACTAATATATTAAGTAAATTACTAAAAGATTTAACCTTATTAACTTAAAAGTACTAATTACTTTATTATTAATAGTTATAACCTTTAAGTAACTTTAGTTAATATAAAGCGTTTCTAAAAAAAAGTTAAATTAATCCTTTATACTATAATAATAATTTAATTTAATATTATATTTATATATACCTTGTTTTTATAATTCCTAATAAACCCTTTATACGTTTACTAATAAGTAATAGATTAAGTTATTAGATACTTATATTATACTTAATATTTAGTAATATGCTTTAATACTTTAAGGAATATATAAGTACTACTAATTATAAGTAATGCTTTATTTATAGATAATAATAAGACATAAAGATTATTCTAAGGATATATTATTCTACTTTTTAGAGGTCTAATTTAGCAAAAAGCTACTTAGTAAAACACTATTATAACATTAATAACTAAAGCTAAGCTCCTTAGCCTTAAGTATATTATAAAAAAAACTATTACTTTTAAACGTCTTTTTTAAAACATATAACTTAAGCTTAGTAATATATAAAAGATTAATTATAATAATAATTAAACTATTTATTTTATTATAAATAAAAGTAATTAAATTTTAATTTATTTATAATATATTAATATTTAGAATATATAGCTTTAATAAGAATATAATAAACGTTTATTTAATATTATATATATACTAATAAATAATATATTAATAAATAATTTTACTAAGAACTTTACTAAAATAAAATTTAAGTACTTTAAAGTACTCTTTAACTTATAAGATATATAAATAAAGATTATATATATTAAAAAAGAAGTATTAATAAAAAAAAATACTTATAAGTTATTTAAAATTACTATTTATAGCTTATAAGCCTTTACTCCTAGTAAAAGCCTAAGAAAGAAGTTTTTTTAGTACTATTAACCCCTTAAAAGTACTATATACTAGTTTATAAAGAGCTAATATATAAGTATAGTTAACATAAGTATTAACTAACTAATAAGGCTATTAATTATAGCCTAAATAGTATCTACTTAACCTTTATTTATAATAGTAATAGCTATACTAAAGGTAAGACTACTAAATAAAACTAAACTAACTAGTATATTTCTATTAAATAATACTAGTATTATTTTATTATACTTTTATATACTATACTAAATATCCCCTTAAAAAAAGGTCTACTTAAACATAATATAGCTTTATAATACACTAATTATTTAACTAAAAACTTATAAAAATAGTTAAAACTAAATAAATAAATATTATATATAAAAATATATATTTAAAGCTATATTATTATACTTTATAACTAAAAACTCTTAAGCTAAATAGTAAAGCTTAGAACCTTTAATAATTATAATATAAAAGGTCTTATTAAGTATATAATACTAATACTTAAGGGTTTAGCTACTACTTACTAGTATACACTAACCTAAAGAGTTATTATATAATGTACTCTAAACGCACTATAAGTACTTAAAGTCTTTTTAGAAGGTAAGCTCTAGGGTCTTAGTATATACCTTCTCTTTTTCCTTCTCCTTATTCTTCTTTTCTTTTTTTACCTCTTTTTTTAATATAAACCTAAGGGTAGTTATCTTTATTTAATAAAATTAGTAAAAAGCTTAAGTTAAATAGGGAAAGTATAATATACTAGTTAACTATTAATTATAAAAGGCCTTTAAGATTATATTAAAGTAGGCTTAGGTACTAAGAGAGAGAGGTGACTTTGAATTGTCTTTATCTTTACTTGTAGTACCTATAGAGAAGTTAGCTAGAAAAGGAGGCTATAAGCTGTTCTCTTTAATGTTAACTTCCCTGTTATTATAGCCTTTAATAAAAAAAGTCTACTCTTATACGTTAGTACTACTTGAGATATAAAGGACCTAGATAAAGGATAGACGTATAAGAAGAAGAGGGACTATAGGCTGGTTACTAGGGGGATTAGGGGAGCTACTGCTTTCCCTATTACCCTTATGCGCTTTATTATACTTCTTAAGTTAAGCTATATATATTATAGTAATATAAGTATATATAGTAGTCTTTTTATTAGATTTTAGAGGTAACGTACTCACATAGCGAGTAGGCCAACATAGCGAGCGGGCTACTCCTTATCGCTAGAAAAACCCCCTTTTTTAACTATTTATTAAAAAGCAGATTCCTAACTAAAAAAGACCTAGTTTTTACTGTTATATAACGATAAGAGTTAAATTCTAGTAAATAATAGTATAGAAAATATTATCTCTCTTTAACCTTAGTATCTCTTATCTAGGCCTCTAGATAAGAGAATTTCTAAAGATCTAGGGGTTAAAGTATAGTAATATTTTCTATACTATTATTTACTAGAATTTAACTCTTATCGTTATATAACAGTAAAAACTAGGTCTTTTTTAGTTAGGAATCCGCTTTTTAATAAATAGTTAAAAAAAAGGGTTTTTCTAGCGATAAGGAGTAGCCTACTCGCTATGTTAGCCCACTCGCTATATAAGTACGTTATTTATTTTTAAATATTAATATTATATAAAAAGCCTATAATATAAGTAAATATATATATATATATAATAAAAATAATAATATTTTAAATATATAGTTATTATTATTATAAATAAAAAAAATTAAAAAAAAAAGCTTTTTTATTAAACTAAAAAAAAATAATATTATTAAAGAAAATAAATATTTAATTTAATAATTAATTAGTTAATTAAAAGCTATTAATCTAATTAAATTATTTAAAAGTAATAAAAAAAAAGAATAGTTTTTTTATTATTAATAACTAAATATAATATTATATAATTATTTCTTTTATATTTATTACTTTAAAAGTAAATATTTATATTTTTATTTATTTTTTTAAGGTAATTCTTTTATATATAGTTATTATTAAACGTATAATAGTTAGAATCTATTAATCTGCTTGGGAAGGTATATTATAATGCCTTTACGCGTATTGTGTAGCCTTATGAGATTTGCGCCGGGCCTGGATTAACTATTAGTCTGGTCCCTTCGTGCGGATCCACCACGCAGGATACGTATTTATTCGTTTTGGACAAGGCAATCCTGCACGTAGAAATCTAAGCCGTTTTCCTTATGTCTTTTCCACCCTAAGTGGTGACTCTACGACAAAACCATTATATTTGGACACATCAACATGTCACAACCTCGCCGACCCACTGAAGAGGCACTCGACGACTCGGACGGCTACGAACTTCAAATTGCTCTCGATCAGCTTTCTGCTGGCTCAACTGAGGCCCTAAAGCTTTATCTTGCCCGTAAAAACGGCCTTGACCCTACCACAGTATCGCTGCGAACAACGCCATGGGAGGCAAAGATTGATGGGGCTACTAATCTGTCTTACGCCGGCAAGCTAGACAATACGCGAGCGCCAGATGATGAGAACGGTCCCATGATCGATGAAGCTTGGGAACCTCCGCACGTTGTCCTTGAGGACACAGAAATACCTTTTAACTATGTGCCTCTGGACCCGGAACTTCGGCAATTTCGCTTACTGAAACTTGCGCCTCCAGATGAGCATGGCATCATCCGCCATCTTCAATTGGAGACGTTCAGCCTTGACGATGCACCGTCCTACTTTTGTCTTTCGTATGTATGGGGAGATCCGGAACGCTTCCTTGAAGTCAACTGCAATGGGCAGATGATTTTGGTAACACAAAACCTTTTCCACGCCGTGCAAACGTGCTTCAATAGGCATCCCAAATCTTGGCTGTGGGCAGATGGGGTTTGCGTCAACCAAGAGGACATTGCCGAGCGCAGCCAACAGGTTCTGCTTATGGGTAATATTTACCAAGAAGCCGCAATGATACTTGCACACCCTGGGCATTATTCATACGGGCGTACGGAGTCAGAGGAGCAAGATATCGCGATGACGGTGCTCAAAGACCGTTTGGAGGGCCTCGGTATGCAAGACATGATGAGCTTTGGGGATGAGATCCCTGTTGAAGGAAACGTTCCCACCAATGCTGAAAACCCTTCTGATTTAGCTAACTTCACTCTCGGACCTGTGGACGACGCCTACGACCCCAAAAACGTCCAGGGAGCCATCAGCATCATGACGTACCTGACGCGAATTTGGGATGATCAGCGGCGGGATAAGGTTATGTCTGACTTGCAATGGAAGGAAACCAGCCTTCCCGATCCGCATACTGAGAGCGGACGTGAGGTGTGGGAAAACTTGGTACGATTTTGGACCACAGATTGGTATTTCCGCACCTGGGTGCTGCAAGAAGTGATCCTCGGAACCAAGGTCGTGGTACTTTACGGTTCAACTGCAATCAGCTTGGACGCAATCACGGAATTCTGGGACCTTGCGAAACATCGTGGCCTTCCGCGACCGCTTCGGATTGGCCCATATGCGGACATCTTTAACACGATCTTGCATCTGAGTCCTGTTGGTTCTTTCAAGCTCCTTCGGGATCGGCAAAAGGCATTGGCCCGAACAGCAAGGAACTTTCAAAAAGATGACGTTATGACCTCTGACGCCAAGGGCCATGATGGAGACAACATAACTGAAAATCTTGGGAAAGACAGCGACGATGGAAGCCTCGGCGGTGCAGCACTGCAATCGTCCAGTCTTCTCGAGTTACTATGTTTAACTAGAAACAATCTTGCCACAGACCCGCGAGACAAGATCTATGGGCTTCTCGGTCTCACCGACGACGCTGTTTCTCGAACAATCATTCCCGACTACAGCAGGCACAACACCCCCGCCAAAGTTTTTGCCGAAGTTGCTGCTCAGATAGTGGAGTTTGGTCATGCTACTGACCTGTTGCACCACGCAGGCATAGACCAAGACGTCCAGGGTCTCCCCTCGTGGGCACCCGACTGGACGATGCAGTCTCGCTCCCGGCTACCGGTGCACTTGTATAACTGTTTGCCTAGCACGAACCCCACAATTTCCATCCTGAAATCGGACGGGAAGCCCAAATTGGCATTACGAGGAGCCATTCTGGCCCAAATCAACGCACCTGGACCAGCTTGGAGATACTACTCACACGACAGCTCGTTGATGCCCTTCAACAACTTCGAAAATGCACCGGAAACAGAGATTCCACCTTTCAACGACGAGGATGCCAGGAATTTCATTTTCGCATTTTTGTCATGTGCTGCCGAAGGGGATTTGGAGAGGCGTTACAGTGCAGAGGGTCTCAACAATGCGCTGGTCCGAACTTTGGCTGTAGACTGTTCCTGGCAAAATGAAAGGCTCGGAAAACGGGGTAATTCAACAAACGCAGACAGGGTACAACAATCTAGCCCTACTGTTGAGGGGAGCAAGGAATCAGCTACGTCTGCGTCACCGTCAGATGAGTTCTTTGCTGGTGTAGACGCCTTTCGACGTTTCTACGCTCGCGGCCCGGAATCGGAAGAAGACTTCGAAAAGCCGGGAGTCCGTGTTCACCAGACGGGCATCTTCCAGTGGCTTCTTGACTTCGATGAAGAGACTGAAGCTGACTTGCAAAAGCGTATGGTACCTTTCACGGCACCATTTCAAGAAGCCCAGCGTGGACGAAGATGGGCTGCCATGGGTACTAGAGGCCCCAAAACAAAGGACGACTTGGCCCAGGACGCTGAGAAAAAGAAGGAAACCCCTTCGAGAAGATTCTATAGCACGAAGGTTCTGAAAGACTATTACATGGGCACTGTACCATGGGATGCAGAGACAGAAGACTATGTGGTTTTGTTCGAGGGGTTTAGGACGCCATTCGTTTTGCGCCAGTCCAAAGAGGAGACCGCGAATGACGGAGGAGCAGTATTTAAGCTGGTCGGAGATTGCTACATTCACAATGCTATGGACGGCCAATTGATGGCGTGGGCAGACGACTTAGAGGGAAACCTGGATCCTGGTCAGGTGGGAGTCAATGATGAAGGAAGGAAGTACGTTGTACAACACCCAGAAGGATACGCCTTGTTCGAGGACTTCATAATTGCTTGATGTGGAAACTTTTTTATATTATTCTCATGTGGAGCATTTCCCCTAGGCACTTTCAAGAACATGAAGCCTTTGAGAGTGTTCAAGCCCCTAGACCTCGGCTGCGAGCTGCATCAAGGAGTGTAAGGCAAGATTGTAATCCCAGGAGTTTTCCAAATATGCCAATTTTCAGAGTGCTCCGGATTGCTGAAAGGCGTGAGCGCTGCAAAACGCATTCTGTGGGCCAGACAGCCAGCTGTTAGTTGCAATAACTACATGCATGGAAGCCATGAAAGCGATCATTACTTACGTGTAGTTGCCCGGCGCAATGTAGCTTCCATTCGCCAACTTGCCAAGCCACCAGAATCGATCTGTCAATTCACTCCAGGTTGTTGTACGCTCAACTCCTCGGATCGGAAATGGTACAAGTTTCTCTTTATCCATCGTCGCGGGGTCGAAATTTATGTAACTGCCAGCATACGTCGAGCAGGTGGCCGCTCCAATATAGCCATTCTCTCCCGTAACTGGAGGATAGCTCCAATCCGACTCTTTATAATCTGCGTCAAAAATCTAGGGAAATTTAGTAGCCGTGCTCGAAAAGCTTGAGAGACATGGCAAAAGTTTTCGTTTCAACTCACATCCCACCGCAGCTCCTTCGTTCCCCACTTGAATTGAGTGTAGACTTTTGGAAAATCCTGCGAGACTCGACTTGTGTTGAAAGCATACCTGCAAAACATTAGTTGGCTCTCTCTTTCACACTGTTTCTTCTAACGTGGACACCTACGTATGATACACGTCAATACCTTGCCCGCCTAGACCCGATCTCTGCAAGGGGTAGTTCGGAGGAAACATTCTGCCTCTAATTTGTAGCTTCAAGTCGAAAGCAGCACCTGATAGTGTTTAGTAGCGGACGATGATAGCCTAAGGGGAACAGTTCACTCGTACCCATGTAAGGAACCGCAACTGTTTCGCCGTTATTTCCCGTGATTACAACCTTGCCGCTGTATATTGGCAGTTTCGTTCCATCGTCAGTCTCTGGTAGCATAAAGTCGAATCTGAAGAAAGTTAGGGTTCAGAGATGCAGATGTATCCAAGGCTATGTTTGAGACTCACTGAGCCTGCTTAGTTTCACCAGGATTGACTCGGAAAATACCCGAAGGAAAGGTGACATTCGGTACGAGATTCATGGGTTTTATGTCAAGGATATCTGCAAGAAGCCCAGGAGTTCTTCCCTGAGCAACAAAACCTCCCGCAGGCTCCAAAGTGAAGTTGTAGGTTACCATTTCGTCTCCATTGTTCGTGATCTCAACCTTGTGGTACCGAATGAACGATCCAGTATCGTTGAGTGCAAACTTATCAAACGAGAGTGATGTCTTGTACTCCAAGAGCTTTGTTGCGTTAAGGAGCCCATTGCCTACTTGTGTAATCGGGGCGAAATACCCAAAGTCCGTAGGAAGTCCTTGTGGCTCAAGGATTTGCCATGGAATACTTTCCCCACTGGATATGATGCGTCTTGAGAGATACTTGGCAAATCCTTTTCCGTGCACAGAGCGACCTCCGTGCTTGCTGATATAAAGAGCTGCTACGCCGGCAACATAAGGAGTTGCCATGGAAGTTCCACTGAGTACTTTATACGTGCCGTCCAGATAGGTACTGTATATCTTGGCGCCAGGCGCGGCAATGTCGGGTTTGATCTCTAACTCATACGTCCCGCCCCAGCTGGTGTATTGTGAAGGGATGCCACCAGCGGCGTCGAAAAAGCCAACTGCCCAGTTCCGGTCCGCTAGTACTGTGAAGTCTGCGGTGACGTTTCCTCCTGATTTCACCGTTTCGATAATGGCTGCGCCGGCCTTGGCGTCGATGAGCGCGATCTGAGACTTGTAGGCCGAGTTAGCCACAAGTTCATACGGGCGATATTCGTCGTTGTAAAAGAGAACGTATCGAGCGCCAAATTTTTCAACATTGGTCTGTTTCACATAAGGCGTGCATGTCCCTCTTCGAACCAGCACAATTACGTTCGAGAGGTCTGGTGTCGAATCCGGTAGTGGGCTACATGCCTCCGCTGGGTTGGTCGTGTCATAAGCTAACGGGACAATTGGTAGACCGGTAATGTTCCAAAGACCTCTGTTGACTGGAGGTATGTATGCAAGCTGAGTGGTATTCGCTTCGCCGCCAAGGCTGAACGTTGCATACCATGGCTTAGCGGGGACTCGACTAGAGTCAACAGAAGCAACAGCGAGAACTTCTTTACCTGACGATCCACTGCTCGCGTAAAAAGGGCCCTCATCTCCATCGTTGCCGGCTGCAATGGTGATGATGACGCCTTGTTCTACGATTCTGGAGGCTATAGTAGCCCAAGGCCCATCTGAGAAGCCATGGGCACGACCAATACTTGCAGTGATAATGTCTGCCTGAGAAAGAGATGAGAAAAGGGATGCTGCAAGAGGATGGAACTGACTCACTCCTGACTCGTACGCCATGATAGTTGCTTCAACTAAAGTGTCTTCATCAGTACCTTCGAACTACGAAAATCAGTATGCATACTATCGACTACAACCTAAAGTTCTTACAGCGCCAAAGACTTTAAAAGCTAATATTTCGGCTTCTGGGGCGACGCCGACGTAGCTGGAGAATTGAGATTATAAGCTCATGGTCCGTGAATCTGTCTATGCTAGAGTCGAGGTTGACTTACAAGTCGCTCTTTCCGGCGATGATACCAGCAACATGAGTGCCATGACCAAGTGAGTCCAAAGGGTCTGCATCAGGATTCTTCTCATTGGATCCATCATACTCTGTAACAAGCCTTAGTCGTTGTTTACCTCTTGATCTAGTCATTGTTGTTCTAGTATGGATATATGGATACCTTCTCCAACTAGATCGTAGCCACCCGAGACCGTGAACCCAGGCCCAAACCCACCACCTAGCTAAGATTGTGTTAACAGAATTCGTGAAACGGTACTAGCTTCAGGAAAGAAAACTTACGGCAGGATGACGGTAGTCAACCCCTGAGTCGATGATAGCAATCTTCACGCCTTTTCCGAAAATACCAGCTTTATGAATGCTATCTACTCCGGTCGAGAAGTGAACAGACCAATTGTTTGCTGTGGCGTCGTCACCAAATGCGGCATGGCTTGTTACGGGTGCAAGTCTGTAGGTTTTCACAGGCCAAGCTTGGGCAACCTCGCCAACATTCTGCAGAGTGTCTAGATTGTCGCCGACAGACTCAACAGTGAGACCACAGAAAATATCGCTATTGAATGACTTGAGGACTTTAGAGCCAGTGGCTTCTATCTGTCGTGACAAGTCGCCAAGTGTGGCGCCCTGTGAGTAAAACATTTCAGCACATATGAAGCATTTTCTCATTATCTGTTAGGGCTTACCGATTCAGCTTCAACAATAAACTTCGTAGTCTCTGGGCTGCTGTTCTGAGCGCCATCCTGTCCCTTGCCGAACGTGGACCAAGCTTTTGCCTCTACAGTCCCCAAGGCCGTTGCCCATAAGAAGAGACAGAGATGCATATTTACGGTCAGAATTCGAAAGTTTGTAACGGCGCGGAGGGAGGAAAATTTCAAGTTTTCGTGCGAAGCCTTAATCTCATAAGTAGTTAATCTTGTCATCGCTATTATGGCGCACCCGGATAGCACGCTGCAACGCTTTAGCTGTGTCTTTTGCCTCAAAGTGGGCCGCAAATCCACAACTAACTGCCAAAAACGACTTTTCATGCATGCTCCGGTCGGGTTCCTGGCACGTTCGATATCTTCCTGCCAGATTGGGATCCGTATATGTCACACAACCGCTGGGTTCCTAGCTAAATGGGGTCGCAACGGCAGCCAAAATAGGCTCCACGGCCGTTGGCGGTCTTGGTTTTAATGAACATCCTTGTCATTGCAGCATTGCCAAGTACGCAATCCATCTAAACAAGCGTAACTTGGCTAGCTCCCATGGTTGGATTGGAAACAAAATCAAACCACGATGACCATCGCTATGAAGCCCAATAGGCCAGTTCGGAGGAAGTCAATACGTAGGATGGAAGTACTAGCGAGTAGGTTTCCCTACATAGGCGAATCGACACACAGCTTTTGAGGATTGCATATGAAAGACGTTTTGCAATTGAGGGTAGAAGCAAAAATGGATACTCAATGCCTGGATGGAATTTAACCACCGACACTCCCCGAGGTGGGCTCGAACCACCAACCTCCAGATTAACAGTCTGACGCGCTAGCCAATTGTGCCATCGGGGATATTGAGTCCCAAATTGATGGAAAATCAGCGATGCCAAATGCCTTATTTCCTCAGTGAACATTGACTGTGGGACACACAAAACCCTAAAAGGGAGCATGGTCTATAGCAATTGTGGGTCCTCGTCCGATCGACTCAAAGCCATATGTACATGTATTGGTACTCACAGCAAAACCACTTGAGAACAATCCAAGAGCCGCTTTAGTTGGGTTCGAGTAGTAGGCCGATTGTACATCCGCAGCTGGACCATGAAGTATCGATTCTCACGTGAAAGCTATGACACCCGATCTATCCAGTGCCAATGCGACTTTGGTTTGCGTTTTTAAAGATTCTCAGTTTCATTGGCTTGTTCTCCAGGTCCATCCATGGCGCTTTGCCACCGATCAGTGGCGGGCGTGCAGTTTTAGCGCGCGATGATCCTAAATCTTTGTGTCGTGCATTGTCTGTAAGTACCGTATTGCGATAGTAGACGGGAGGAATCAATCAAACCTAAATTCGCTATATGGCAAGGGGGAGAGGCTCGTCAACCCTCTCTCCATTTAAACAGTTGATATTGTCGGGGCGGCTCTCGCTGTTGGTTCAGTAACCAAATAAAACCCTAAAGAACGGTGATTATTCAATCAACATGACCGCAACCAAAAGCTGGAGCTAAAGAGATATTAGACCCGGCCGGTGTCTCATGTTATTGAGAATACATTGTTATCCCTTCAGATCATGCGTTCCTTCCTCAACGGAGACAATCCAGGTCACGGTAAAAGAGCTTACTATTTAGTGGCATCTGGCAGTGTAGCCTGGGATGACGTCTATGCCGCGGTTGCCAAGGCCTTGCACGAAGGAAGCATCATCAAGAATGATAGTGTTGTTCCGGCCGACGAGACGGGACTGAAAACGATGGCCAAGGGTCTCGGCACCGATAACTCGCTCATTACTATGAGATTGGTTAGGGAGTGAATAACAAACCTAAACTCATCTAGTGGCTCGGCCAAGAGATGCTAACATCGGTGGCTGAGAAACAGGTGCACTTTGACTTCGAAACATGCGGCCGAGATAGGGTGGGCGCCGCAGTTTTCCCCGGTGCACATTTTGAAGCTGCGCCAATGAAGTGGATCTAATCTTGCAAAATCTCAAACAGAATACATTTTCCATCAATGGATCGCAGGATAACAAAGAATTAGATGGTTACAGTGAAGCATACATCGACAACAACAGACTTGCAGATAAAGCGCCGAGTAACGGTCATCAATGATTATGTGTCAAATTATAGGTCCACTTAATTTGTTTACATAATATGGAGTTGCGCGTGGCAAGAAAGGTATGATGTCAACAGTCGAGCATACTCCGTTTGTTACTGGACGCCTATGATAGACTCATCTGATTTTCACCTTATGATGAACCATAAAACAAAAGTGCAGCGAGCTATGCGTACATGTATTGTTTTGAATTGTCTGCTCGTTCGTAGCAAATTTCCCAACTGTCTTATCAATGCGTAGTAAGCAGGATATGTGTAGGATTATGGCTGTCTCGCCGAGGGATCGTCCCTCGGCAGGATTTGTAATTGTTCCGCTTCTGTAACTCAACAAATACCACTAGCACTCTTACCCCTCTTACTCATATCAATCGGCAATTATTCTCGTACTTGATTAATCGCCGGATCACCACTGCTCACACCCCAGCACAAATTCAAAATGTCCAAACAGCTGATATTGTTCGATATTCCCGACCGGAACAGCACCTGCTGGTCTCTGAACCCTTGGAAGAGTGAGTTATGCGGCAATTATGGGCATCTTCTGGAGACAACTGACGTGACAGCCAGTCCGACTCGCTCTCAACTACAAGGGCATCGGCTACAAGACTGAATGGCTCGAGTACCCTGACATTGAGCCCAGGCTAAAGTCTGCAGGGCTCGAGGGTGATCCCAACCAGATAGCCCTGTTCACGTGTCCCACTGTACAATTCCCTGACGGAACGTACGTGATGAACAGCGCTAAGATCATCAAACGCCTTGAGGCCGACTATCCTGAGCCGTCGCTGCATCTAGATTCAGAGGTTCTCCAGCAAATGTATGATTTTCTCAGTGAGACATTTGACAGTCTATGTCCTGTGCTTTTGCCAATCGCGCCTCGAGACGTCTTGAACAAACGAAGTGCGGACTATTTCTGGGATACTCGGGCGAAGGCATACGGTATGACGCTTGACGAGCTTGAGAAGACACAGGGTGGCGAGGCAGCTTGGGTCAAAGCCAAGGAGTCTCTGGAGAAGACAGCAGCTTTGTTGGATAAGACTGAAGGGCCATTTTTCCTTGGAAATAAATGTAAGGCCTATCACTCATGACTACCGGATGGTCTCCACACTTTGCTAACAAGACTCTAGTCTCTTACATCGATTGCGTTTACGTTGGGTTTTTATTCTTTGCAAAGAGGTTCGGCGAGGAAAACTATCAGCGCATCATCCAGCACTCAGGGTCTTTTGATAAGCTTTTCAAGGCTAGCGAAAAGTGGCTGGATCGAAACAATTAGGGATTCGTTGAGATGAGCACGAGGTGACATCTGCGTGGTACTTGTGGGCAACGTCATTTATTCAACAGTAGTATTGATTATACAGTAAAGCTCAAGCCCCACATAAAAGGAAAGATTCATGCGACCCAGATAAGTAAGGATCATGAGTACAGGTGTTGTTAGAAATTTATCGACTCTCCAACATAATGTTCGACTCATCTGGCCACTCGTAGCTTTTGATGCGGCTGATATCGCGGACCAGTTTTCCCGGATGAATCCAGAGATACAACGCCATGATTGAGACCATTGGGGTGCCGTCAAAAAGATAAAGAAAAACCTCATGTGTCATGATAAATCCGCCTTCTCCTTGGAGATATTCGATACCCCTTACCAAGCTTCTGATGAACATCAAAGAGGCAACGCCATACGCCATCAGATAATACTTTTTCCACTCAATACCCGCGTGTGTTGCATTGAGTTCGGCCATTTCGTGTTGAGCACAGCGGTGGGAATGCCAACAAGACACGATGAAGAGGGTGATGACAGCGAGCTGGGCGACCAGACCAGCCATGATGAGGTTCTTGGCCATCTTGATAGCATCTGGATCACCCGAAGCCGGTATCACGGCTCCGAAAACTTGTGTAATGAAGCAACCGATATCTACGACAACGTAGAAGAAGGCTGTGAGTCGTGGGCTTATGAGCACATGGCGTCGAAGGTCGAGTGCTATGATAATGCGACCGAGGCTCATGTAGATGGTCGCGGCGAATAGGGGCGGAGACCCGAGAATAAGCAGGTTTTGTAGAATGAAAGAGCCAACATCTGTAGGATCTTCATGTGCTTTCGCGCGTCCATAGTACCCAAAGGCTTCTCCTTGAATAAAATGTTAAATCACCTCACAGCCATGAGGAACAGATTACTGAAACCCACCGACGCCACCTAGAATGAACGGAATGAAGTGGTATGTCCTTAGCTTGAATAAATAACCAATGTGACTTAGCACACCGATAGCAAAAAGAACAAGAAATGCCCATCCGGCTTCTCCATTCGGTCGGTAGTGGTAAAATACGATTTGAGTTCCATTAACAACTGGACCAAACGGTCCGCCACCGTTCAGCTCGTTGACCATGGTCTCACAGATTCCGATATTGAAGTTTCTTGTAGATGGCGATCGCGGGCATTGATTGCGACACTTTGCGAATTTATCCCACTTGCTCGAATTGGGTTGAGGATGGAGCTGAAAAGGCACAGAATTTAGGGATAAAGAGAGGTTGTTGGCGTAACCAAAGCCGGAGCTAAGAGATGTACTTCGGTTCCTCTCTTCTTTTATAATGTTGGAAATGATAGGAAATTCATTCAGCGGGTGGTCCACAGTGACAGTGTAAATCGTATTGCAATACGATAGACAGTTTTGCGTCGCGGATTTTCGTATAGCAATACGAAAATGGTTTCCGCAACTGGACCAAGCTTTAGAGATGTGGATATTTCTAAATTTGTCTTTTAAGTATTCCGAATGAATGTTTGATTTCAATTTTCATCGCGCCAAGGAACTGACATATTTGCCGTCATATTTTCCAGCTGATGGCCACTTAATACTCTTCATGCTACGTATCGGCTTGTTATTTCACTGGCTTGAACTTATTGGAAGGCAATTACCTGCCCACTCACATTTAAGCCAGGACGTAGGTTTCTGACTCTAATGGCAGTTCTGATGTTCAGCTTCGGGCAACCTTCAGCTGGCGGTAGGGGTTTCTTTTTCCTTTCACTATGAAACTTGGATTCTATAATACATGTTTTTATTTTATTTTGTTTCATTGAAGCTTCGGTGATAGATGAGAAATTAGTGGCGTGGCTGTGACTGTTCGTTGCTTGGATACCGTTGGAGCCTTAGCTGCCACATTCCAGTCTACAAGCAACCTAAAGAACTGGGAATCTCGGACTGGAAAAACGTAGCCCGTGCTCCCTTGGCTGCTTGCTGCATGTAATGTCTCTTTAGAACTGGACTCAACAGTGGAAGTTGCCGCCTGAAACAGATGTCACATGTTTTGACGTCCACCGTGCGGAACAGACGCAAACCTTGCAAGTTTCCCGTAAACCCTGGCAACCTAATCATCACACAATCGGCGCACACAAGAAGCACTTCCCTAAATTGCACTATAACTTGACTGTTATACAGAACTTGCGGCCAGTTCTCCATGCTGCAGGGCTGAGGACATCATGGGCTCCAACGCTCCGCTCGGTTTCAGGGATACCAAACCTGGTCACGCCATCAAGCCAGGAACAACACTCCGCATACTCGGTGTTGGCGACTCAATCACCGTTGGTTTTCTTAGTGACATAGACGGTGGAGATGGAAATGGATACAGGCTTAAGCTTCGAGAAGACCTGTCAAGTACGTTTAAGTGCTGCATCACCTCTTTCACTGGTTTAATTAACGTCTTGCTCAGAAGACCAGGTCGTTTTCGCTGGAACGGAGACGATGGGTGGCACAATGCCTGGTGGCTATTTCGTAAGCATACCGTGATAGCTGTCTCTTTTAACCATCAATTTGGCTGACGAGTCACTCATATGACAGGCGGCTTGGTCAGCCATGACGATCAAATTCATGTCTGACCATGTTGGGCCATCTCTCAAGCAGAGGCCCAACCTTGTACTTATTCACGCTGGTACTAATGACATGAATCCAAATCCAGACGTTTCCAGGGAAGGCAGTGACCCAAAAGAGGCCGCAGATCGACTCGGTAAGCTCATCGATAAGATCGTTGAGGGTTGTCCTGATGCCACGATCCTTGTGGGGATGATCATCGGCTGTCATGATGAGGTGCAAATGAGAAACATTACCCAGTTTCGGTCCTTGATCCCAGGGGTTGTTCAGATGCGCCAAAATGCCGGAAATCGTGTTCTTGCCGTCGATTTCTCAACCTTCCCCATGAAAGCTTTGAGAGATGGTATCCACCCGACGAACCAGGGTTACCGGCTAATGGGGGACTATTGGTACGATTTCATCACGCAGATTCCCACCGACTGGATTCAGGAACCGATTGGCAATGGCCCTCATCATCTTGGTGAGCTCCATCGCACGAAGCCGGTTGAAATGGGGTCAAAAACCTGGAGTCAAAGAATCCTAAGTTTGGTATTCGGCAAGAGGGCATAACATATTGATCACGTGTCGGTGTGCCTAAATTTATTTACCTGAGATAGATGAGAAAACGCCAAGTTTTTGTTTTCGCAGGTTGAATCTATTTGTGACTTTTTCCAATTAAGTCCGGCCAGATCGGGGCTGACAGGCTGACCGAAGCAGGTCCTATTCGGGCCTATCCTAAGCTCCCACCCGAAAGTGTTTTGTGCATCGACACTAACGGATGTATCCCGGCAAATGTCACTTGACAACCGGTTGCTGGTTTCACGCACAGGTAAGATGCATGCTATGCATTTCCTAACGATTAGTGAGGCAATCGGTTTTCCCAATTGGCACGGCTTTACCTGCAAACCTTGACTTTCTTCAATCAGGGGTCTGATCTCCAACCGTCTCTAGATTAATTGAATACCATCAAGCTAGTCTAAGGTCAGAAACAATGAATATACCTTCATGCGTACCCGCAAATTGACGAAAACTCTGAGAGATACCCTAATTGTCGGACATCATCAGGCAACATAGCCCATAGTATCGGATTTGATGTTGCAGCAACAGACCTGTAGTCGACAGGTGAGGGGGTAGCTCCAGATGGCTCCGTGAATGGTTCGCAAATCGGCCTAAATCCCGGCGAATTGCTAGAATCACAAGGCCAAAGAATCGAAAGATTGGCCAGTGAATAAGCCACAGTGGTAACAGTGATATACAAGAGTGATCCAGAGGATCCAGCCTGTGAAATTCTCGCGGCTAGCGTGGCCTGCCACCGCAACTAGTGAAAATATATACAGCCAATCCAATCACCTGGCCAGAATCGTCGGAAGATAGGCGCCAGAAAGCTCCCGCCGACTGGCAAAAGACGGATTACGGGGTGCGGGTCTTTTAGGCTAAATAACTATTGCCGGTGTTGATCGTGCCAAAAACATGGGGTTGGATGGCCGTTCACACGCGGGGTAATATCCTAGTGTTTTCTTGGGTGTCGCCCGTGGGAGGCGACCTCACACACCCTATTTTATTGTTTCACACACGAGGTAAGTTCATTTCGACAAGGAGGTGAGTACTTGATGCCGAGAGTCTCGGTCTCTGTTCATTTTCTCGGTGTCCGTCCCTGTCCATGTTGGCTCAGAATCCCACCAGTCGTAATGGGCCGACGTTAAGTGCGGAAATGTGTCATCGGAACGCGATCGATATCTTCGAGAGCTATTTGACCCGTGCCGCTTTGCCGCAGCACGGATTTAGCTAGCAATAAAAGTGCTGACGTCCCCATCGAAGTTTGTGAGCTGTCGTCCCTGTGCTATTTTCCCCGTCGATACTCCAACTTTTTAGCAAAACCTGTCCTTATGGTGATTGAAGATTACTACGACGCATAACCCAGCACCTTATTCTATAGGAAGTGCTGGCTGAGATACCTTGGCAACCATGGGCGGTCACGCTTCAGGCAACGCGGCTTACGATGCTGCTTTGCAGAGACGCCAAGCGCTGATGGGCGCCAGTGGTGCTAGAGCTCTAGTCAAGAATTGGAAGGTTGCGCGCATCGCTGCCTTCGCTTGCATTGGAGGCGTTTTATATGGCTACAATCAAGGGTATGAAACCTGTTACCCTTAAGCTTTGGGTCAACAAAAGCTCATTGCCGGTGCGCAGAATGTTTTCCGGAATCCTGGCCATGCCATCTTTCGCAAAACGTAAGCATACTAATTTTTCATGGATGTTGCGTCCATTTTCCAGTGTTGGGGTTGTCGCTCATTGATACTCCCTACTATGACTAGACATGGACGGATACACCGAGAACCCGACGAAGAAAGGATGGTTGACAGCCATTCTGGAGCTTGGCGCTTGGGTCGGTGCTGTATTATCTGGCTTCATCGCGGAAGTTTGCTCCCGCAAATACGGCGTACTCATTGCGACTTTGGTCTTTATCCTAGGCGTTATTGTACAAATTACGTCCATCTCCGGTGGCCACGAGTCCATCTTGGGAGGGCGCTTCATCACGTAGGCACAGGATATCCAGGCAATTTCTGGAATACGTACTAACCTGCTCAAAGGGGTATGGGCGTTGGAAGTCTGTCAATGATTGTGCCCTTGTACAACTCCGAGTGCGCACCACCGTAAGTCGCTGGCAAACATACACTGGGAGACAGGAGCCCCTGCATACTAACGACTTATTTCCATAGCGAGGTTCGAGGCGCCCTTGTGGCCCTACAGCAGCTTGCTATTACTTTTGGAATTATGATCAGCTTTTGGATTGAGCAAGTAATTCCCATCGTCGTCGAACTATTTATTAGCTAACATCCATGCAGTTAGTATGTTCAATCCCTCTAGATAACAGCCAAAATCGTGCTCCTGCGCAATCGCTGCTATAACTGACATTATGGATAGTGGTTGCAATTACATTGGAGGCACGACAGAGGCAACGCAGTCTGATGCGGCTTGGCTTGTACCCATCTGTTTGCAACTAGGCCCAGCTGCTCTCCTCTTCGTCGGAATGATTTGGATGCCTTTTTCACCTCGTTGGCTGATCCACCACGGCCGCGAAGAAGAAGCTCGAAAAGTTCTTGCAAATCTTCGCGATCTGCCTGAGAACCACGAACTAATCGAGCTCGAGTTCCTTGAGATCAAGGCTCAGTCCCTGTTCGAAAAGCGCAGTACAGCTGAACACTTTCCTCACCTCCAGGAACAGACTGCTTGGAATACCTTCAAGTTGCAATTCGTTGCTATCAAAGCTCTTTTCCAGACCAAAGCCATGTTCAAGAGAGTCATCGTGGCAACGGTCACAATGTTAGTATAGATTCGACACTAGAACAGTGATCAAGAAAGTACTAACAGCGCTTCGAGGTTTTTCCAACAGTGGACTGGAATTAATGCTGTAAGTCTATGGTTTCTAGGATTCTCGGCAAGCCAGAGTACAACTCGAAAACAAGATCAGGCTGACTCGGGTGATAGGTACTGTATTACGCACCTCAAATCTTTGGACAACTGGGTCTTAATGAGACAACTACGAGTCTGTTGGCTACTGGTGTAGTCGGCATTGTTATGTTTATTGCTACCATCCCTGCAGTTCTTTGGATCGATCGTGTTGGTCGTAAGCCAGTCCTCGCCATCGGAGCCATCGGCATGGGAACTTGCCATATCATTATTGCCGTCATTCTTGCCAAGAATATTGACCGTTTCCACGAGCAACCGGCCGCTGGTTGGGCCGCTGTCTGCATGGTCTGGCTGTTTGTTGTTCACTTCGGATGTTAGCTGCTGCCCATCCTCAAAGCAAACATTTCAAGACTGGATCGACTGACGGAACAACAGATTCTTGGGGTCCGTGTGCGTGGATCATTATCGCCGAGGTGTGGCCTCTAAGCACACGTCCATACGGCGTGTCGCTAGGCGCCTCCAGCAACTGGATGTAAGTGCAACCTCATTTCAGTGTTTCGGGGTGTTTCTGACAGCTTTATCACAGGAACAATTTTATGTAAGACCTTATAATTGTTCTTGTGGAACTGGTACTAATATTCAGTAACGAAGCGTGGGACAAGTTACTCCTGATATGCTAACAAGCATCAACTATGGAACCTACATTTTATTCGGTCTCTTAACGTATCTCGGAGCCGCCTTCATTTGGTTCGTTGTACCTGAGACGAAACGATTATCTCTGGAAGAAATGGTAGGTTCCTGTGTTTGGTTGTGTCAACGACGTTTTGATGGCATTCTCGCTATGCTCAATTTCATCTGATTTGCTAAAATCTCACTTAAGGACCTTGTGTTTGGCTCCGAGGGGGCTGCCGCTGCCGACTTTGAGCGTATGGAGGAGATCAACAACGAGATTGGCCTAAGCGCGGTTTTGAACCGCACATCACCCAACGAGCGACATTCCCAGTCGGCTGACTTGGAGAAGACGGAGATGAATGCAGCTACTACTGAGCATCACTGAGCTCGGCGACACTGGGCGGCCAGATTTGTCAACTATGTGTGACAAAGGCCTTTTATGAGACTTGGTCTCACAGCAGATTCTGTATGGTCTCTTCTATTGTTTTGAAGAGTGTATGAGAATCGATTGCGATTGATTAAATCGGGAACGGAGACTCAAAACACTGCAATTCCTTTTCGAGAGAGAAAACTAATTCTTATTGCGCAATGCATGTCAGCTGGAATCACCCCGCATTTGATCGCTCGGTGAATAAGCCTGTAAGCCAATATCATGGCTTGTTTTTGTGAAGATTGTGGTGGTGTGATGCAGTTAGTACTTGGCATAAAGCCGAGTGTGTCTTTTGCCCAGTAGATACTGCAACTTCTCGTCCGGTTGGACGCCTTTGTCCCAAAAGCTGCAAATGCTGCCTGGATGGCGTATACAGCCCTATAGACTTGGACTAATGAGAACCACTCAAATTCGTGCTGGCAGTAGGCAACCGTCCAGTTCTGTGCGGTGTTCTCATCTTGGCATTTTTCGACTCAGTCTATGGCTTTCAGGCTTCACAAAGGGTTTTGCGGTGTCCTAGTTATCGGTTGGATCTTGACTGTGCCATCTTCTACCTGTTTATAAGGCCCCGAGGCTCCCTGTCCCTCAAACTTGAACCCTGACAGTTTCTAGCAATATCGAGAATCAGTTTATTGCAATGTTTGCTGAATTCGACGTCAGCGATGCGTCGAAATCCGTCGAGGACTTCTCAGTTGTTGAGCGTCTGGCTGATGCAATCCGCATCGAAGAAGATGTTGAGATTGACCAACAAGACGGAAAATTTGTTGTTCAGGACATCTACGAGGGCCCTAGAAAATGCTAATGCTGTATCAATTGGATTGCGGAACGCCCCCATGGCGTGGATCTTACCGAGCTCGACAGAACCGATGAAGGCGATGAAGCTGGCAACCCTCTGGTAACTCGACGTCGAATCAACCCCAGCGAAGGCGGCACTGTGGTATCCATCCAATCTGTAGAGATTCGACACGCAGCAACTCGCAAGGTTCTCGTCGACGTTTTCCACTATTTTGATTGTGTCGTTTACGACATCAAGTATCTCACATTTCTGGCACCGTTCTACCCCTTCTTCTGGCGTTGGGAACGTTTTGAGAAGGCCGTCATAGAAGCGCAAGACACGAAAGTCAAGAGTGTTCTTGTTACGTTGAGAGGAATGATCAGACGCGAGCTAGCAGCAGCATTCGCCGTTAGCAAGGAAATTGTCACCCATGGCCCTATCACGTTCAACTACCTATGGACCTTATTCGCACTTGGAGAGCTTATCTACTCTAAGAGAGGCAGTCATGATCGATTCTACAAACTCAGTTCGTGCTTTATGCAAGATGAAATAAGCACGATCGATCTCAATCTTGCCTATTTCACTTGGAGTTGAATCAATCATGACTTTGGTACGGATCACGAGGAACTTTGGATCGGTAGCATCAGAGGAACTCGCCTTATCAGCAGTTTGCTTGCATTCCCTGCCAAGTATCTCAGCGACTTCGCAAAAATGCAGGAAAATCTTACGGAGAGAGGGCGCAAATTCGCTAGTCTTGCCGGTACACACTACAAGGCGTACCATTCCCAAGGTCTCGGTTCAAACACAGAGTCGCGGGTGATGATCGACAGCAGCCACCGCCGTCAGTACCTTACAGCGTTCATCAGCAGCGATGATGACAGGCTTTTTACGAAGTGGACATCGTTGATCAATCAATCTCCTTTTGAGTCCCCACCAGCGAATGGTGTGCACATTTCTCTCGACGAGTATGTGGACGAGTGGGAGTCCAGGCCTCGAGACGGACGGCGTCAGTTTCGGAGGCCGCGTCATCATTCGCCGGTACGTATATGTAATATCGACAAGGATCCTCTTCAAATAAGCAGGCAAATAAACCGCAGTATTTCTGTGGGGAGTATTATGTCGTAACGTTTCGGAAAGAAACCGAGGACTTGGGCAAACTTTCATGGCTTCAGCACGGAGTGACGATCATCTCGAAAGCGACATGGAAAAGGCGCGAAAATGGTTGACGAATTTACATTTACAGCTGGCGGAACCCACAGTTGACGGATATGACCTCAAAGAGAAGTCTTGGGGTAAGCATGGAATTCATTATTTTAGGCGTTCGTCCCTGTTAACACAAGGGACCAGAAACTTTTGATGTTGACCGGATCAGCGACATAAAGTGGAATGCAAAGCCATTCGAGAGCTTAGTGCTTCCCGATGGATTCAAAGAGCTTATACTGGCTTTCGTTGAGAGCCAGGTAAAGGATAAGCAAGCATTCGATGACGTGATAAATGGCAAAGGTTTGCTCATCAAGAGCCTGCTGATGGAATATGCCCATTTCTAACTTTTGTTCAGGTGGAGGGCTTGTTGTGCTACTTGCCGGCGATCCAGGAGTCGCTAAGACTCTTACTGCCGAGTCAGGTATGTCTCTCCATTTTTTACACTGCGCCGTGAACTCTTCGACTTACCCCATCTCAGTTGCTGAGAAAATCAAAGCGCCGTTATTAAAGATGGAGCTGGGCGACTACGACGAGGGTGAGCGGCGCTACGATAGAGACGTCGTGGAGCCTCAGAGCCCTCGTCCAAGAGCCAGCCGTCGTTCCATGGACTTTACTACCGCCTTCAGTCTGGCAGCACGATGGGGAGCAGTTCTTTTCATCGACGAGTGTGACATGTACCTTGAGAAACGCAGTGATACTTCCTCGAAGAAAAACAGAATGGTCTTTCGTGAGTACACCCAGGCTTTTCATATGATTGACTTTGTTTCAGGTTGCTAACATAGAGACCAGATTTTCTGAAAGAGTTGGAATACTATCCCTCCCTTTTGTTCCTAACGAAGAACCGCGAACGATCACTTGACCCGGCCATCTACTCACGCATTCACCTTACGATTGACTACCCGGCTTTGGACAAGCCGTCTCGATTGCTGATCTGGCAAACCTTCCTGGAGAAGAACGTTATGACATGTTAGAGGCTGAAGTTGAGGCTCTGTCTGAAATTGATGTGAATGACCGGCGCATCCGCAACATTGTCAAGACTGCGGGTATCATGGCTAAACGAGAGGAACGAAGAGTTCTTTTCCGCGATATCGAGAAGTTCATGCAAATTACCGAAGGTATCAGGGTTAAGAAGGAAGTGAGCACTTTTAACGGTGTCTGACTAAGATAATCCTTCCTAGCTGTCGCTCAATGCGCTTTCTTAGTTTGGTGATGCTTAGCGTCGAAGGACCAAGCCATCTGCTTGCAATCCAGCTTTTAGGTAGTATAACGTTTGTGCTTTCATGCGATTATCGTCTATTGTGCAACTGGATACATCTTACTCCAACATGGGCTTTTGTTTGCAAGTGTGAACTTTTCAGGCGAAATGTATATCAACGTTCGTCAAGGTCCGAGCCCCAAGGTTGTGGATGGCCCTGGTGAACTTCATGACGTTCATCTCGAAGTATTCGATTTCATGCACATCACTCATCGGTTTTATTAATCGGCCTCATCGCTGTCGGATGACTAGTCCAGAAGCTGAGTCCATCTGAAGACTTAGGGCTGGCTAATATTAGTGCCACAGAATTGGGAACATTGTGGTTAGTGTCTTTTCCCCCAAACTATCCCAGTTCGTTGGTGTTTTTCTGCAGACATTATCACAGAACTTGACGTAGTCTGTCTGAACTCCGCATATGCACTTAGGGTCACTGGCGTAAGGCGTTCTGGACAAATACTTGTGGTCACGACGTACGTCAGCCAGCGACCATCGAGGTATTCAACATGATTGTTCATCTTGATTGCTATGCACATTGCAAACCACGCTTTCTGATAATTCCTCAGCTAAGGTGCTGATTGTGGTGTTGTGATATTCATCCAAGGATAGAGACAGAAACGTCAAAGAGCATCAGCTTGAGAGAAAGTAAAGCAAGGCCTTTGTGGCATAGAACAGTATTCATTCCTCTAAACGCAGGTGAAAGGCTCATCAACTGGGCAAGGCGCGGATAGAGAGTATTCGTTGAAGTGGGTTGTGAAGGCACGAATCATGACCTCCTTAGACTGGTTTGCGGCCACATTTCAACATCCCCACAGTCACAAGCGGTCAATAATCGCCCGACTCAACAAATACGGCCGGCTGGCGCAATGGTAGCGCGTCAGACTTCTACGGAGTGGTAATCTGAAGGCTGCGGGTTCGAGCCCCGCGCTGGTCAACATTGCGTGTTGAGTCGAAGTTGATGGTGGATGACGATTTTTGAAATTTTGTCGAGATTTTCTATGGAGTGGGGCTCGTTGGACCGGGGCGGCCGGTTAGGAAGCTGCCAGCCGAAGCGGGGCCGCGTGGGCCGGCAAGCACGATAGATGCCATTACGTCTGCCATGCTGGGTTCCGCTTCTGAATGAAAGCTGCGATGCCTTCTCTTGCGTCTGCGCTTCGCGCATGCAACGCCATGACCTGGCCGGCCCAGCTTGCAGCGTCCTCATACCCGTCACCTCCTCTCTCATCAACACTTTCGCCCTTGATGCCGAGCTGCGTCCAGAATGCCCACTTTCCAAGACCCATTGGTTGTCCTGCAGTCCCCGCTAGCCGCTCGACTACCTCTGCTACGCGCTCCTCGAAAGCTGCGGCAGCCGTGTCCGTGGACTCTGCATGATCGGGGGTCGGCACCACATCCACGGCACCCCGCATGTCGTCCGCTGTAACCGCTTCTGCAGAAAGAAGAAGTCGGTACGCCTGACCCGGCGGGAGTCGACGGGATACGGCGGTGGCGGGGCTCGTGCACGGGAGTCCGATGCTAGCACCAGGCAGCTGGAACCTGGTGGTGGAGAGGGCAATGGGATAGTCCGTCGACAGTGCGAGCTGCAGCCCAGCTGCTGTCGCGAGGCCCTGGATGGGACAGACAACGGGTGCCGGGCTATGTCGGATAAGGGACATGATGTCAGCGCACAGGGCGAATGTGCGCTTCACTTCGACGTGTGAGAGCGATGCGAGCTGCTTCAAGTCGTGACCTGACGAGAAAACGGGGCCAAAGCTGCGCATGACGAGTACATTGGGCAAACCCTCCCGCTCACGCTTCCATTCCGTAGCATCAACTAGCCAACTATGCTCCGATGAGCCGCCTGAACCAGACTCGGCATACTGACTTGCAGCCTCGAGTTCGGATAAGATTGAGGGTTTGAAGGCAGGGAGAGTCAAAACCCTGCCAGTCGTTGGTGACGTAAGGTACGAGAGGAGCTGTGTACGGAGATCCTCCAGAGTCTCGAGACTAAGGGCATTGCGTTTCGCCGGATTCCTTAAATGGAGGTATGCGGCCTTCGCCGGAAGCTTGGGAAATTGCATGGGTGCTAGTGAAACTCGAATCTGCCGGTCCGGGTATGTTGATTGCAAAGAAGGGTATTGGGTGACATTTGATAGTCGATGGCAAGGAGTTGGCTATCCTACAGTAGATGAGGAGCAGCAACGCTGTAAAGTCTAGACCGGCCGGAGTCTAGCGGGGTAGCTTTTTGCCACAGCGCTGGTCACTCGCAGATGCTTTTGTTCATCCCCACGTGATCTCCCATCACTAATTTGTACGACCAATATTCCAGCCATCGATCTTACTCGTGCACACGCCTTCGAGAAAACACCGCCGGTGGTTGCCTTCTTTATTCTCCCAAACCTGCGGTGTATTCTTGTGGGTGCCTTCAGGGTAAGGTCCAGTGGGAAGAACCCTGTCAGAAGCCTATACGCATCTCCTAGGCTTTTCGGCATCAGTGATAATAAAACGCGGTAATTTGTTCCAGCCCTATGATAGTTTCAGCTGAAGCGAATCATTCCTTTTCTACTTGGCTTAAAACAACTTTGTCTGTCTTTCCTATTCTTTTGAGGCGTAGGCACTGACTGAGTCGGCGGCTGTTGGGCCGAGTGTATGTTTTGATCGGAGAGGCGGACACTCTGTCAACAGGTGCCAAGACATACGCCCCATATGATACGACGATGACTTCCCGCATAATAATTGTAATAAAAATTTTTGGCCTAAAGCCCTCTTTTTGAGTGAAATGCAGTGTTAAGTGAGTTTTCCTTCGAATTAGTGAGAGATCCTGTCGTTAACGAAGTAGTGTTGACCAAACCCCCCCTCCCAAAACAAAAGGAAAAAGAACCTTTCTGAGACTAAACGCCACATGCGGATTATCGTTGATATAACCATGCACAATGTACTAGCAAAACTTCACAAAATGCACTAAACACAATTTGCCTGCAGGTATTTCTCTACGTGTGACAAATGACCATTCCAATGGGGAGCGCAACTGCGTTTCAGAACCATTTCTATAGATAGAGTCTGGCGTATGCACGGATTCTTTGGCAGGACTCTCTTGTCGTTGTTCAATGTTTCAGTGTTGCCTTTTAAGCCTGATATCTATTCTTCATTTCACATAAAGCTTTTTATTATTACAATCCAAGGTTACTTTCGGTGCTGTCGATGGTGATGGCGGAGGAGCTTTAGGAACCGGTGATAGCTCGAGGGAGTGCTCCGGTGTCGCCTTGACGCTGGAGTTAATCCATTGAATAAGTATTGTTGTGATAAGAACTGGATACGTATCAGGACTATATTCGGCACTAGGCAGTCGCCACGTCAAGCGCCAATTTGGCAGTTGGACTTACTGTCTATGTTACAGCACGTCAAACAAAGCCAAACTACTTCTCCTTCTAGCGCCATCAACACTGAAAGATTACTGTCAAGTTTGTTACTAAAGGGATTGCAGACCAAATATTAGGGTATAGATACGCGACACTAATAAGAAGGCCAATCGTTCCGCCGGCAAAGGTTCGAAGCGCCAACCTTCGCAACTTGACGTTTGGCGGCATTCGCGAAAGTTGTCTCGTGTGATCAATCACTGTCCAAGGCTTCATGATCGATACTTGAATAGAGTGCATTTCTAAATTCGTATTAGAGCTACGAAACGAAACGAAATCGGCAGCTTAGAAGACCTTACTCAATAATGGCACCAAGAACAGTGAGGTCAGGTATATATTGGCGACTGCATCAAAGCAGACGACTGGTAGTAAAACATCCCTTTCCAATCCGATGATGCAAGTATTTTTGTTGTCTTCGTAATGTGATCCGTGACTAGGAATACACACATTAGTCTTCAGAAGGTCGCATACACGCGAAATGATACTGACGACGTGAGATTGAGCAATGTGATGCAACCATAGATCACTGACAAGGGGCAGTTAGAATGTGAGTTTGTTGATGTTTATTGGACAGTAACATACCTAGCATTACAAACGTGTTGAATACGTACAGCTTGGATCTTAGACGGCGTTTGGTGTTTCTTCGGATAATGTGCTATCATCCACGTAAACTTCACGTTAAAAATGTTATGTAGCTTGTTGCTTTACCGTTTTTTCAACCATGAACAGATAGACAAGCTACTTGGAGTATCAGACTGAACCATTTCTGGTGGCTTATATGACAAGAACTCACTGCCTAAGCTATCGTCAGTTTTGCTTTTGATGATTTGGTTCAGCGCAAATACCAACCTTGATTACGACGTACGCACTGAGGTACAGTATTCCCGCTGTCGAGCATGAAAAGGAGTTCATCCGAAGTTCGGCGAGGAACAAGATGGAAGATCCAAGACCCGAAGGCAAATAAAAAAGAAGATAGGAAGATAAACAATACAACTAAAGGATGTCAACATGATTACCATGCAGAACAAAAAGGCTTTGTGTTTGTCTTACGCCATCTGGCCCAGGGTAAAGGGCGCCACTTTCTAAGAGCTGACCATTGATGGCCTTCAATGACGAATTGTTAGGCCCAAATAATTGATCTTCATTCGGAATAGATGTTATTACGTAACAAATAGGCCAGCAAGCAGACCGTGACTGGTAAAAAAAAGCATACTGATGACTTGCTCCAGGTGCGGTTGCCGTGCTGGGTCGCTTGATTTTCCGCTAGATGCTGTGTCGATGTCGTCCATCTCGACCAATGCGCCGAAATATTGTCGTGAAGTACCCTCGTTCTTGTGCAGGTGCAGGTCGTTGTCATAACTTTGTCTCAGTACCACAGACCGAATAATGAGAGATCAGAAGCTTCGAATTGTACAGTTATGGTAACTGAACTGGCTGATATAAGTAGAACCCGCCTGGCAGCCATAACAAACAAAATCGTTAGGCGAAGTTTTTAAGTTTGAGGCGATGCCTTTTTAGTACCCCAACTAAGCGGCTTTCGTTGTGTACCAAGTCTTGCGCTCTGCTTTGGGTTGTTGACCTGACTCGGTTTTGAGTTACACACTTTGATCGAATTATAAGTCTAGCCAGCCGGAAGCCATTTGTACGATACTGATTCTTCATGTCACTTCATGCCAAATTTACGCCACTGGGGATCTGACTGAGAGCTTTTGGCATACGAATGTCTCCCACAGTCAAGAACTAGATAACGCTAGCTTCCTGTCAATATTGGCCGCACAGGTTCCATTGGTGCCTGCGCTCCACTCGAGCGTCCCGGGTCACCACTGTCAGTTCTACCTCAACGGCATGTTTCGGCCTATGGAACGCCCGCATGTTCGGGATGTGGGATATTACCGACATACTTTTACACCAAAACATAGTTATACTCAGTAGAGCGTACAACCCACATTTAGGAAGATCGCGGAGTGTGACAAATGTATCTGGTAACAATAGGGGACTATGTTGCCTCGTCGGTAGTATCCGTGCTAAGCTAATCCAGCGAGATTTCCAGCGATACTGCCGGCTACCACACTCGATCTTGTCAGGGCCCCATGCTTTACGCATCTCGTAACCGTACAAGAGAGAAACTTTGAAACCCTGTCCAGGGTTATATGTCGATGTCAACGCCCAATCTAGTCACGGCATGACCGTGATGCAGTTATGGTTACAACAAGGTATGAATGGTTAAGCGCCAAAGTGCCATATCTTCTTTTAAAGGCGTTGCGCACAACTGCCGGCCCTTTCTACCATGTGTTCGACACCTTCAAGTCAGACGCTCACAGCTGCCGCCCGCCTGTTTTAACCACGAGGCCGTCGAGATCTCAAGGACTTCTGTGCGGTTTAAACTGTGGAAAACCAAGCACCATCACATTTGAATTAACAGTTCTGAGGGCAATTATTGGCACCTGGGTAATAATACCGAATTACAGTCAATAGGCCGCGGGTAGTCAATTTCCTTAACTGGCATTCGTAACGAGCATAAGTCGCTCCATGAAGTGTCTAGGGGGTTCTCGGCCCTAAATACCCCGGCTTATATTTGTCTGCTTGGCTTTCTTAGAAGAATGAGATATGGCGCTTTTCACACTTGTCCAAAGTTGAGAGACCGAAGTGTTGCACTGTTGCTACAAGAACGCATGTAAACATTGGGGCAGATCCAGCACAATGCCGCGGGATTACATGCGCTTTTTATGTCCTCACTTATCCTGCCGATCTAACCGAGTCCTAGGATCTTAACGGTTTCCGCTCATGATTACAATGCGTAATGCATGGCGTTTCTACTGCTTAGGAACATGCGACACGGACGGAGCGTCCGTGGCACAAGGAGTATGAACTTTCTGATTCCAGAGCGGTCTCTCAGCTAGATGCTAAAAGATCGGCAATCCAGTGGTTCGTACGATGCCAACATGCCAAGTGGACAAAACCACCCGAAAATATTGCACGGTATACGAGATGCACGTGCTTTTACTAGCGAATGAATATCACTCCAGGGTGGCCCTCGGGCCTCCTGACCATAAAGCCTGAACGTTACTCAATAACAAACGGCTTGATTTCAGCGTCAAGAGAACGCTGAGGATAAGAGTTTTCCCATTACAATTAGGCACGGCACTATGATACGATTTAACAAGGACTTTGGTATAATCACGACAATCACTTAAACTGAATTGTCGAAAGCCATCAACAGAGATACACACTGAATATAAATTAAGTGCTAGTCCCTGTCTGAGAAGGCTGCTAAAAGTATACAGATTCTACATACTTAGTAGTATGATATAAGTCGATTGTCTTTCCGATAGGCCTCACAAGCAGTTTCATTAGATTGGTCTTTCCCATGTCATCACGGTTAACTTCATTCCGAAGATCAATCCCTGATGGAAATCTATCACCGCTCTAATTCCAATGTGGTCTTTCTTAGTTTCAGGCAACTAGTGAGCTGTCTATCTTACATATCCGATTGATAGTACATCTCAAAAATGGAGCTTTTAAGCATTTTTGTATTCAAACTGGGCGGCACCGGTCTACTTTACCGACCGACGGTACTAGAATGCGTTCATCTTGCAGGTTCAGCCGCTTGCCCTATAAAGTACGAGAGTTCCGAAGCAGGAATTCTTTGGCAGCTGGCTTTCCTACGATATAACTGCTTGAATTTCGGGCTTCAGAAGTAAAATCTGCGGATTAGCTGTCGGTGCCATTGGCTGGATGACGTTTGCTACCGCAACTTTAAGCAGCCCAGGCAATCGGACTTAGTATGTATCACGAGCTGATAGCAGTCTCAGTCGGACACAGTACACTTGGGTTTGCTGCCGGCGTCATTCTCTGCCAGCATTGGCACGTCGCGCTGTCGGGCCCAAGCTAGGTCTTCTCCTCGCTGCCTCAGAATTATTCCCAAAAATTATCACCATTCAGGCTGCAATGATCATTCTGAGAATGCACTGCGAGCGGTCAGCTGATCGGGTATGTCCCCTGCAGTGCGGCTGGACGCTAACTTACGAGGAGCTAACGTAACTGGGCCTTAGCCTACTTGCGACAGCTCGAGCCTTGACACTTTGCCCCTGCAAGCTCCCAGGTCAGGGGGCTTCGCCAGGGGCCGATGGATAACGAATCGCAATCCGGAACCTCACACAAGGCTAGAGACCCATTTCCTTCATTCGCACCAGTAATCGTGGCAATTAGATGCTGATATCATCTTTTTAAATCCCGGAGCCCGGAAGTCACGAACCGCTGCATGGCTTAGGGAGGATGCAACATGACCCGACTGATCTCATGGTAATTATTTTTCCAAGGATGTAAGGTCACAGACGAGTCTCCTACGGCCGTACAGAGCTGTAAAGCTAGCAAATTATGAGTCCTGACTCCACTCACTGAACCCATGATATGCGGTCTGCCCGACGGACACGGAGTCGAGAACAGTTGATTACGTTCACGGGTCCGACGGTTTGTTACGCAATACTTTGTCTCAACTAAGGCCCCTTTGGATCTCACACGGAAGACTCTGGAAGGTTGTTGGAGGGTGTTGGCAGTCATTCAAGCGGCACACAATATTCTTTCTTTTCTCCAATAGCTTGAGATCGGTCAAATCTGACGGATTGGAAGTCGAGAGGTAGCGGCGACGCCACCTTCTCGGCGGTCAATCGCATCATTCCAAATGCCGGACCCAACGTTTGAACGCCTCAGAGAGGGACCCTGGACACCACGTTGAGAGCCTGCAATCGGATATCTCGTCACAGTTTTTTTGTCACTCCTCATCTCATTAGGGCCAACGGTCATCGACCGATTCGTCATCTTGCTAAGAAGGTGAGAACAGCTGTCGAAACGATCCAGAGGAGCATCCGTGTGAAAGCCAAGAACAGTCAGATGCCGCCGTCGAGGCCTAGTGCGTTCGATTCTCGTTAAAGGTGACCAGCTTGAGCCTAGCGCATGTATCCACAACGTGGGATGTGGGAACTGAGCTGAACAAGTGCGACGAGCTTGGAGACAGGCACCACATTGCAAACAGCAGGGGTCGTAAAATAGCAATGTGCAACTCCGTATGAGAAGTGCCAGCTCGTCGGCATCGCACCATTGGAACGACCCAGCCTCGCTCGTCTCAGCGAAGAAATCCCTGAGCTGATGCTAGTAGCCCATTATGACCATCTCGGTGATCAATGCCGGGCGGCCATGATGGTTTATTCCCCTGGCAGACGACTCCGAACGCACCAATCATGATGTCTCCTTGGCACAGCTAAGGTTTGGCCTAGTCGTTTAGCACCGGTTCGTTAAGCTCTAGCTCAGCCAGCCCTCGTGGCAGCCACCTTCTCTGCTTGCCCTGGCGCCCCTGTTCAAGTTCACCTTCACAGGTTTGCAGCCCCTAGTGAAATGAAGGACAGGAAGAGTCTAGGCTGCTGCGCCTGATGTGCTACACCGGAACACAAATCTTTGCTAGATTCGTAGAAGCTTATTCTAGAACACGTCAATCTTTTGACGTCAGTATTTGTGATGCTGGCTCTTGTTGCGGTCTGTACGGATGCCATGGAAAGTTTGCCACAGCTGGGCAATTGGCCATTGAACTTAGCATCTTATTTGAGTAAACATCACCCACACTGCAGCTCCTTCCCCAGATAAAATAGTCGGGAAATCGCCCCTCACTTCCCCTTCTCCTCCAGCGCAATGGAACCATCCCCTGATGGGAGAAATATCCGGGTCCCCGGTCGTAATCGCTCTTTGCGGTAGGTGGAACCTATGGCCATTCTGACATTGCCCATGTTCCTCGAATTCATCTGGAAGAGATCTTTGGCGACATAGCCCTTGCCCTTAGTCAGTCTGTTGCAGAACAGCTCCCCCTGTGAGTTGGGGTTGTTGACAACATTTGGTGTACACTAAACTAAGTGCTTGCCAGGGGCAGGGTCTTGACAATCGTCGCCTTGGCTCCATAGTTTGGTCTGGTCCGCCTCAGAAATCAAAAGCAATCGTCGGCCATTTATCATCTCGCCTGTAGCCACTGTCTGCATCGTCCCTGGGACAAGTTACCCAAACTTTGTCTTCCGTTGCAACCAGAAACCCAGCTTTCCAAAGGAAGCTCGTTGGCAAGGGGATTGAATGACAACTCGGTAACCACACGTCGTTCGACGGCGAACCTTATAATCCAACCCGTTCCACACCCGAACGCCACCCGGCGCTTTGTCGCCGCCGAACGCCCACCATGGACCCCCAAAGCCAGACCCTTGCGCCACTCCCCGACGTCCTCCATCGGGGTCTCACAGCCGTCTCCTTCTTCGGCTTCCTCTCCTTTATCTCAACAACGGCTCTGTTCTTCGTCCTAACGTACAGGCTGATCAAATGGTACTTTGCGCCGGCGCCCGGACGGCCGCAGCGTATGACGGACGAGCTGAACGCTGACACCGTTCTGGCCGAGGAGATGGGTCTTCCAGAGACATTGTACCCCGCGGGCGGCAAAGAAAACAGCGCAAAGAGAGACGCACCGAATCAGTTTCTCATGCTCATCTACAACCTGCTTCTGGCCGATATCCAGCAGTCTCTTGCTTTCCTTCTCAACGCATCCTGGTTGAGCAAGAACGCCATAGTCGTTGGGAGTACGACGTGCTGGGCGCAGGGCTGGTTCATCTCAACGGGTGATTTGGCGTCCAGCGCCTTCATTACCACAATTGCTGTGCACACGTACCTATCAGTTGTCCGAGACTACAAATTGCCTACATGGGCTTTCTGGACCATGGTCGGCTCAGTGTGGTTCTTCATATACGCCCTAGCGGTGGTTGGCATCATCATCACAAATAACGGGGCGGCTGATGGCGGTCTGTATGTCCGGGCCGCTGCCTGGGTAAGTCATTTCTTGTCGATGTCAACGTAGATGTAAACTAATATCTGGGCAGTGCTGGGTCAATGTACGCTACGAGGCAATGCGTCTCTACCTCCACTATCTGTGGATGTTTGTGTCCTTCTTTGTCACCGCCGTCCTCTACATCCTCATCTTTAACCATATTCGCCGCACCGACTCTTCTCTTCAACTCCCATCCTCCTCCAATAACACTACATCATCTGATTCCAAGAGCAATCGTGGTCGTAAACTCAGCCACAAACATCACCTCTCTCAGTCAGAACCCACACAGAGCTCTTACGGAGACGCACCAGCAGAAACCCCGAGCAACGCTGGGCACCATCCGGCCTTCCTGATTTACCCCATAATTTATATTCTCTGCACTGCGCCCTTGGCGCTGGGTCGTGTCATCACGATGGCTGGAAAACAGATTCCGTTGGAATACTTCTGCCTTGCCGGCGCCATGATTGCCTCCAACGGCTGGCTTGATGTGCTTCTCTTTTCCACCACACGTCACGTCATTATCTTCAACGCATCACCGGACTACGAAGAGACGGGTCTTGAGACGTTTGCCTTCATGCGCACGCCCGCTAACCGCCGATATGGAAACATGGTCTGGGTCCAGGGCGCTGGGAGCACCCCACAGAACTTGACCTCTGACGAGGGCACTGGTGGTTGGCTTTGGAAGTTGTTCCGCAAGGGACGCCGTGGAGCTGACACGAAGCGAGACCGTCGCCGCAGCGGCGCCCATCGAAGTATCAGTCAGGAGTCTTTAAGAAGACGCGGCGGGAATATGGAAGGCATCCAAATGGAGACGGTGACCACGGTTGTCGTTGAGGTTGAGAGTCAACCTGGGGGCAGGAAAGCCACTGACAGGCCACACTCAATCGATACCATTGGGAAAGAACGGGCGCAGAGTGTCGGAAGCATGTGACGTTCCATAATTTAACCGCAAGGATTGGGCGACCGGAAGTCAAGTAGAACTTGAGGTCACAAAGAGGCGAGATCACGAATGTTGGTTGAGACTGCTAATAGCCAGCCTTTGTTTACAGCTTTTCATTTGTCTCTCTATTACCAAACAAAGGCATCGTTTTTATGCTGATCGACAGCGAGCATATGGGAGGTCATCTGTGTTAGTTATACCCGATAGTTTCGTTTACTTCGTCAAGGCTAGTTCCCACAAACTGTCTGTGACTTTTTACCAATGCTACAGCGTGATATCGCGAGCCGTGATCTCGGAAATACACGGAAATGCCCCCTGATATGACTATCTATATTAATCGTTAACAGCGAGCCTTAAGCTAAATTTGTGCCAGTCCTGCGTACCAAGTAACTTGTTACTAGTATAATACAAAAATGGCAAAGAACTTCGTGTCCCAAACAGACGTAAAATTTCCCTTCATCGTGGCCACTGGTTGCTGATGGTTCACTAGCTTACGAAACGCAACGCGATGCATCTTGATCTGTCAGCCAGTAAACGGCTTTTTGCATTGCCTTTTTATTGGCCCAGCGTGAAGCACAGTCACCCTTCTCAAATCACCTGAAAAAGACAACTGACGGCCAGGCATCATTTGCTGAAGGCAAGTGGCCGAGTTTTGTCAGTTTGCGCAAGGATCACAGGCAGTCCCGGGCTTCTCGCGACCATATCATATCAATAACCGGTGACGTAACAATCAATCGGGCTTCTCGGAGTACGCATAATGTCTCCATAACACGAAAACTCCCTTTTGGAATACATGACACACACTGGTCGTACCACTAGTCGATAACCTACACCCGAAAGGTTGAAAATGTGAAGGCAGGACCACAGGATAAATGCACGGGGCCGGCCTGACGACGGCCGCAAAGCTCGAGGCCTCAAGTACCTCCTACTCTCGAACAGAGCGGGTCCAAACGACATAATCTATCATTAGGACCGGGCAGCTGGCTGGGTCATCGGCGGGAAAGGGGGATAACAGCAATGGTAAGCTGGCCGCCAAGTTCAGAGAGCCTGGGGACAACGGGCGTCAGGAAGAGAGGGTAGGATCTATGGGTGATGCTTTAGGACTTGTTGAGATGGATTCAGGGAATACCCCCTCGATAATGTTACGACTGGCATTCGCTTTACGCCACTTACTCGTTCTCTTTAACAACGACGTCAACCCGATTTGTAAAAGCAATTGGCTTAGCTTATCTACTCTTGACTACATTTGCTTGCAAAGATCGGATAACCAAATCGCAGGCATATAGAGCCGCGTAGGTATGTACCTCCGCATTCCGAAAGGCTGCTGCCCTTTGTGCTGCATCATGTGGACCCTTTCCGGCATCTTTGTGGTGAAAGGGTAGTACGACAACCTCTCCGTCCAGAGGATACTGCTGTTTTCCCTCTTTCTCAAATACAGTCCTTCTCTGCCAACACCGGACGTGCTCCTTCCGTGTCATTACCCATTGGGCGAACAAGCATGAGTATCGGCCCGATCGCCTTTCCAAGTGAAGGCGATCATGTACAGGACCTAACGATACGAAAGCCATTCAGGCGGTTAGTAAAAGAGTTACATAAGAATAGTTTTCGGGTACATCTAGAGAAAGCGGACTCGGCTGCCGGAAGATACTGCACATCAACGACATAGAAAGCTCTCCAAGCATTTAGCTCTTGGTTTGTTACCGCCCTGTACCACGGGACTACAACTGTGACTGAAGTCTTAACCTAGTGTCAGCTTTGCAAGTGAAAAATCCGTAAAAGTAAGACAGAACGGGTCAACATGTCAAATGGCGGGCTATTGACAGTCAAATTTCATTGTCCAACAGTATCTTGAACTTCGCCTCCATGCTGTAGGGGGTGGGCAGGTCGTGCAATAGCCTTAAGGAGTTAATTTTATCTTGGGTGATTATGCGGTGGCATTGTCAGTCGAACAACGAGGGTGAGAGGAACAGGTCAAATGAATGGCCTGATCATATGCGGGACTTGTCACCGTATAACTTAAGGGGGCATCCGCATCGGCCGTATGCTTCCACATAAAGACATAGAGCAAACCCTTGACCCCTTGGGCGCACTTCTTCGCACAACAAAGAACACCGCCCAAACTAGACAGAAAAACCAAGTATTTTACCGCGGAATGTTCATCTCGCCCTGAAGGCTTTCGTTTGGTATCGTTTCCATCGTACTGTAGAAGTGACATCATGTTTTATTTCTCACCCAGTCTTTCGCTGGCAATATTCGTTCTCGCAGCCCTCGCCGTGAGGGAAAGCGTCGGCGTCAACCTTGAGCGTGGACCTCTCATCCTCGCTCCGAGTTCTACCGACAACCTTCGTGGTAAAACCAACATGATTGAAGACCACAGCCTCGGCCCTCGACCCTATCACAACCATTCCGGCAGAACGAGATCAGTAGGAGACCTTTCTGTCGGCCCACGATCCAGCCGCATCTCGCTCTCCCGTCACCCTCCATCTTCACCTGCCCTATACCCCCATGAAAAAGCAGCCTTCGAGCTGTTTTCCATAGACTGCCATTATCCAGACAACCCAAAGTTCAAGGATCACCCGGACGTCCACCGCGACGCGGTCGAAAAGGGCGCCGAGCGCTTCTGCGAGTCGGACGTCGCGCGCGACACCCTCACGATCGTCGACGACGTCGAAGACCACCCTAGGCACGCCTGGCGCTGGCGCTACAAGGACCACATGCGCGTGTTCCAGGACTACAAGGTCCACTGGCGCGCTGACTGCCGCACGGAGCAGGATTTCCAAGACATTGGGTTCCCGCTGGGCCCGGATGGGCCGTCGTGCGTCGAGATCATGACCAACAACTTTAAACATTGTAAGTTTGGCACGTCATATTTTCGTGTTTTCCGACGGGCTGGGTCGTGCTCATCAACCTTGGTGCAGGTGACAACGGTGGGATCGGCGGGAGTACGCAAGCAGGATGCCTTATATTTACTCTCAGCGCCGGCAGGAATGACAAACACTACTGACGGTCAGGGGAATTGCGCAAAATCTTAGTCAGGTTGACGGTGTGTAGCAGTTGGTGGAGGGTATACCCCATACCTTCGTTTTTTTATCTTCAATTACATAATTGCAGTATTGTTTACCCAAGAGCCAGCCAAGATCTCATGAGCCCCTTTTCACAATTCTCATGCGTTACAACGGGGGAAAGTGTTACTGGATCCACAACCGTGTATTTGACCTGACAACGCCATCTGCGCAAGGAACTTGAAGTCTTTGGTAGGAGCTTGATTAAATCGCCATTGTGTGAGTAGACCCTCTCCAGCCAAAGCTGCGCTATGTGGGAAAGCAGCCTGGGAATCTTCTCACCGAGACTCTGTTTGACAGACATGACGTCCCATATGCTTGGTTCGGGGGGGGATTGCCAACCCTATATTCTTCAGGCAATTATGTACACTCCACTTACCGCAAGGCTTCGACATCAGTGTCTTGGACTCGGGATTCGTGAACGGAGAAATCCACCACCAGTATCTCTAACTTCGTGTTGGACCTTGAGGAGGCAGATTCCGCTGCATTGGTCAAGGCTTTAGAGGATCAGGCCACAAGAGTTGACAGTAAACAAGAGACCGATCATCGCTCATCTGCAAGTTCCATACCATCTGATTACCATGTGCTTCGTTCCCCGGACCGACCTCGGCGGCATGAACATTGTCATTGTATGATTAGTAAACAATTCGCTCTAACATTTCGGCAGCAGGATCGCCTCAATAAAGTCAAGAGAATGAGTGGCGGCTTATGCAGCCAAGCAAGCCAACATCTTTTACTCGGACAGGTTTCCCGGGGCGCATGCGTATCGGAGCGGCTGTTTCAATCAGTCTGAGGAAGCATGACGCCGCCTCGGTGACGACCTGTACGGCCTCGGCAGTCGCAGCTAATATCAAGTAAGCAGTAACTTGCCATAAATAGCAACTAGGATCCAACGTTCAGCAGGCTGTCGTCTGAACCAGAACAAATTGGCCAACGGTTGCCGCGTGATGAAGGGTGAGTGTGATGGCTGAAAGTCTGCAGAACTTGGCAGTTTCGTGGGGAATTACGACGCAAGGTTGGGAGTGGTATAGTATTGGCCCGAAGGAAGTGGTGAGATGAGGCTGTGTCGGCGCCTCGGAGACGTTGGACCGGAACGCATTCATGCATGATTCCGTAGACGCGCAGCCGCCACCGGCTCGTGGATTCATCCAACTGCAAGTCCTGGATCATGTCATTTTGGCATAGGCTCCCGCGATAGGCTTCACTCGTCTGTGCGGAGCAACTGCGCCATTGCGTCTCGTATCATCAGGGCAGTTCAGATAAGATGCAGGATCGCCCAGCGAGGGAGACAAGGACATCACTCATTTCATACCCATGCACCTACCACTGTATCCTCGGCGAGCTGTCTCAATTTCGCCCCGAGGTAACGCGTACACTGGCGCGGCAGAAGTCATGGGTAAAAGTCAGACAAGCTTTTTTGCTGTGCTCCTTGAGAAGTCAATGATCCAGCGGAGACGTGCGGTTGCTAGCTTGCTTGTTTTTCCACAGGCGAGATGGAGCAATTTGCCCCAACGTGTACGGAGGAGCCCGTCAAAAAGTTTGGCCCAGAATGCCAAGACCACTTGCCCCACTATAGTTCCAATCTGGCCAATAGAAATAGGCCATTTCTGCTAGCGTCCTTTTCACTTTCTTCCTGCCTCGGGCCCTGGCCAATTTCACCGCCGGCACTTTGCTAACAACTTCACCGCTAACTTGCTATTAACAACGATAAAAACAACGATCTTCTGACTATCGCCGTACCTACCTTTTTCCTCTATTATGGCTCGAACAGATCCCCCAACAAGGGCAGTAATTCTGGCCCTGCGAAGCCGGCTAGGTGGCAAGACTACTAACGAGGTAGCCCAAGGACTAGGAATCCCTAAGCGTACAGTCAATAATATCCTGCTACGCGCCAAAAAGCATAGGTTTGACCCTACGGCAGCTACCTTTACCCTACGACCCGAGTATATCAACGATGCCCCTCAGCCTGGCCGGCCTAAAAAGGCAACAAAGACTGTTACCGATATCGTCGTCAGCAAGGTTTACCGAGACCGTTACGGCAGGGAAAAAACGTGTACTGATATTACTAGCGAAATTCAAAGTGAGCAAGGCATCGATATCTCGGCCTCAACTGTCTATCGGATCCTTTGCCATGCTGGCTTTCGAAAAACCAAACCAACAAGGAAGCCTGGCCTTACAGCCCAGATAAAGCAACAAAGGCTAAACTGGTGTCTTGCTCATCGCCACTGGACACTAGAGGATTGGAAGAAGGTCGTCTAGTCTGATGAGACATCTGTTGTACTAAACCACCGCCGTGGCAGTTACCGCTTATGGCGACGGGCATATGAGGCCTATACGAAGTCTTGTATTCGTGGGCGATGGAAGGGATACTCTGAGTTCATGTTCTGGGCCTGTTTTACGTACGACAAGAAGGGCCCTTGCCATTGCTAGGCAACTGAGTCTGCTACTGAGAAGAAGGCTGCTGCTGAAGAGGTTGAGCGTCTCAACAGGGAGCTAGAGCCAGTCAAGCGTCTCGAATAGGAGCTAGCAAATGGGATGAATCGGCTTCGTCTCCAGCAAATCCCAGGCCACAAACCTGCTTGGCGCTAGAATGCCCATAATGGGAAGTTGAGCCGTGGGGGCAAAGGGGGAATCGACTGGTATCGCTACCAGAAGGAAATTCTGCTTCCAAAGCTCTTCCCGTTTGTTGCTAAAGAGTGCCCGCCTAGCACTATCGTCCAAGAGGATAAGGCCCCTTCGCACGATCACCACTATATCCACTATACCTATTCGGCCTATTCAATCGAGAAGCTCTTCTGGTGTGGCAACAGCCCAGATCTTAACCCTATCGAGCCTTGCTGGCCCTGGATGAAGCGATTCACAACAAGAAAAGGCGCACCAAGAAATCGGGCAGCAGCAGTGAAGGCATGGCAAGACTGCTGGGCAGCATTATCGCAAGAGCAAATCCAGGCTTGGATAGAGCGGATACCGGCTCATATTGAAGCTATCATTGCCCTTGAAGGAGGAAACGAGTATAAGGAGGGTCGGCAAGCTGGCAGATATCGCTGTGAGGCACCTATATTGCCCCGAAGCAACGAAAATACAGCCTCAAATTGATGCTTTTTGATGCTCGCGATGATGACTAAAAGTGGCTTCAGCAGGGGCCCTAGTGACCCCCTGCAACACCCCCCTGGTGGTGGCAGGGGTTGGTCTTGGCATTCTGGGCCAAAGCTTTTGACGGGCTCCTCCGTACCAGCGGCACAGAAGTGAATCAATGCCGACGGAACAAATTTGTTACCATCTAAGGCTACGAGGTTTCTGGCTACCTTCTCAGGTCAAGTCGTGGGGATAGTGATCTGCAGTGAGGCGCAGTTTTGAGAGCTGAGAGGCGAATGCCCTGATGGATGAGATGATACAGCCTTGGTGAGTATTGGGACTTTTCGCGATGGAGCCCATAGGCGCGCTTCGTCTGGTTGCGGGTGTTACATAGATCGCTTTGAAAGTCCTAAACAAACAAGGACAGGGGAAAGGGAGGGATAGGCTGAGGACAGACAAGCCGAACGGCCTTGTTTTCATCAGCTCAGTGCGGTTGCCACGGCTGTGCCTCGGGACGCATCCGAAGAAGATGCACTGAGTCTGGCGCACGGGAAACGAATCGAACATAAGACAAGAATAAGCAATAAGCGGGCCTTAGCCTTGCCTCCTCAGCGGAACCGTGTTCCCATGTTCCTGAAATATGGCCTTACCTTTTAGACTTTTGTTACGGGCGCACAGTCGGAAAACAGGCCAGACATGTATTTATTGTCGCTGCAGTCAGCCGAATCCCCTGTCTTTCGCCAAGCGCCGTGACCGCGCTGCTAAGGCCATACAGGGCTCGTTAGACTGCCTTGGTCCCCTTGTCGAGGGTCAGAGGTCTGTGAAAAACGAGAGTCTTGGCTCGGAAGAGAGAGTGCAGCAAAGCGCAGCGCAGCGTTGGCTGCATGCATCCTCGAGGCCGGAGAATGTGTAAACACAAGCCAGTGCGGCGCATCGCCAGCTCGCACTGAGTTTCATCGATTTACATTTGTAGGGTAGGGAGGGGGAAGGTGGGAAGACTGAGTAAAAGGGACTGTGGTGGCGCCTGCCTCGAACTGAACACCAATATGCATGTGCTGCGCGCTATTGGATAATCACGGTGTAGGTAGTTTGTAGTTCGATGGTAGGAGGACAGAACCTGTGTGAGGGCGAGGAAGGAGCGAAAAGAGCGAGTAGCGCATCACCTTCCTCCATTGCGCGGCGCAGGGAAAGAGGAAACAGCTGCCAGGCAGCCGCATTCCTTCCTCCCTTCCTTCCTTTCTACTTCCCTCCCCTGGTATTGGTGCGCTCATTCGCGTAAGGCTGATGAAACCAGTCGGATCCGTGGAGGTGGAAATGCGACACTGCCTCTGAATGTCTGCCTACCCTCGGTGCCGGAAAAGCTCAGTCTGGTCATCTTTCTCCTTGTTGGATCTGGATGGTCGTCGCCGAGGCGGCCAATGCGAGCGCAGTCCCATCCACCCCAATCAATCTGACGTGGGACAAGACCTGAAAACAACATGCAATTGGCAAGACTCGGCCATTATACCCACCCACTTGTCCATTCGAGACCGCGACAAGAGCAAAGAGGCCGGGGCGTATGCTCGACACGACACCAGAGACCAAACGGCGGGGCCGATTCCTGGGGCAGCAATGGACATGCATCACGCAGGACTCGTGCAATTTGTTGCAGTTCGTCCACTGAGGGGCCCAGTTCGTATGGCACAGCATTGGTTGCAGCAGCATTGCAGCAGGGAATGCGCGTCGGAGATGAGGAATAGACGAGGCAGAAACTGACGAGAGATCAGCGCGCCATCCGATCCAAGGAGCAACCGACCGACCGACAGTGACAAAAACAAACTCTCGTGAGAAAACGAAGCAATGGAACAAAGGCGCTAATTAATCGTTCGTCTCAACTCAATCCGAGCCAAAAACCAACGGCGCCGTCAAGAGCCCAAACGAGATGAGACTGAGACGGGCACCAGCCACGCCGACGCCGCCCCGTGCTCCTCTAAGCTTTTGCCCATCCGAATCAGTCTCCTAGTCAATCTCCCATTTTCCTCCTTGATTGTCCGAACGCGCAGGAAGCACAGCGTCGAGAAACCACGCTGCTCTTCTAGCCTACTTAACACCAAGCTGTCTAGGTCGCAAAGGGAGCGCCACCCTTCCCTAAGACAACGGTGCGCAACGAGAGGCAGTGCTTCGCAGAGATGGCTGATGCTGACGGCCAATCAAAGGCGCCGCGTCCCTTGCATCAGTCCCCTTTCATACGGCCCTAATGCAACCAAGATCGGCCCCCGGCACACCCCCTCGGAAGGAGGGGAACAAACCATTGCCGGATGACATCGCCAGAACCCCAAAGGTCAAAGCCAGCTGGTCCTGCCTGCTCTATGCTTGTGCAGGGGGTTGGAGCACGCAGGATATCCAACCATCTCTCTCTGTTGTGACCTACGCCGCACCCGCCGCGCCCCCCATGTACGAGAGAGGCCATTGTCGTTGGTCGTACATCAAAGTCCCTCCCCCACCCGGGCCAAAATGTCTGCCCACGACTCTCCCAAACGGTACAAGTCCATATGCTATTATGGGTTCAGGAAAAGGAACCCAAACTCCTGCTTGCCAAGTGCTTCGGGCGCACACCATCGGGACTGCAATCTTGACGTCCAGTCACTTGGGATTGCCAATGCTCGTATTGTCCCCTTCACCTGTTCAAGTCAGGGGCACCACGCGAGGATTTCGGAGACCAAGGCCATAAACTCTGACTAACAACTAACATAACCTTCTTGGCTCTCATTTCTTCTTTGTCTGAGTCCTATGTGACGATCCCATTGCCAGTCGAGCAGCGACCGCAGCCGTACGCTCTCTGCTTGTTGGTGACAGCATCCCCGCAAAAGGCTCTACTCTTGTGGACGTCCCGTGCTGGCCCTGGTGGATCGACACATTGCCGCCTCTTTCTTGCGACATCAAGCCATTGGCACTCAACCTTGCGAGTTGCAAGACAGGCTACTCGTACAGCACGATCCTCCTTGCTTTTGGTCCCCCTATTTACGGAGCCATCGAGAAAAGGTCAGTGCTAATGAGATGCCTGCCACCCCATGTCGCCCGAGAACCCGGCCGCCGCCGTCGGACGCGGCACATGGGCAGGGCGCGGCGCCTGCGACCACCTCCTCCCCAGCCCTCCCCCCGCACCGCTCGGCGGGTTAGCCTCAGACTCTCATTTCATCTTTTCTCCGGGGCTTTTTATGCCCCCCAGAAGGCTTGTGGGTTTCGACTTGGCGTTGCTGGCTGGATATAAGTGTATCCCTCTCCCATAACCTTAAACCCGATCCCACGATAGCTCGTCCGTCCACCTCAAGTCACTCGCTTTCACACCGCACTACCAGTCAAGATGCTTATCAGAGTACACTCACTTCCTATCCTCATGGCCATGGTGGCCTCTGGCGAACTGGCAACGGCCGTTCCCTTGGAGTCATCGTCCGCCTTCACCACCAGAGACATGGATCGTCCTCGATTTGGGAACGTCCCGTATGGCGTCGACATCACCCACTGCACCGTCAACGGCAAGGTTGCCTTGACGTTCGATGATGGCCCCGGAGAGTACACTGAGAAGGTTCTTGATACCCTTGAGAAGAACGGCAACATTAAGGCTACATTCTTCCTAGTCGGCACGAACGGCAACAACGGCATCGCCAACTCGGCTTACACCCCTCTTCTCAAGCGCATGCTAGGCGCCGGCCACCAGCTCGGCAGCCACTCGTGGAGCCACAAGGATTTCAACACAATCTCCCGTGATCAGCAGGTTGAGGAGCTTCTCAAGAACGAAGAGATCTTCGCCAAGACTCTCGGCATGGTGCCCACCTACTTCCGCCCGCCCTACACTCACTGTGATGACAAGTGTACCTCTACTCTCAATGATCTGTCCTACCACGTTGTATGTTGTGCTACTACCTCGCCCCGTCGTCCACGCACTGATATTTCATGACAGACCGACTATAATCTCGACACGAAGGATTGGGTTGACGACGGCGCCAACTCCAAGCAGACCTACTCCAGTGCTATCAACTCGGCAACCCCCGCTAGCTCCTCCTTCATTGCGCTGTCCCACGATATCCACACCTTCACCGTCAACGGCTTCGTTCAATACATGATCGACGTTGCTAAGGAGAAGGGCTTCGAGTTCACTACAATAGGCGAGTGTCTTGGTGACCCAGTTTCCAACTGGTACCGCGACCCCAAAAGCGGTGAGCCCTGGAGTGGCAAGGAGGAGCCTAAGCCCACAACGACCAGCAAGTCTGTGGCCCCCGCCACTACATCTACCAAGGAGACCACATCCACCACGGAGACCCAGGCCACGGCCTCGACGACTGAATCGGAAACAGCGAAGCCTTCTGTGACTGGCAAGACCGCTTCCGAGACCGAGGAGCCTGAGACGGAGACTGAGAGTCCCACCTCGACCGGCGCCAGCCCTCCTACCGCCACCCGGACCGTCGACGGCGGCGCCAACATCGGCATCCCCGTGACACCTACCGGTACGACCGCTACTCCGAGACCCACCAGCACCAACACTATCGTCGAGGTCAATGCCGCCGGCCGTGCCATCTTGTCTGCCGGTGGTGCTCTCGCTGGTGTTCTGGCATGGGCCATGATGATTTGACCGCCTCAAGTCCGAGTCACACGCCAAACACCCCATACTGGGGTGGAAACGTAACATTCTTGTAATATTTTGGGTAATCTTAATTTTGGACTCGGCCGAATCGAGGAGAATCGAATGTTAAGACGGAGACGAGATGAACACATGATACCACGCCACCCACGTAGTCGAGTTGATGTGTAGTGGACACACATGCATAAATAGCGGCATTGATCATTCGGAATTCAAAAGCATTTTATTTTACAATCCTTGATGATGACATTGTATTCATCTTTCTTACAAGTGGCAAGGGTTCTCTGGAACACTCCGTTGGATCGCCTTATTACCTCACGCAGTTCATACAAGCATATCACCACAGTAAATGCTCCCAAGATCAAACCCATGCTCGAACAAGTCATTCCACGGTATGTCAGCGCTCGGCGTGGGCTGCGCTGGACTCTGGTCCAGCAGATGATGCCCATGGCCTTTCAACCCAAACCAGGACATGAACTCCGTGTCAACCTGGTTGTTCGCAGGATCTGGCACGCAGTCGAAGAAGACCAGCGTCGCTCTCCCTAACCTTTCGATGATCTCCACGCTGCGCTCGACGACGGCTCCGCCATGAGAGATGTTGTGGAGGAGAGTCGTGCAGGACCTGATGTTGGACTCCACGACCCCTCGCGTTAGCTCCTGCCGTAGAGCAGCGCTGGCCCGTAACGAGTAAAGCATCGTAACCCCGGCCATGAACAGAGAGGTGAGGGCGACGAATGTGTAGGTGACCTTGTTTTTGGCGTACAATGCGCCATAGCAGCTTATTAGACTGATCGACGAGTCCGCGCAGTGGCGCAGAGCGTCCACCGTGCTGATTGGCGAGGCATGCGATGGCCGGTAGAGATTCATGATTGCCTGATGGTACGCGATTTGGAACCACTCCGGCGTCTGGTGCATCGAAGCCGGGACAAGATAGCGCGGTGCGGAGACGAGCCACTGGTTCAGTCTGGTGTGGTGTTGGACGCGGATGACGTCGATATTGGTCCCGGCTAGGTTCGTGTCACCCGCTGAATGGAGATATCTGTAGATATCGGCGTTGATGCGGCGCAGCTCGATAATGTGGAGGAATGTCGAGAGGTCGTTGACGGTGAGTCCGAGAATGAGCTGGGTGTTTTGGTCCGGGTTGGCCAGGATGTCGTCTGAGAGGGGGAGGGGAAGCGGCATTGTGATGTCGGCGTCTTGGATCCCGAGCGGCAGGCCGAGGGACATTGAGATGCTCCTGTCCATTGTGTAGACGCACCAGAAGAGTCGCTTGTGCATTTCTGCCTCCAGAGGCTCCTTTGCGGCGATCGCCTCACGGCGGTGCAAGTTCATGCCGATAGCGAGCCGAAGAGCTAGCCCGGTGGCGCACCACAGGTTTACGGACTGCGGCTCGTTACTGCCGTAAATGCAGAGGAGGAGGAGGCTTTGGACGCAGTCAAAGTCCTCAGCGGCCAGAACACCTCCAAGCGCGCCTGCGGCAGATTGAAAGAACTCTTCCTGGAGCCTGCGGTGCCGCTCATTATTGCGGCCCTTTTCCGACGCTGCGATGGCCAGTACAATGTTGACCTGAAATAAACATAGCTGACTGAGTGTCTCGCCTCGGGAGAATGGTAGGAAGTGCTGCTCGAAGAACGTCGGCTTATGCAGTACCGGAAACTGTGGCCACCGGCGACTGAAAAACTCCCCAACCAGGTTACTCTTATACTCCAGGCCCGGATCTACATTATTGGTTGTGCATTCGGGGGTCGTCACGGTTGATACACCATCCCATAGCCGTGATGGACTGTTCAGGAGGTTATCTTCGCCACTCCTCGACGCCCGACCCCCGGGAAATGTGGGACGAAGTAGACGGTCGATGTGTGCGTTGCACGTCGCATTCCTCGTAAAAGGGAGTTGCCGAGATTCGCCGGCCGGCGCAGCAGTTGAGCTTCTGCCATTCTCCGATAGGGGCGCCCGCAGAAGATCGGAATCGACAGGCCCGCCAGCGGCCGAAGCCGTCAACGCCTCGAGCTGTTTGATAAGACTCTCCACCTGGTTCCGGAGGCGATCACACTCGCAGTCCGGGTTCGCAATCCGTACAAGATAACGCTCCGAGGGCACGCATGACGTGCCTATCGCGGAGCACTGTCCGCAGATCGGCAGCTGGCCATCGCACTGTAGCCGGAACCCCTGTCAGTGGGACGGTGTCAACATCGGGCATGGGATGCGTACCTTTTGCTTTCTTTTCCGACACCTCTCGCAAGCGGCGATGCCTCTCTTGAGGCCCCGTCGGTGATTCGGCCTTGAATGGGTCCCGGGCCGCAGCGTCGAGGATTGGTCGACATGGGTCGGAGACGACGCCGGGGAGACACCCTCCCCGCAGGTGGCTTCGGCCATGTTTATGGAAACTATTGTTATTTTTAGCCCATTCACCTTCCTCCTTGTTGAGTTTGATAACCCCAGTGGAGTTGAAACTGATCGTTGCGACTTACCGGAGTCTGCACTGAAGGTCTTCGCGAGCGATGAGATTGAAGAGAAATTCGGACTCTAGCCGTCGGATGCATCCGATCGGAGGGTGTGGAGCACGGTTCCGGAGAAATCCCGATGGCGCAATGGACTTTGCTCGTGTGGGTCCTTTCTGTTCGGGCTCTCTGGTAGTCCCATCAGTCATCCACAGTCTGAAGAGGAGACGCTTCGCCGCAGCATGATTGCGACAAGATCAAGCAGAGGCACTGTTTGAAGCATACAGAACGTGAAAAATCACTGTTCACCATTGAATGCCCATCCTCCAGACTTTGGACGTCGCTCACCCGAACGCACACAGCAACTTGTTGAGTCAGCAGTAAACCGAGCATGGAACTAGGCGCTTACATTTGATAGCTGCGTCTCTCGTCGCCCCAGCGTTTCGTTGCCGAATTCCTAAGGATGACGCTCTCGCCGGACGGCTGGGACACTCATGTTCACGTGTTCGACTCAACAATCGGACCCTTCTCGTCCTCAAGGTCGTACACGCCAGCCCAGGCAACATTACAGCAACTGTTAGGGTTCAGTTCGGACCTCGCACAAGGACATACTTTAAACATCGTCCTCGTCCAGCCGTCACCATACGGCACTGACAATACTGTTTTGCTGCAGTCAATGAAGCGACTGCGCGAAAGCGGGAGTCAAATGGTCCGCGGCATCGCGGTTGTGAACATTGACAATGTTAAAGACGAGAAGCTCCGTGCATTGCATGAATGTGGCATTAGGGGTCTTAGAATCAACAAGCAGGCGGATGGTCACAGCATTGATGTTGACGACCTTCGAAGGGCAATTGTGAAGACTGCTGCCCGGATCCGATATCTTCCCGGCTGGAGGATTCAGTTGTTCTGCGCAGGATCAACATGGGATGGTGAGCTCAAAGTACGAAGACATGGCGCACGAGATTCGCTGATGACTCAGTCAGATCTGTATGAGACAATATCTACCCTGCCAGTTGAAGTCATTGCCGACCACATAGGCGGAATACGTGGCCTTTCTAAACTTCACTTAGATCCAGCCACCCAGAGTACTATCGATCCCAGAGACCAAGCGGGCTTTGAGTCTTTAATCAAACTCGCAAAAGCATCGAAAATCATCATCAAACTGTCCGGGTTTTATCGACTTTCAAACTTGCAGGAGTCTGGGTACGGTGACTTGGAGCCGATCATCAGGACTTTGGCGGAGACTGTCCCTGATCGCCTGGTCTGGGGCAGTGACTGGCCTCACACTGGCGAGGGGAAAGACCGAATAATTCGGGGCATCTATGCGGTTGAAAGCTTTAGAGACATCGACGATGGCCGGCTTGTCGAAATCGTTCGAAAATGGATGAGGGCTGAAGACATTTGGACGAGGACATTTGTTACGAATCCGAAGCGGTTTTATGGGCAATGATGACACATTTGACGACAATCTGCTTGGAAAGTGATACAGATACAAGCACCAGTCAAGCTTGAAGTACCCCTCTCCGTGCTCGGAATATAGGCGAGCCCAGTTCATTCAACTTTGCCTGTGTTGTCACGAGGAACTAAATTGAGGCTCTTTGCTGTCTTCGGGATTATCCGGCGCTGTTTCTTTCAAGGGAGGATTTTGTCGGAATTGGTCCGAGCCGGCCAAGCTCCGCCGTTTCAACCACTTAAACCTCGGTGAAGTTGGGAACAGCTCCAAGGACAGCGCGCTCAAATTCTAGAAATCCATTTGAGTGAATATGGCATCGTCTCACGGTTTTGGTTGCAAGTTTGCCCGGCAGCTTACGCCCTCTACATCGACCGCGTTCACAACTTACTCCCGGCCGACTGGGCTTTCACATGTCAAGCATACAGTGCAACTGAGGCTCCAGAGCGGTCTCCCGGCGGCATATTACAGAGGTGGCACGTCTCGTGCGATAATCTTTCATCAAGACGATCTGCCCTCAGACCATTCAAAGTGGAATGAGATTTTTCTTGGAAGCATCGGTAGCCCCGATCCATATGGCCGCAACTGGGTGGGATGGGCGGAGGCATCTCTAGCCTGTCAAAAGTCTGCGTAATCGGGAAGAGCTCGCGACCAAACGCCGATGTCGACTACACTTTCGTCTCGCTCGGAATCAAAAACACCAATGTTGATTACTCCAGTAACTGCGGCAACATGAGCGCGGCTGTTGGACCCTATGCTGTGAACTCTGGTCTCGTCGACGTATCCCAGGGAGCCAAGGAGGCAACAGTACGCGTGTTCAATACCAACACTAAAAAGGTCATTGAATCCACCTTTCCCCTCGATGGCAAAGAAGCTGCGGACCATGGTCATTTTCCCATCGATGGTGTGGCAGGGACGGCGGCGAGGGTGCAGCTCAAGTTCCTCAACCCAGCCGGATCTCGCACTGGAACACTTTTCCCAACCGGCTCCAAAGTCGATCGAATCGAAGGATTGAGTGTTACTTGTATCGATGCCGGCAACCCCTGCTGCTTCGTCAGTTCGGATGAGCTGGGCGTCGACGGCGCCATCAGCCCACAGGAAATCGAGAATCATCCTACTTTGGGACAGACGCTCGACAAGATTCGCCGCGTTGCCGGATTGAAAATGGGCCTTGCAGATTCGGAGGAGAACATTCCAGGAAGCGTACCCAAGATTGCTATAGTGTCAGCGCCAGACGACTCAAAGGATAACACGCTGGTGGCGCGAGCAATGTCAGTGGGTCAACCACACAAGGCCATACCTGTCACTGTCGCGTTGGCGGCAGCGGCAGCGGCTACTGCAAGTGGCACGATCGTCTCCGAGTGTGTGAAGATGGGGTCTGATACTAATGGCGACATTACAATTCGCCATGCTAGCGGAACCTTGGATGTTGCCGCAGACTACGATAGCGAAGGTGCGCTTCAGTCTGCCACCGTTTACAGAACTGCTCGCAGACTTATGGAAGGAAAGGTTTTCTGGAAATAATCGTTTTTCAGGTGATTGCTTATATCCAAGACTAGCAGTGGACTCGCTTCGAACCTGATATTGACGCTAAATTCTTTACTCACTGCTAACCTCAGCGTACATACAACCTCAGTCATGGACCATGTATGGACTTCTCCTTGCCATTGAATAGCGGTAGACTGTTATTTATGAGCAAAATTGATTAGCTAGTTTCTTAATGTTTCATAAATTCTCCAGTAATCATGCCCCAAATACTCTCCTCTTACTTTTATTTTGATCGCAGTTGTAAAACAATCGCTCTTGAAGTGTCATTGAGTGTCAAGAGTGACGCGATCGACTCTGTAGCATAGCTCTGTTTGACACATCAATTAGACGATTCCCTGAAAGAAATTTTGTTACATTGTATTCGAAAAAGCAATACAAAAGGTTTTAGTTTATCAGCACTGGAAGACGACGTCTTTGTCGGGCCGAGTCTTATCGTTTCTAGCAGTCGCAGATGAAATCACAACGCTTGCCACTGCAAGGATAGGAGCCCTTCAAACGCAGCTTTTCTGGTTTAGACACAAACTCCGCTCCCTGATGTCCGTCTCAATATCATATCATGTAATAGCTTTAATACTTCCGCAGTTCCCACCGTTACGGGGCTAGTTTTAGTCGTATGCGCGGCTGGTGAGCGTTAAGTCCGTTGATCCCGTTGATCCCGTTGCCAAACGTCAGCATATTGCATCGTCAACAACAGCTTGAATTGAGCATAATCGAGAGGGCCACTTGATGTTGAGTCACCTACGTCGGTTTACTCCATCTAGTCTAATTACTTCGTGAGCGCTCGCACCCTGTCTGAATGCATCTCAACATGTACTTGTCGTACATTTAGTCATCATTTGTCTCTCAGTCTTTGATGAACAGGAGTCATACACTCATCGTTGATTTCCTGACAATACACACCAATTAGTGTATATGTTGTTGATTTACTAATTAGCATGTGTTGGAAGGCATCAGATAGATAGGGAGCACAGCCCGGTCAGCCACACCTTGGAAGATGGGGCCAACCTCACAGCCACGACAAAGGGCATATCCCACTTCACCTTACTGCTGGTCGCGCAGTTAGATCTCCCATCTTCATACCCAATACAACCACCAGCAATATCACCACTTTGACGTGATCGTTGTTACCACTCGTACGAGTATCACCACCTGTGAGACCAACAGCATGCTTGTTGAGGCTCTCGAATTCGGTAATATCCAGATTGTCGATGCAAGATAGAACCGTCACAACCGAATGTCAATTCTTAAGGCCGATAATTCCGGCAGTTTAATCTCGAACGCATTGGGTGTTGTGACCCCTGCTGCCATTTGAAGACATTTCGACCTAACCAGGATGGACCATGCCACTACATTTTCAACAACTTGGTCTTTCTTTCAATTCCCATATGATTGTCTAACTGCAACACCAACTGACGGGCCTACACGCTGTCTTTGTAATAGTGTCTTGTAGAAGAAACCGGCCATCGTTACACTACATTAAAGGTTATTGCCCGCCCTCATCAAAAGGTCACTGTCTCGGTTTCGTTTATGAGTAAGCTCTTCTCTGGGGAGGAAGACCCGTTTTGGTACTTCACTTCTGCAATGTTCGATAGTGCCGATCGGGCCATATGATACAGGGACCCGCGATGGAATCCGCATGGACGGGCCTGCGTCCCACTTGTGGTCCGTTGAAGCTATGGATGGGTAGAGATTGCATCCACCACACCCTGAGACCGAGTTCGATCACACTGATATTAACCTAAAGTCCATTTGTTTATCATGAGAGGGGGCGGAGCACAGACAGTCCCGGGTTTGATGGCATCATCCGGGCTGCTTGACAGTGAAACCCTGCATGAGTTCCCGGACTTTAGTCTATGGCCGAGTGGCAATCACTCCCTACGCACCGCCAACACCTTCTCTTTGGATAGCGGCGCATCAACAGAGTTGATATAAAGGTGATGTTGTCGAACACTGTCTAATGTTGGGTTCTGACATTCCACTCAAGGGTCCTGTACTCACTTTACCATTTTCAGATCCCGAAATTGTTTCCGAAATTCCCATCAGTAATTCTAGACTCGACAGAATGTCCGGCCTACAAACTCTCTTCGCACCGGCTCCAGAGCCCAAAACCGAGCTCGGTCGGTATCGCGTTCTGTCCACTACCGCCGGTGTCAGGGTTTCCCCGCTCTGCTTGGGCGCAATGTCCATTGGCTCGGCATGGTCGTCCTTCATGGGCTCTATGGAGAAGGACCAATCTTTCCAGCTTCTCGATGCCTTCGTCGACGCTGGTGGCAACTTCATTGACACCGCCAACAACTACCAGAACGAAGAATCCGAGAAGATTCTGGGAGAGTGGATGGCTGCCAGGGAGAACCGCGACATCATGTTCATTGCGACCAAGTTCACCACCCAGTACCGGAAACATGAGCTCGGGCCTGGCAAATGCATCAACTACTCTGGAAACCACAAGAAGTCGCTGCATCTCTCGGTCCGAGACTCCCTTCAGAAGCTGCAAACAGACTACATTGACCTACTGTACATTCACTGGTGGGACTGGACCACCTCGATCGAGGAGCTGATGGATTCTCTCCATATCCTTGTCGAGCAGGGTAAGGTCCTGTACCTTGGCGTTTCTGATACACCCGCTTGGGTCGTATCCGCTGCGAACACCTACGCCAAAGCGCACGGGAAGACCCCATTCTCCGTCTACCAGGGTCGCTGGAACGTTTTGATCCGCGACGTTGAGCGAGATATCATTCCCATGGCCCGGCATTTCGGCATGGCTTTGTGCCCATGGGATGTCCTTGGAGGCGGCAAGTTGCAGTCCAAGAAGCAGCTTGAGGAACGCAGAAAGGCCGGCGAAGGCCTGCGATCCATGTTCGGCCCCGATCAGTCGGATGATCAGCGCAAGGCTAGCGAAGTTCTCGAGCAGGTTGCCGAAGAACACGGAACTGAGAGTATCCAACAGATTGCGCTTGCATACGTAATGCAGAAGGCCCGTTACGTTTTCCCCATCGTCGGCGGCCGCAAAGTTGAACACCTGGAGGACAACATAAAGGCATTGAGCATCCGCCTTACGGAGGAACAGATCCAAAGGATTGAGAACGTCAAAACATTCGAGATTGGCTTCCCCATGGATTTCATCCTGGATGACCCAAGGGAAGGTGGCCCAACGGCACCTCTGGTGGCTGCTTCCGCTGCGATGGCTTGGCAACCCCAAGGCAAGCCCATTGGGCAGGAGTGAAGGATGGTGGAAGGGAAGGTTCTCTTAAATAAAAGGGAAAGGGCAACTATAACTGAACTCTCAATGCGATTAATTTGAAATGGGATCTTCATTAAAATTACTGTCTGATTTTTGAGTTCGTAAAGTTTGGTCATCATGTCATAAGCTCCGCTGGGTAATTACTAGCCTCACTTCTTCTCATCCATTTCATTTCGGTCGAGTATCTCCTTGTTTGCTAACAAGTGTTTTCTGGGAGTCAACCGTTGAACCGGACGAGGACGAGGAGGCCCCTGCAGTAGACATAGAAACCCCCGAAGAGACGATAGGTAACTTCTCTTCCTCTGCTTGCGGGACGGGCTCTCTCGAGACTCTTTCGGACCTTCTAACTGTGTTTCGAACTCTCAGCTTGATGGCTTCGGGAAGACATCGTGTTTTGATTGCAGTGTCACGCAGCAAAACACGTAATACTGGAATAGTTGCCGCCATGATGGTGATTGCCGTTTCAGCTGCCGCCCAAACGGTCAGCTCCGCTCCTCCGTCTGAGTGTTATGTCAGTATAGGCTTTGCATAACATGATCAGTTATGCAACTCACGGGAAAAGTCGCCAGTGGTGTCGTTCACCGAACGCATGTATGAAGCTTTAACAAACGCTGCAATTCCAGCCCTGTTCCTTGTTAGCTGTTGCTCATTAATTCGGGCCGTGGATAGAACTGACAGAACTCCCATACTCAATGCTACCGACACACCAATCTTCTCCTTTTTACTCAGTTTAAGACCCGATGACTCTTCGGCTGGCGTAGGTCGCATGAGGATTAGCCATGGAATGATCGCCAAGGCGATATCGAGCAGACCAGAGTAAACTTGTGGAACTATTAGTACACTACCTTGTAATCCGGCGAAACGGAAGCTTACCGCTGACGAAGATGCCGAATGAAACGACCCATTTCAGGTCATAGCAAGTTCCATCACTGAATGGTTTCCATCTCTTCTCGAGAGGAACGCACCCTATCCAGAAGGATAGAGCGGAGAATGCGAATAAAATGTTCATGGAAATAATTGAGAACCATACGAAGGCTTTCTTCCAGCCATCACACATTCGAAGGAGCGAAATGGCGAATGCGGTCTTGCTCCAAACTTGGCCGACAAAGGAGCAAGTGATGGAGGCCAGACCGATAACCGCAAGGACTGATATATTGTCGACGGTGATGGGGAATCCAGGGCGGCCAAATCGGGACTTGATGATAAATTCGTTCAGAGAAGCATCTGTTGCAAGAACGACCTAAAATGTCTATATCAGCAACAGCATGATGGAATATTGGCGGCCTCAAGACTCTTACCCAAGACGCTAAGAGAAGTATATCCTCAAATCTGATCTTCGTGTACGAATAAGATACCTTGCAGTATATCCTTAACCCCAAGAACAGAGCTGATATGGCAACAAGGACCCATAGAACCGTTTGTATACCCTCGGCAACCGGATCGTCGTCTGCACGTGCGTTGAGTGCTAACAGGGTCGTATCCAACTCGTTCGCCGTTAAATAGGTTTGGTTGACGGCTCTTGCCAAGGAGCCCAACTCCTGTATCCGGCTTCTTGAACAATGCTCACATCCCGGTGGGGGCACTACGGCCATATTCGGCTTCCGATGGGAATTAGCAGTTGATGAAGTGAAAGCACCACCTTCATGACAAGACAAAGCAACGTTTCTTGCCGGTGCCAGCGATGAGACTTTATAGGGTTGACGAAATATGAGAGCGAGGCTAATCAGCAAGGGAGGACCTTCGCAACATCCTTGGAAAGCACCGGCAAGTGGCGCCGTTTCATTATGTAGACGTATCCACGTGGAGAACGGTGGGCCAGACGGAGGACTACTACGTAGCAAACAACAGCTGGGATGTTGATGACTGTTGAAGCCTTGATCCCAACCTCTTCGCATCAGAATATGACACGGCCACGTCCGATCAAGATCCAGTAGATACCGAGGGCTTGAAGAGGGTGCGGAGGGAAAACAGGGCAGAATTTGGTCTACTTTCTGCTAGGTACTTGAGAACTTTTGATGTTCCGTGCGCGGGAGGATTCGCAGAAAGCACGACCACAAGCTTCAGCCTCATAGGACGGCATCTCTCTCGGCTTTCCATACTCCAAAATAAATCTTTCCAGGGCGAAAAGAGCTCTTTGACCTCCTTCGTCCAGTCTTTGCCGTTATCCACGGCCACTGCGATACAGAGAGTGAAATCTTCACTTCATCATCTTGGTTCACCTCGGACTGTTTGCTGGCTCAGCGAACGGACTGTTTGAGTTATCACCACTGTCACAGCCGTGTCGCGGCTGAGGGGGAAACCGGTGTGCACGTCCTGTGTGGCTAGCCTTGGCTCGTGGGAAAAGGTTGCTTCAAGTAGTTGTTCGACGCATCTGATCAAGGTAATCCCAGCTTTCTGCATCCCAACTGCACCCCAGAGATGATAAGATCACTAAACCGCGCTTCGACTTCCTCGCACGTCCACTGGCGGTATTGATTTTGAATCATCTCTTGTCCTTAATCGGAATGTCGCAGTTCCGCTGCACCGTATTTCCATTCCTTAGACTAACAGTTTGTCACTCTCTCCGCAATAGTAAAGTTGATCAGACAGCATTTTTCTGCAGTTCCATATGGGGAAAGATGACTCAGTGCGGATTTGCGCAATTCGAGGGTATGTCCTGGTAATGTCCTCACTCGGTAATGACTAGGTCTAGTCGATAATGCTTTGGTGTGCATAAGATAGATCCCTATGACGAACTCCCTACTCAGCACCGGCAAGAATGTTTACAGCTGTCAAACGATTCACTTCTCCGATTCAGCTTTGTTCTCCACTCACTTCCGGCCGAGGGATATCCTTGGGCGTCCATTGTTCCATATTGCTGACAAGTCGTTTTAAATAATACATTGTGTCCCCACCACATCAGCTGCGGAAAAATGGCAAAAAACCCATCCCCTATTTTAATCCCCGCATATACTCCGCACCTTAATTGGTATAGATGTCGTGCCAGGAGAATGACCCTCCTCTATATACTGAAGATGATGCTGATGCTTGTGTTTACGCCACATTATACAAGGAGTAGAGGTACCGAAATTTCTAGCAAGTAATTGGAAAAATGCAATAACTTCGTATGCCCTTGTTTGCTTTTCCGCATAGCAGGTGTTTTTGACGGTTTTCCACAGTCGATGATATATAGCGGCAAGTGTAAATTTATACATCCCATGTTTTCTTGAAGTAGCCGACCAACCCATTTGTTCTGCCGGGAGAAATCAATCTAGTCATCTCAAGGACGCAGAGGCTTTTACTGGACGGGAAATGAACACGACCCGGTCTCTTCGACTTGTTTTCTTGCTCGACTAGCTCAACATGGCTCTCTCTTGGACGTTCAAAGTGAGTAACAATACAGCGTTCTACTTCTGTAAAGTGCGCAAAAGATGATGGGACCAGATGAACTTAACCAGAAGATACCTTGTTGCTGTCAGTGGCCCTAGAGCATGTTAGGTATCCTCAACAAAGGTACACCTTGAATGTCAGAACAGTACAAGACGAGGTTCAACGGATATAAAGCTTATGCCTTCAGCCCTGAAATCTATTGAAAATCACAGTTTAAAATCAGTCGCCCCTTGCGACCTGATCCTGTCACTAAAGCTTGTTGGTAGTTAACTCGGCCACCCTGCTTACCGCGCAACCCCACATCCCCCGCACCCCATCCAACCCATCAACACCACCATACCTATCAACATCATCCATTATTCCTCATCCCTACCACCCGCCCAGATGCAACTTTCTGCTTCACTAGATAGTTCAGATCCGCTGGATTCATCTGTGCTATCCACTGCTTCGCCAGCCTTGATTTGCGCGCATCGGATATCCTCAATATTAGCGAACTTCGAGTTAGGACTTAGTTAGACTTTCTTCCTCTTGCTTTGCCGCCGCGTATTCAGCTGGGATCGCAGTTCCTGTTTTTCATGCTCTAGGACTACTAGTCTATAGGCCATTTCACTATAGCCCTTTTAGACCTTTCTAAGTAAATAGCAGCTAGTGTAGATATCATAGGCATCTTGCCCTAGTTGGCTGTATAAGTGTATCTGATCCTGCAGATCAGCAGGCTTGCGCGGGGCTGCCCATGGGACTACAGATACAGCTTCATCCCACTATTGACTTCCTAGCTATCTAGCTGTCTAGCTGGCTAGCTAGCTGTCTAGCTGGCTAGCTAGCTGTCTGTCTGTCTAGCTAGCTGACTAGATGCCTTAGATACAAAGGGACTAGATAAGGCCCTTATCACGTTAACTAGCCACAGCCCAGTTAAATTCCAGCCACTTTATATGATCTAGTTAGTCAAGGCATCTAGACACGCCTTTCTATAGCAGTCTAAAAAGGCCCTTTTTACTAGTAACACTTAAATTGCTATATAGATCTAGATACCCTAGATATTTCCTATAAGCAGACTTTAGAGGTCTAAAGACTAACTAGTCTAAAGGTTAAAGGACATACAACATATACAGCAGCAAAAACAAGAGGTTAATATGGTTCTAAAAGCATCGCCACATAAAGTCTATTATTATATAGCTATAATAGGCATCTAGAACCAACAGTCTAGCCTCGCCAGGCTAGCCAGGGGCGGTCTAAGGGATAAAGACCTTATTCAGCCACTCAAGGGCAATCTGATTAGTCGTCCAGCCAATATCTATAGCTATAAACTACTATCTAGCATAAGGCTAGAGATTCAGAGGGAACCACTACTACTAGACTGACTTGCCCTTATAGATAACAAGGGGATACAACAAGCTACCAGCAGTTAAGACGCACTCGATTAGCGATATCCATGCCCACAATCTAGGCTATTTTTTCTAGATATATCTGGCCTCTACAGATCCCAGCACTAGCCCATTTCTCCCTTTGCCCTCTAGGATACCAATCTCATCCATGTTCCATCAATTGGCTGGCTTAATGGCCTTGACTGCTAGCAGCTCTAGGCGATAGAACCAATCCTGGATAATGTCAGCAGATGCCCCATTGATACGCCTCGCATCAATTGCCCTGCTTCTCTAGGTCTAGATAGATAGGTTTCTGCGTAGGAATCGCCGCATCCACTTCCTCCCAAGTAGTTATTGCCCATCGCCCAGCATACGCTCAGCCAGCCCTTTAACTTGCTGATGGGTATTAAACGCTAATCCTAGGGCAGACTAGGTACTTATCCATCCAGCAAGTAAGTCTTCATAGGTACTAGAAAGCCGCTACAGCCTGGCAAAGGCAGTATCTCTAGATTGCGCGCCATTGAGACGATCTCAGGAACCCCCCATTCGCGGCCAGCCTGCCGGATCCCATACCCACCTGCGATAGCCTGAAGGGCCTGTTGGAGCTCAAACTCGTTATACTGCTTCACCGTACGATAGATAGGATATCCTGAAAAGATGACGTTGTTTGGAGTAGAATGGTAAATGTTGTGGTGGTTAGAAATGAGGGTTGTTGGTGGTGATGCGGGAATTCGGGATGCGCGGGACACTGGGTTGCGCGGTAAGTGGGGCGGCCGAGTTAACCTATCAAGTAACCGACGCCGAGTTCATGTTCCTGAGAGATCAACCTGAGGCAAGCATTCTCGACGATTGTTGTAGGATTGGGGCGCAGTTGAACCAGATTCCCGGCACACAAGCCGGCCAGGAGTGGAAATAATTATATGACGGAAGACAGGCCGTCCAGCTGTTTACCGTGAAATTGGAATAGGTACTTTCGTTAGGGTTTTCATCGGTAGGTATGGTTGTCTGACCAAGAAGCTGCAAGAGGACAACGAAATCTTCGATGCTATCATGAAGCACTTGCTTAACTAGCGCATCGTCTGAAAGCTTTTTAGGCGGGTTTGCCTCTTGTTGATGGTAAGACCTGGGTGATGCATTGGCGTCAGGCGGATTAGTTGGTGACGTTGGTGGCTCACCTACAGAGAGCTCATTCGAGACCTTACCCAAGACACGGGTGCTAGTGGATCTGTTAGGCAGATTCCTCCATTATCGCTAAGGCATCTTCGGCGAAGCCATATGACCATTTAGGCCCGAGGTCACCACTAAGTCCCTTAGCTGATATAAGCAGCTCTATCACGTTATTGCCTTCACATCCCTGTGCCTGATTTCGCGCTAAAAGTAATAGTGCTCGGGTCTAAATGGATAGGCGTGACCCGCGCTGATATTAGATGCTATCTAACGACGGCCGGGCATCACGGCTGTTTAAATAAGCTCATATTTCCTCTGCACAAGATTCCAAAGAGTCAAGTCTCATTCCATCAACGAACGATCACATTCATCAACACACAAGCTGAAAGATTAAGATCGAAAAACACTTATGATTGTCTCGTGCTTTCGCACCAAATCCCCCAAACTCAATTACTATTAGCTATCGAATACCCAGACACGCAGACGCGCATCAACATGGGACTCTTCGGAAAAGAATCAACTCCCACCACGAAGACTGGCGAAGAGCAGCCGAAGAAGTCGCTCTACCAACGCTACCAAGACAAAAAGACCGGCCGTAACACAGTCATCTCGGACGAGGATCTCCTGAAGTACACCGGCAAGCGCAAAGACGAGATTAACGACTGGGCGAAAGACCGTCCCGGCGTTGCAGGGAACCGGGCTGCAGGAACTCTGGCGGCGGGCCCCGCCTCCGGCTTTGGTGGGCTAGCTACGGCGGATGGATACGGTGGATGGGGTATGGGTGCTGGGTCTGTCCCCAAACACCCGCCACGGCCGAGTCAGAAAGTACATGAAGATACCCAGTCTCCCAAATAGGAGGCGTAAAGAGAGGGCAGTGACGGCGACGAGAACTTAGAATATGTGAATACATGAAGCAACCTAGTTTGTGTGGACAGTTTTGTTCCAGGGGTAGGTTTGTGGCTGTCGGGCTGGAACGGCGCAAACATTCGTTCGTCCAGACGTGTTTTGGTCGGTCTCATGGCATACCTGTACCTATTCCACTTCTTGCGATGATGATACACCTATATTTTGCGGAGAAAATAACTTCATGTAATTGAGGAGTGATTGAAAAAATAAACTTACTATGTAGTTTGTGTTTTGAAATAAGAGACATGTTCAGCGACCCGCTTTTCAGCTAAGCACGACATGGACGCTGGGAGATGCAGAGGTCGTGAACTCATGTAACGGAGTGCCGGATCATGAGCATTGACTTAATTTCATCTCAATACCCATAAAACAATAGTGCAACCTATGTAATACTTTAAGAATTAATCTGGTATTCCATACGACAATGAACTTAGTCATGGCAATTGTGATCATTTTCATAACGTTGTTGCCAGTCGACAACTCACCTTTGGTGAGCTTGCCTTGCAGTTTAGGCTGCTGTGTCCATGCACCAGGCGCTATTTTGTGACATCGAATGTACATTGTTCTCAAAACAGGCAATACGTGCCTAATATAGCATAGCGGGATGCTCAGTAGGACATAAGCACTGTTCCGACAAACCCGAAGATCATCACATACGACTCACGAAGTAAGATAGCATTATCGGCGCGTGTGGTATGGATAAGACCGCAACGCTAGCGCAAATCCTTGGAGACAGATATCGTTGTTGTTGGCGGTCATTACTCAGCAGGCTGACTGTTGCTCGAGTTCTTCAATCTCAATAACTCAAATGTTTAAGAACCGGCTCGAATAACTATTTTCGATAAATTCATCATACCCCCGTTTAAGAATAGCATTGGCAAAGCTGAATCCAATATCAAACACACAGACGCCGGTTAAACCCACATCAACATGAGAGCACTTCTGCTGAATGCGGAGGACAAATCAGCCACTGTGCAAGAAACACACCGCCCTACTCCCTGTGACGGGGAGCTGCTCATTCGTGTGGAAGCTGTCGCGTTGAACCCAGTGGACTCGCTCTACGTCTTGAATCCTCTCGGCAAGACGGGACGAACTGTAGGCAGCGATTTTGCGGGTACCGTCATCGAGTCAAATTCAACCACGCACCAAGCAGGGCAGCGCGTCGCAGGCTTCCTCCAGGGCGCCTGTAGCATCAACGATCGCCCCGGTGCATTCGCCGACTACCTTGTGTGCCCCGCGGACCTCACATGGCGGGTCCCTGACTCCATGATACTGGAAGAAGCCGCGGCAATAAGCCTATGCGCCTTGACTGCCGCCCAGGGCCTCTTCTACCGGCTCGGTATAAGGCCGCCATTTAGCTGGACAGACCAAAGCCGCGCTTCGCTTAGCAACAAATCCCGTGATGACGGACTTATAACACCATTTTCAATCTTCATCTACGGTGCATCCACGTCTGTCGGGATGTATGCAGCGCAACTTGTGCGCCGAAGCGCCGAAGCGAGTGGAGTGGCGGTCAAGCTCATCGGGGCCGTGAGCAAGCCCAGGTTTCCGTTTCTCCAGGCCGAGCCCTACGTCTACGATGCCCTTGTCGACTATCGCGATCCAGATTGGCCGGCACAAGTACGGACATTTACTGGGGCGGCAGGTGGTGTCGATTTCGTATATGACTGCATATCAGAGGGAGCAACTGTCAGGTTGGCAAGCAGCACGCTCCGCGAGAGTGGGAAGATGGCCATCGTCCGCTCGAGGGAGGGCGGGGCGTTTCGTTCCGATGGCCTAAAGGTCGACCCCATGTACGGTGCGGTATGGGAAGCTTTTGGAGTCGAGATCCAATATCAGAACTTGATTGTGCCAGCATCACATGAGGCACGAGAATTCGCAGGCGCCTTTTAGACTTGGTTGTCGGGCGGTCCTAGACTAGTCTCGAATCCAGTCCGTCGTATGCCGGGCAGCTTAGAGCGGATTGTGCCTGATGGATTCGCCTTGCTCGGTTCAGGCTCCATGCAAGATCGCGAGCAGCACAGGGAGGAGCCCTACATGAAACCAGTCAGCGCAGAGAAGTTGGTTTATAATATTGCACCTTGATAATGGCCTCAATTCCAAGGTTCTCCGATTTGTCAACAGCTATACAAGCATGGGTGCAGTTACATGGCTTGCTAGGAAATCTTCAGGGGCTACATTTTGGCTTGTATTTGGATCTTGTCGGCCGATATGACTACACGCACCGTAATAAAGCACATAACTGAACGCAAACATATCGATATAATATCTCACGAGAACCTCACTTCCAGGAGGCTCTCAGCCGCATCATCTGCCTCACTCAGACGACGTACAACAGTATTTTTTATCACGTGCCCTACTCATGTGTTTCAGCTCATGGATTGGGTACACGTATAGGCTCTATACGGCTCTTCATCATTCCTTAAAAGCAAGCATCTTTCACCCCTCTTCTTGTGTGCTCTGCTGTGTGCTCTAGCTCGTGACAATATACAAAAGCCAAAAACACAACGGTTAGCTATGATCACACGATATTTTGTCATACCGGTCAGAGTAAAGGTTACTTCATAACAAAAGTCAAGATTGAAGGAGAGAGCGCGCTGGTTTGCCGTTGGAAATCGAGAGGCGTAAGTTTTGGATTCATGGCAGGCCGTGGTACATTAAATTTGCAAAAGAGACCATACAAATAATAACTCATCAACGCCACAAACACATAACGAAACTCATACACCACAACCATGCATTACAAAACCACAACGCCCGATCTAATCCTGCCATCCCGCCATGCAGCTGCCCATCTCCCAATCTCCGCTCGCACACTGTCTCCAACTGGAAGAGATCCTACACTCCTCGGCTTCAAGCGTGTTGTCCTCACCCATGCGGAAGAAGGTAACGTCGCAGCAGATAGACATGGCCATCAGGCCAACCTCGCAGACATGGGGCTTGTGCATCTTGAAGCTCAGGGGTGGGTCGGCGTGCTCTTTGAGCATCTCCTTGAGGGTGGGCTCGGAGCGCTCCGAGTAGACCTCGGTGTCGCCAAAGATGATGGGGTTGCACATGATGGCGCCCTTGCCGATGTACTTGAGGGCGCTCTTGGGCTTGTGACAGAGGGCACCCCAAAGGAGTGTCTCCATTTCGATGGCCTTCGCGTGGTTGCGCAGCTTAATGGTGTTGAGGGGTCCCTCCTCCTCCGAGTCCTCTTCCTCGTCGGTTGAGTAGTGGCGCATCTGCTTGCCGGCCTTCTCCTTCTTTTCCTTCTTTGTCTTCTTCTTCTTCTTCTTCTCTTCGGGGGCCGGGGGAGACTGCGACGATGAGGCTTTGCGTTCGCCGTTGGGCTTTTCGCGACGAGCTAGTTGCTTGTTGTCGACATCTTCTTCGCCGCCCTGGAACTGAGGCTTCTTCTTCTTCTGGCGTTCCTCGGCGCCGGGGCCATGAGGGGAGGGGTCGGTGGTGAGACCGAGGATGGAAGGCATTTTGGCTTGTTTTTGTTCTTTCTTATCTTCGCTATGCTGTGATCCGCTAACAGTATATACTAGCAAGACGCTCCGTAGTGGTTCGTTATCGTCGTTACGGTCGTCCAAAAATCGATCGGGGTTGCAAGTCAAGTTGGTGTATCGTTCTAGTGCGCCGGCAGAGAAGACGGGGCGAGAACACACTAAATGGGGGCTCAAGAAGGCGAGGAACAGGGACAATTATGTCGTATGATGTCTCCAGTCACGCGGCCCTTGCGCGCAAATTGACGTCCATGTCCCAGAGTTTCTGCTCACTGCCGACCGAATCTTGAATTCCTGCTTTGCCTGACCGAAGGTGACGTCAGTGTCGTGGCCGCACCGCACAGTCAAGAGCTCAAACAGGGTTTCATTGCACACAGCGCGGGGGAAGAGAGCTTCCACCTTACGGGCCACCACGGCTTGCTACGCTGGAAACCATTGGGGCTTTGGGGGCCACAGCGGCGGCCCCGCATCTGCAATCAAAATGACATCAGTCCTGCGGGATGCAACTGTGCGGCGATCTTTCCAGAGTCCAGAACGCTGAGTCAGCCATATTAAGCCAGGGGGTATCCCTGATTGGTGATGTGGAAGGACCAGCGAGAGCAGGGAAACGGACGTGATATTGGAGGCCAGTTGACCAGTCCTAGATGTCTGCAGAAGCGGACGAGTAGTCTTGTTCATTATCGCCGCATAGCCACTAATATATGTTGGTTGATATTGCATGAGAAGTTACTGTTTCGCCCTGAGCCCGCGAGACTAATCTTGCATTCAGCAGAGCGTGGATCAAACGGTTCAAAAGCGACTCGGGGCGTGACACCGCAGACTAGCAGGCTTCCCTGCATCAACGGCCGAGCCAGTTCATATGATTAAGATTCTAGACGCCTCTGACTATTCTACGAGTTTCGAATCGCGACGTCCCTCTCACACACTACAGCCAAAATGCATAGACTCCAACCCTCAATCCCGACTAGTGCTTCCCATGGTCTGTGCTCGCCGATCATCTCGAAGCCACTATTGTTCAAACGGTGGATGAACAAAAAACCACTACTGGACGTATTCTAGCAGCTACATGCATATACGCAGATGAAATTGGATGACTCCGTATATCTATAAACATTATTGGTAGCAGCAGGTCATTCCGCCACCTTGCGACGTTAACTAAGTTGCCATACGGCAGTGTAGGCCGTGGAACCAACCGCCTCCTTCACTATATCGCCAAACCCAACCATACAGACAGTAGCCCATGCCGCAACCCCAATCCGAGGTATAACGCCCCTGAAGAACCCAGAGATCCCAGAATTCGCATAGATGTGCCACGCCGTAGACGCCATCGTGAGCGCCTTCGGACGCGTAGGGTCAGCCTTGAGCGACTGCATCTCAACTCTAATGACCTAAGTTACACATTCATGAGCATCACGTTCTAGGTCACTAAAGCAGTGCCGGCGGCGGTTCCTACCTCGAACGGCTGGTTCCAACAGCTCAAAGCACCACCCACAATCGATGCGCAAACCTTCTCACTGGGCGACAACTTCTCTGCCGTCGATTTCCCCCCAAGCGACCGGATCTGTCCTTCGGCAACCCTCGAGATGCCGATTCTAGAGGACCATCCTGTGATCTGCCTGAGTGCCACGGCGTTGACGCCACGATTGACGCCTCGGATGCCCTCGGTTCGCAGGATCTGGAGGAAGATCTCCATGGTGCCGAGCATCTTGCCAGCCGATAACGGTGCCTTTTGGCGAGTTACTTCGACAGTTTTCATGCACGTCGTAACACCTAGCCCACCGAGTCAATGCCTTTCTCGAAATTGCAGGAAGGGCTAGGAGGAGACAGTGCCCTACCCATTGTTAGGTATGCCTGAGAAGCACCCCCTACGATCCCCCCGAGTACCCCAGAAATACCGTGTCCCAAGCCGTGGCTTCTGGCATAGTACTCGACCTCAGTAGATGCCAAAATCAAAATGGCCCCCTTTGTAGAGGCCTCTATCCATGCCTGTAATTGTCTCAGTAATTGCCCACCGAAGAAACGGCGTAGCTGCACGGCCGTTAATCCATACCCATGGGATGAGACCCTGGTAAAACCCCCGGAAACCAGCCCTTGCCCAAGTCTTCTTGAAGGCATCTTTCAGACTATCGCTTCTGTGCGCACTAGCCTGCAGAAGAATCTTGTTATTTCACCAAAGCTCGTCAAGATACTACCAGTTATCGTCGACTTGCGTGTGTTTTGATAACTTCCATTGGCTGCCCCAACGTCGTGACTGAGTGAGCCCCGGGTCAGCGCAGTAACCCATGAATACAAAAGACTAACGATCTCGTCTAGGGTCCTTCAATATCACTTACCTTGCATAACATTCATGCAAGCCCCTACAAGAAGATTCCTCCATGGGGCCTTGCGTTTCTCTACCGTCGTCAGCCCAGGGGCATGAATCGTTATCGTTGCCATATTCATCCGGGTTTTATTGACTATATGACAATTGGTTCCTTCAAAGAAACTAGACGGAAGAAACAAGGCCGTCCAATCGAGAATGTTTTCAATGCCAACATGATACTTGAGCGCTTATTCTCTTTTATGTGTGTCCCGGCACATTGCAGTGTACTCAACCGGCAAACGACGGTCTCGGATGGGGCCGATGGACCCAGTTTGGCATGTAGTCAACAGCTGTGTCACTTCGGACCTACCCGATATGAGCTTTAGCTCTCAAACTAGAACCATGACCGAAAACACACTACTGGTATTTCTGACATATGGAAATCATGACTCAATGATACAAGGCATGTTCTTACAGCTGCTTATGACAGTTTGTTCCTGTTGGCCTGAGGTAGTAGGCTGGGTGTTGAGACAAACTGGTTAATAACAACCTTAGCTCTGCCAACTACCGATCAGTCCAAATCATCTTAAGTATGGCTTCCAAGCTTTTAGCAAGACCTAAGCTTGCCTTGTTGTTTTCGTCTGTCCATCTATTTTATATGTGTGTCTCGATCGAAACAGAAAGCCCGGTGGCTAGCGTTTCTTGAAATCGTTCTTGGGTACCCGCGCAACCCAATACAAACCCGCCGCCGCAACGATGTTGAATATGCAAAACCCCCATACCAAACCGAAGTCGCGCCACCTGTTGTCGAAGCTCATGTTCATGTCCGATAAAAACGCATTTGTATCCGCCATACCACAGAATCGACACTCACTGGCGTTGTCATCGACCAGATACCCGCCTTCATTCTGGATGTACCCAGCCAAGTACTCGCCACAAGTAATCCCACTTGGAGCATCAAATGTGAGCAGCTCGGTTGGACTGCACGTTACGGGTGCGTTGGCTAGGCCGATACTGAGGAACCCTTCCACGATGTATGTAAAGGGGTTGACGCGGTACATGAAAACCCAGAACCCAGGGAGCTCATCCGGGCCAGCCAGCACACTGTTGCATTGTCAGTTGAACTGTTGATCCTGCTAAGGAAGTGATGGTATGAACATACCCACAGAAAGCAAACATCAAGATGAAGAGTAAGTTCATAATGCCGCCCGCGACCTCAGCGCTGCCTAGTCCAGCAATCATGAGATGCGCAAACGTACTCGAGAACAGAAAAAACACCCAACAAATCAAAAACAAGCTAACGGCACGAGAATGAACAGCGTCCGTCCACTCCGCGTTCCGGTCAAGTCTCATAGGATAGAACCAGAATAAGAAGGAAAAGACAGCCATGACCTAGTCACCAGATGTTAGGCTCTCATTTTGGAGCAGATAAAAGACGTGAATGAAGGCTTACAGAGTTCCAAAACATTTCGACAATAACATTGGCGGCCATGAAGGCCTTCCAAGAGTACGATTTGGCGGGACGCTCGCGAGCTTCGTACATGGTACGCTGGGATACGAAAACAGGCATGATCTGCTGGACGATCTGGCTGAAAATGAAAAGAAAGATGTAAACTCCGAACATCTGGTTCTGTAAGCCGCGCTCTGTGTTGTTCCCTCCCATGAGCGTCAGTCCGATGAAAAGTGCCTGTTGTTTCAGACCATTAGAATCTGTAGAAGTTCTGGGAAGACGCTCCGCTCACCGAGCCGAAAGTGAGAACGGATTTCGAAAAAATGTACGATGGGCTACGCCAGTATTGTTGGAACACCCGTTTCGTCACTTGGTGGATTTGGACTCGGAAATCCGCAGCAAACTCCGCATATGCAGAAGGGTCATTGTCTTCTGTTGCTGTCCTGATGTCTTTCTCATTCGCGTGCTCGGACAGCCTTCCAAGTTCGCACTGAACAGTCTGGTACTCCCCACTTTCCCGCCATACAGTCGGCCAGTCGATGTCAGTGTGAGCTTTCGGGGCTGCTCCGATGACCTCGAGCATGTACTCGGCGGGGTTCGCTCCGGGGTGATATTTTGGAGCACCATGTCGACTGAGGTAATCGAGAAGAACATGTGAGTTCTTGCCAATGTCACCAAAATAAACGGTCCGGCCACCTTTAGCAAGCAGCAGCAGCCGATCAAATCTCTGGAAAAGCGATGCAGATGGCTGGTGGATAGTGCAAAGAATTGCCTGGCCGCTCTTCGTCAGCTTTTCCATCAAATCGCAAATGGACCACGATGTCTGGCTGTCGAGGCCGGACGTCGGTTCATCCAAGAAGAGAAGCAATTGCGGCCGAGCCACCAGCTCGACACCAATTGTCAGACGTTTGCGCTGTTCGACATTGAGACCCTCGCCCAACTCCCCTATCACAGCTTCAGCATACTCCTCCATGCCGAGAAGGTCGATGACAGTATCAACGTACGCCAGCTTGTCCTCTCGGCTGTATCGCTGAGGCTGACGTAAAAGTGCGCTGAAGCTCAAGGCTTCTCTGACGGTCGCCGTGTGGAGGTGGAGGTCTTGTTGCGTCACGTATCCGGTCTTGCGTTGGAAAGAAGAATCTCGAAGGTGACCATCAACGAGCATTTCTCCACTGACAACGCCCATCGTTACGCGGCTTGCCAAAACATCGAGAAGACTCGTTTTAC